ACAAGATATACAAGTATGTATATGTACAAACGCACACGGTATTTATATGCTATAAGGCTGTAAAGCAATTAGCTGAAGAAGAAGACAAAGAGGCTTCTAAGCTTGCTATTCTGAACCGAGTAGGAGAATATGAGAATCAACTGAAACAGTAGACTATCATTTGTATATTTGGCTATTTTCCTTAATATTTGATATAGATTACAGGTAAATTCACGCCAAGCTATCTTGAGATCCAAAAAAAGAGTGGACGATCAAGAAAAAAAGAATCGTGAAGCATTATTTGGCAGTAGAAATGGAAAGAGCTTTACAGAACAATATGAATTGAAGCAAAGAAATGTACAACGAGGGTAATGGATCATAGCTACATCATTAGTCTAAATAGCAAATAGTAAACATGATGAAGCCTTATTACGTGCTTCTTCAGATGTAACAGAGGCACTCAAGAGAACAAGCACATTAATGCAACAAGAATTAGAAAAAAGCACAATTTCAGCCAGCATGCTAGGTAAATTATATGCAAAAAAAAAAAAAACGTAAGATAATTGTTATTCACAATAGTTTAGCCGAATCCTCGAAAACGCTCTCTTCTACAAATATGGAATATCAAAATTTGGGTTCTTTGGTCCATATTTCAAAGCGAGTGATTACTCAGCTTGAAGCCTCAGATTGGTTGGATCGGCTTTTGCTCTTATTCGGTCTACTTATATTTAGTTCAGTTGTCTTTTATATTGTCAAGAAACGTACATGGGATGTAGGCATCTCTTGGGTATCATGGCTTACACAGACAAAGAAGAACCCAATGCCTACAAAAGAAGCTGCCAATTCAGCTATTGATCTTATCGTCGAATCAGTTAGTGTAGTGAAAGATGAGCTTTAAATAAAAAATGATTCATGGTCACACTAAGGCCGTTTATAGGTTGACTTTTTGTTTTTTTCGTTTCGGGTATTCAACTACCAAAATAAATCCCTTTCTGTTATTTTTTCTCTTTCCTCTTTTATAAATTCTTTTTTACCCCCCCTCTCTCTCTCTTATTCTTTATTAATTCAATATGGAGGTTGCCTTGTTGCAAGCAAAGAAATCTTGCCCTTTTATTCATGTTGCTTCTGCTTCTTCTCTCCGCAGACTTACCTCTGGCCCTAATATCAATCCTTTGATCACCAAGGCCAAGCAATGCCCTGTCATGAGTCAAGCCATCTCCTCCCGTTCAATTTCTACTTCTCGTGCTGTTTCCCAAGCCCCTTCTAAACCTGCCAAGGCTGCTACAAGTAAGAACAATCAATAGCGGAGATTGTCGCAGAGAAAAAAATTCTAATTTTTATTTTTCCGCTTATAGTTACTGGCAGTCACACCCGGGGCCCCATCGATCCCACTGCTGTTGTTTCTCATCAAACCAAGAAGCATTTTGACTATGAAAGCTTCTATCAAGAGGAATTGGAGAAAAAGCATAAGGATAAGAGTTACCGTTACTTCAACAACATCAACCGTTTAGCTCAAAAATTCCCCCGTGCTCACACTGCTCGTGTAACGGACGAAGTGACCGTCTGGTGTGCTAACGATTACTTGGGCATGGGAAGAAGTCCTGTCTTGACTGATACCATGAAGTAAGTAGTGTGAGAAAAAAAAATCAAGTATTTATATATATTTTTTAGACGTACTTTGGATCGTTACGGTGCTGGTGCTGGTGGTACTCGTAACATTGCAGGAAATGCTGATCTTCATTTACGTCTTGAGTCTGAATTAGCTGACCTTCATCATGCAGAAGGTGCTCTCGTGTTCTCTTCTTGTTATGTTGCTAATGATGCCACTCTCTCCACCTTGGCTTCTAAGCTACCTGGTTGTGTCATTTTCTCTGATGCTTTAAACCATGCTTCCATGATTCAAGGTATGCGTCACTCTGGTGCACCGAAAAAGATTTTCCGCCACAATGATATGGACCATTTGGAGCAACTCTTGCAGTCTGTAGACCCCAGTGTTCCAAAGATCATTGCCTTTGAATCTGTTTACTCTATGTGTGGCAGTATTGGTCCTATTCACAAAGTAGTTGAATTGGCCAAGAAGTACGGTGCCATTACTTTTTTGGATGAAGTCCATGCTGTTGGCATGTACGGTAGCCGTGGTGCTGGTGTGGCTGAACACTTGGATTTCGAATTGAACGCTGCTAACCCTACCCGTGGCAACGGTAGTATCATGGATGAAATTGATATCTACACTGGTACTTTGGGTAAGGCTTATGGTGTTGTTGGTGGTTACATTGCTGGTTCTGCTTCCTTTGTGGACATGATTCGTTCTTATGCTCCTGGCTTTATTTTCACCACTTCCTTGCCTCCTGCTGTTGTTTCTGGTGCCTTGGCTTCTGTTCAATACTTGAAAGAATCTAACGCTGAGCGTCATCTTCAACAACTCAACACCCGTACTGTCAAGTCTCGTTTGGGTGAATCTGGTATCCCTGTGATCCCTAATCCCTCTCATATTGTTCCTGTTCTTGTGGGTGATGCTGCTGCTGCCAAGTTGGCATCTGATGAATTGTTGTCTGAACACAATATTTATGTTCAAAGCATTAATTATCCTACTGTTCCCGTTGGTGAAGAACGTTTGAGAATTGCTCCTTGTCCTGGTCACTCACCTGAAATGATCGACCATCTTGTTGACTCTTTGGAAACTATCTGGTCTCGCTATGGATTTAAGCGCGTTCAAGATTGGGCTGCTGAAGGTGGTTGTGCCAGCGTTGGTGTTCCCAATGCCGTTGAACCTACTCCTATTTGGACCGATAAGCAACTCGGTCTTGACAAGATTGACGAAGAACAAGTTGTCAGCAACACTGTTAACTAAGATTGATAATAAAGTCTTATTACACACATATACTTTATTCCAGGTTTACATGTCTTTTGAGTTACGTGTGTCATAATATACACGCCATTTCAGGAAATAGATTGTACAATCAATGTGAAACAAACGAATGGGAAGAAATTTAAAGTTCAAGTGCATATGATTATCTCATGCAACAAAAATGGATTGTACTTTGTTCTATTGAGGTAAAAATATCTAATTGAGAAGGCTGTCTTTCTTCCTCCCTTTTCAATAGTGATAATGCATCATAGAAAGGAAGTAATCTCTAAATCATCAAATAAAACTACAATTGCTTGTAAATCCTTCCTTTGCAAAGAATGATCGTATCAAGGAAACTCATTTTTTAAAGTTTAGGTTTGTAAGCGATATTTGTACGTACTGTTTGACTAAACACATCTGCTTATTAGTCAATAACTACTCTTTTGTACTGATTACAGTGTGCAACAAACTTTGAATGCAGATTCGAAGGCAATGCTCAAATTGACTCGACTTTTTCATCTTAGTAAACTCGCTTTATTTTTATCAGAGGTACCAAGAGATGGCCTTTCCTCATTTCGGTTGGATCAGATTTTTTTTTGTAAAATATTTTTATTCAAGAAGTATGTTTTTAGTTACACATCACAGAGGGATGTAACGTGGGTAGACTGAAAAAAAAGGAGCGTATAAGAAGTAATCATTGAGAGACTTAGAAAACGTTTAGGAGTAAAGAATGCTGGTGTAGTGAGATCAAAGTCTGACTAATAATATCGGAAATGGTCCACTCAAGATTAAAGGGTTGATTGTCCAGTGCGAAACGCCATTAAGCGGACCATATTTGCCATTGGCAGACAGATAAAACAGTAAAGAGACAACTGTCAGGCAATAGGAAAGAAGGGCAGGATTCAAGACAGAGTAGGTGGTAAACCATCTCAGCTGAAAGATATACCTGTGGATAGAAATAGGTGAGGACTTCAATCCAAATGATCCATTTCCAAAGACAGTAAAGAATGAAATGTTCAAATGAGTCAATATTCGAAGAACACAGGCGACAATTACTGTTGGGAACGCGATTGATTTATACAGCTGTGCTTCTGTAGGTAGTTTCTTATTGATAACTCTGAACCACAAAGTTCTAGAAGGTAAAGGCATTGAGGAAGACCAGAACAGACGCAGCAAATTCAATTGAGTATTTGAAGCACTGGAATAATTATGCATCCTGTAAGCCTTGGACGTGTATTGGCTCCAGAGAGGAGAGCCATGCAATTGGCTCACTAACGATTGATCGTTTTCTTCAACATTTACTTACTCCACTTCATTATAGATATAAGGAATCATAAAGGTTTGTAACTGCACGCAATATCGAATCAGTATATCGTTGTACAGCGAACGTCATAAGAGGGGAAACTTGGAATACTCTGTGCGTACTTGTAAACGTAGCCAGTGCATGTTTTCATCAAACTTGAAGAAGATCATTGCAGGCAATTCTGTATGTCGATAGAGCCAATGGCCAGAGGGCAGGTCAGAGAACATCCTAGTTAAAAGAAAATGCAGCAATGTTTGGATAGGCACTCGCTGTAGGTTAAAGTTAATCCCAAAATGGTCAAATGCTTGAAATATGACAGGAATGATAGAGAACTGATGGCAGATATCATGTTTTCGCAAGACCGGAGAAAAGAAAGGCAGAGTAGGAAAGGAGGAGCTGGTAGACATAGACAGTAGATGATGGCTTAAAGCACTCTTCAGCAGCGTATTACCTTGGTTTCGATCAAGAAGAGCAAAAAGCCATTTCATCTGGAGTATTAAGTGTTGGCGCGCAGGATTTAGAAGACCAATGCCACCCTGTAGGCGGGGAAGACATAATTGATTGAAAGATACCTTGGGATATTTCTCTTGCCAGACAAACTTGTATATCAACCGCCGTATGTGGTCTGAAAATGCTTGTGTCGGGTGGAAAAGCCGCAGACAGAACCATGGGATAGGATGAGAGTGTTTGCAATCATTGCACCTCCTCGAAGAGACAAGCGTCGTTGTGAGAAAACGTAAATCAGTGTTTGTACTTTGTCAAGTAGCATATCCTGAACAAATTTTTTTTGTGTAGTAGCTTGAGTGCTAGAGGCGGCTTCGTTCGTAAAATATGATTGCGTTTCTTTTCTAAGCGCCGAAGTGTCTGTTCTCTCCAGTTGTTATGATTGATTGCATACGATTTAACAACTTTTTTAGTTGTCAGCTTGACCTGCTCCCATCGTTCTTGAGGTGTATCATCATCAGTCCATTGCGCTACCAGCTTGTTGATACGCTTCTCTATGGAATTGCGTAACCTTTTGTGTGTAGCAAAGGTCGGATTTCCTCGCCATATACCTGGTCCAAATTTTGACATACCTAGGACAAACTCAACTTGCAATATGTAGTGGTCTGACCATGAAGCCGGTAATGATGAGATATTGGAGTTTGTCAGTCCTTGTCGTATATCTTCGCCAACAAAATATAGTCAGTGGTAAAGAAACAGAAACTATCCCTGGATCGTCTTTGAAACGTGGGATTGTCCTCTAAATTATTAATAGTCATAGCATTTGTGAAGGACTGTTCTAGCCGAGCTCTCCATTGAGGATAGGTAGCATAGGGTAGATTAGCAATTCGTAAATGAGAGTAGTTGAAATCTCCAGAGATGATCAATTGGTCAAGGGAAATAATGTTTCTGAAGTCATTCAGCATATTGTGTAGTTGACAGTAAAAGGATCGACGTTCGGAATTGTTTGACGCAGGTGCGTACAAATTAAGAATATAGAAAGGTGCATAGAATTGTTGGGGGTGTTCCACCTTATAGAGTTGAAATCGATCTGAAGAAAAGGAGTGTGAGGTATCTACAACAGAGATAGTAAAATCTGAAGAGAAGCAGACGATTCCCACATGTTGGGTCCGAAAGGATTGTGTTGGTTGAAAGAGAATGTCGAGTGTGTCAATACGGGATTGTGTATCCGCGTGGGCTTCTTGAAAGCATATTATGTCTAGTTTTAAAAGTCCTAAGTATCGAATGTATTCTTTTTGTGTTTTAGGTTGATTCGTTTTCACTAAACTGTTTGCATTTAGTGACGCATAGTGTAGTTGGAGTTCTTTAGTCATGATGAGATAGTGAAATATACTTATTGGTGGCCTGCAGCGGGGCCCGTCGAATGTATACTTTCTTCTAAATGGAGCAATTGTTGATTGAGTTCAGCTAAAGTGTTTTGATCGGCTTCACTCAATATTTCTTCAGTAGATCTTTATTGTATTTGGTGGATCTGTTGAGCCAATGCCCGTTTGCAATCCACCTGCATAGGTAATAAATCTTTTAAATCAAACATGGCGTCCCCTTGACTCCATCTAACTCCATTGCTGAAACACTCTCTTCTTGTTCAGATTCATCTCTGTCACTGCCACTATCACTGTCACTATCATGACCATTGTTTGGTACATAGTCTGAACCTTCCTCGTCACTCTCGCCATCTTCAGACATATCATCATTACTATCATTTCCTTTTTTAATTGAGTTTGGTCTCACATTTTTCTTGGTCCTAGTCAAAGAAACACGTTTGTCGTTTGGAGCATACTTGGACTTTAATACTTCGGTCGAAGAGGCCAGTTGATCCGCTTTAGAAGCAGGTTGGGGCATTTCCTGAGAAGTCTGATTCTTAGGCGCTGGGGTCTTGCACTTTTTTGATGGATTGATGGGCGCTTTTCGTGGGCATTCAAAAGATCGATGACCAAATAAATGGCAGTGATAGCAAATGATTCGTGCTTTGGACTTTTCACACTCAAACTTCGTGTGGCCAGTCTGATGGCAATAACGGCACCAAGTGGACATGTTATTCCATGTAGCATGGAAAATTTTATCCTTTTCCTCCTGCCAACGGATATTGTGGGCTAACTCCTGATATTTGATTTGGTCTTCTCCTAACTGTCTGGGAGTACCAATGACAGCATAACCGGATCCCATAAAAAACCCAGTATTAGGTTCGGTTATAATGCCGACATCAATAACTTGGCCAAAAGGGGATAAACTGACCTTTAAGCCTTCAAGAACTTCAGATTTTGGCAACATTGGTAGGTGAGACAGTTTGATATTGGTAACCATCTAACTGTCATCAGTGGCTTTGCAAGGAATAAGTCGCAGCTTTGATTCATTGAATTCAACACCATTAATGCCAATATCGCTATCATGTTGGGGTTCAACGTAGATTTCGAGATATCTAGTGGTACCGTTATTGAGGAAAGAATAAGCATGAACTTTAAGATGCTGTTCTTTGATTTCTTGCAAACACAGAAGATCTGTGTATTGAGCTTTGACCTTGGTGATGTCGAGAAGAAAAGCATTCTTAGATCTAGATGATCTGTAAATTCTCGACTGTACTTCACTTAGTGAAGAAGAGTCTTCGGGATGAGGTTCAGTAATGTCCTTGTGCATCAAGGACACTCGAGTCTTCGCAGCTACTACTTGAGCATACGATCATTGTTTGCTAGTGTTTTTAGGCTTAGGAACTATTTCTAACTCCGCTACCGAGAAAAGTGTTGGGTCATTCCAAAAATTCTTGATCGAGCTTGTTTTTTCATCTTCACGAACTTCCGTGGATCCCACATCGGTCAAAAAAATGAAATTCACCCAAAAGCCAAACCAATGATAACATTCGATTTCTGGGTTGTTTTGATGATCTGGTTGTCGAGCAATGATCCATCAAAGATTGACATGGTTAAGCTGTGTTTTGAGCGTTTTTGCTCTAAATGTATCACAAAACTTGTTATCGATAGCGCTATAAAGATGTTTTATGCTATTTAGAGCGCCAAAGAACACATAAAAGTACAGATATAGACACTTATAATGTAAATGTGGAGCAAATGAAGATAAGACATACTTGATGGTTATTTTACGGTTATTGAAAATGCATACAACTCCAATTCTTCATCCAGCCGCATGAAAAATCGAGCTTTTGCTAAGAACTACATAAAGACGCAGTTATTGGGCTTTGGTGCAGTGACAAAAGCTGTAGATCTTTGCTTTTTGAGTCTTTTGATATAAAGACCACAACAACTTTGCTGCTAAAATATGGAGGAGAAGCGCAAAAATGTTTACAAGGTTTTTCACCCTCATCATTCTATTTTCATAGTACAGTTAGCAAGCAAACACATTCATTAAGAACTAAATGCTTTGACACACATTTTGAGTATTTAATCATGCAGATAGCTCTGTTTTTCGTCTTGTAGCGCTAAAAAGAAGCTCAAGGAAGTGGCAGCTTGATGATTTTCATGAGTAGTACCCTTTGGTCAAAAGTGATTTTTGACCAAATTTTACATGTCGCTTTTTTAGGCCCAAATCAACTCCAAAGGTACCCGGCATGTTAGTAAATACTTTCTGTAAGCGTTTAAAGTGTTTAGGCATGTACAAACAGGCTTTATAATACCTTTGTACAATAAGCAGTAGCCGACTTCAGCTTTTTAGCAAGGGTCATATTTGCATCTATAACACAAAAATAATCAACATTAACCGAGTACAATGATTCATTATGCTTATTGCAGAAAGAGGATTATAACAATAAAGTGATTCGTTTATTATTCTTGCAAGTCGACAAAATCTGGCTAAAAGCCAAGTCATATCAGTAATATACATCACAATAACTGATTAAATATTCAAGGACTTAATAAAACAAAGGAGGCTTTTCCTATTCTATCATGAAATTGGGAGGGAATAGTGAGGGCATAAGCGGCAGGGAACTGGAAATTAGCCATGATTATAGGTATAGTATGTATAGTCAATAATTTGAGCAGTTGAAAATGTATGCCTGTCTTACTCAATTCTCTCTCTCTCTTTTTTTTATGCTTAAGGATTTTTTGTAATGAATTACAGCTAATAAGAGGGAAAAGAAGAAGAAGAAAATCACACTAACAGTTTACCAACAGCCATCACTTCTTTTTATCTTGTGGGGAGTTTTCAGTACTGTCAATAAATCGATCATACTCTTCCGAGCAATCAGTTTCATCATCATTCAAGAACAACAGCACATTCTCGAGGCTTGATTCGATGAGTGATTTCAGAGTGAGCATATTTGTCATGAAAATAGGCAGTTGAGAGCGGAAGAAGGATGGCGAGGTGGGGTAATCAAACTTCATTTCTTCTTTGAATACATACAACTTTGGGCATATCAACTGCAAACTGTACACATGAAAGTTTTTCTTATAGAGCTGCAACCCATATAGCTTGACCTTTTTGATCCTACTTCCGCCAGTAGTATTCATATAATAGATTTGGTTCATGATGAGCTTGAGGTTTTTGGCTATTTTTTTCTTATCCTTCAGAAAATGAGTCTTGTTGGTCACTGACCAAGGGCCAGACACCTCTATGACTGACAGTGTTGTGATCACACCCTCTTCATCTAAAATAGACAGCAACCCATCCACTTTGGTCTTTCCAACCAGTGATTCTCCCCATTCTTTTTTTATCAATTGGTTTTGTCGAAACAAAGCCTTATACAATGGTGCAACAAAGTGAAGTTTGTAGTCATTTTCTTTTTGACCAATGTCTGCAAACAAATTTACGTTTTCTTCATATTTTTGATTTAAACTATTGAGAGATGATCAATGTCAGTAACTACTTGCCTTCTTCCTTATGTTTTCATTACTCACTATGTCTTGATCATTTTCTTTACAGAGTAAGGTAATTTGGATTTTTCGTTATCATAGAATGATTTGAAACGCGAAAAGGTATGGCAACTGCTGAAATCAAGATTGAGGGGATGTACTTGAGTGGGGATCTTGTAGGTTGTTGTCTTGAGAGATTTGATAAACTCCAGGCATTTGCTGGTCAATGGAGGAATACCATCTAAGCTCAAGTCAATGATATTGTAATATAATAAGACCTGCTTGTGGATTAAAGGTTGGTGTTCTGCAGTGACTTTCCATAGTTTAACAAAATCAGCAATAGCTGATAATTCATCATTTTCTCCATTCTCATATACAATCTCTTCTTGAAAAATCAAGTCATCTTCAATATTCAAGGCATCGTCTTCTACTTCTTCTTCTGTTTCATTGCTTGAAGGGTCGTCTTCTTCACAGTACGTTTTTAAAAGTTTATTGAAAAATCTGCTGTTCTCCTCACCAGGTTGACTGAAAGGGTCGTCTTGATCTGCAGCTCTTTTTCCATTATTGTTAATGACATTGTTTACTGTATTCTGGTTTCCCATGTAAAAAGTTTGATTACTTGGTGTGCTATTGCTACTGAGTAAATTGCTGTTGCTGTAGCTGTCAGTTTCAATTGAAGAAATTGGGATCTTTGTGGCAAAAAGATTTGCTTTTTTCCTTGTAAAAGAATTATAGTTAGGGTTTTCTGTAATAGTGAAGAGGTCCTTTTTCATTTGTTGAAAAGCAACCTTGTCATCTTTGTACAAATGGACATAAAATTTGCATGCTTCAGGATAGGACCAATCATTACATAATTTTGTTTCGAAATAAGACATAGTCTAATCGATACAGTTAACAAAAAAAAAAAAAAAAAGAAGAAGAGAGAAGTTGAAAAAGGTATTGTGATAGAGTCGGTTTATTACCTTTTGGCTTGATTTGCTTTTTAATTCTTATAGTCGTTGACTACAGTGAAAAAAGTTACTTTTAGCATAAATACGCGTAAAGCGATAAACGCGATGATTCGATACAGCAAGATCTGACGTCATATATCATTTTCTTTTACAGTTTGAACTTTATATTTTTTCAACACACTTTTGATTACAATGGAAAGCAAGTACTCATAAGGCAGGAATGCAACGCAAGGAATTAGAAGAGATTATTGATGCCTTTAGGGTTTGCTATAAAAGAAAATAGAAAGAGAGTTATAATGAATACTAACTTCTTGGAGCTGATCTCGTTCAAGTTATTTAACTTGAATTTCATCTTGTATGTTCAAATGATGCTTTCTATGTGCGATATCTAGTACAGTTCTGGTCCATGCTGAGCAACTCAGATGTCGAATGCTTGAGAGAGCCCGTCTGAGGCACAGTGATGTAGCTGGTTCCCTAACAAGCCAATGGTTGTAACAGGTGCTTGTTGGGAAAAGGATATCTCTATGATTCCCTCCATGCCATTTAGTGAGGTAGCTGCACATAAGAAAGATACGTGGGTGCCTAGTACAGTTCTGGTCCATGCTGAGCAACTCAGATGTCGAATGCTTGAGAGAGCCCGTCTGAGGCACAGTGATGTAGCTGGTTCCCTAACAAGCCAATGGTTGCAATAAGCGCTTGTTGGGATAAGGGCACTATCATGGCTTTCTCCATATCATTTAGTGAGGCAGCTTCGCGTATAGAAAATTCTCATCATTTACTGTACCAGATGAAATACAAGTTATATATCTTGAAGGAAGTTGAAGATAGGTTTTCCGTTTGCTCAAATGATGCTTTCTATGTGCGATATCTAGTACAGTTCTGGTCCATGCTGAGCAACTCAGATGTTGAATGCTTGAGAGAGCCCGTCTGAGGCACAGTGATGTAGCTGGTTCCCTAACAAGCCAATGGTTGTAACAGGTGCTTGTTGGGAAAAGGATATCTCTATGATTCCCTCCATGCCATTTAGTGAGGTAGCTGCACATAAGAAAGATACGTGGGTGCCTAGTACAGTTCTGGTCCATGCTGAGCAACTCAGATGTCGAATGCTTGAGAGAGCCCGTCTGAGGCACAGTGATGTAGCTGGTTCCCTAACAAGCCAATGGTTGCAATAAGCGCTTGTTGGGATAAGGGCACTATCATGGCTTTCTCCATATCATTTAGTGAGGCAGCTTCGCGTATAGAAAATTCTCATCATTTAATCATGAAATTCTGCTGTTGGATGCAGCTTGTATCAGACATAATTTGTAAGTTGCCTTATGTTTCTAGTCAGATTAGATAACAGCTCTTTGTATTGTAGACATGTTCATTACGCAACTGTTTTAGGGGCTTTTTGGCGACATCAATACTATACTTGTGTATCGATCTATCTTTGGCTCGCTTCCAGTACAAGACATCCTCAAAATTCATGCCACATTCAAACTAAGAAGCGATTCTCCTCTCCCCCCCCTTTTTTTTTATTGTTCAACTTCTTCTCTGTTCCTTTGTCTATACAAAAAAAAAAAAAGATTCCTCAATGCTACAATAGATCAAAACGTTTTATTCTATATTAATCATGACATTCCTTGCAAAGCAATAAGTTTCATTGGATTGTGTACAAAGTAAATCAGTGGTATTAGTTATCAAACTTCTGGGAACATACCTGCTATTTGAAGGAGGTATAAACAAGTTTATTATATGTATTCGCATTGAACCTTTTTTTTTTTTTTTTTTTTTTTTTTTTTTTTTTTTTTTTTTTTTTTTTTTTTTTTTACTGGGCTGCTGCTTTTATATGTATGGACCACGTGGGGCTTCTTGCATCTAGAAGAAAGGGGCCTTTTTTTTTTTAATTATATTTGTATATATAATAGTCTCAAGTAAACAATATTTCATGATAGTTCTTCTCAACCTAATGCCTATTGCTTACAGCAACATAGCCAAAGTAAGCTATATATACGTATTATTATAATTCATGACGTCTCCGTCAAAAAAAAACTCGGAGTTTGACTTTGACAAGTTTACAAGACAGAAACTCGAGGATTTTTTTATTAGGTTTTTTTTTCTCAGTTTTAACGCGTTAGATCAAGATGGCATTGCGTGTACCCAAAAGTACTCTTCCCCAACTCTTCAAGGATGGCTATAAAGTAAAGTATGAGAAAGCATCTTTCAATCAGCTCATTCTTGTTAGTTTCAACAAGGTATTGAAGAAGCCGTTCTTCGTAATATTGATGCCACACATGAACTCTCTGAAGTTGTGAGAACCTCAATGGGTCCTAATGGTAAGCCAAAGATGTCGCCTTTGTATAGTGAATACATCTAAAGAGATTGTTTGTTTAGGTCGTAACAAGATGATCATCAATCACCTTGAAAAGCTTTTTGTTACTAATGATGCTGCTACCATCATCCGTGAGCTTGATGTTGTTCATCCCGCTGCCAAACTTTTGGTAATGGCTTCTCAACAACAAGAAAATGAATTGGGCGACAATACCAACTTGATTTTGGTCTTTGCTGGTGAACTTTTGCAAAAAGCTGCTGACCTCTTGAAGCTTGGTCTTCATCCTTCTGAAATCGTACAAGGTTACGAATTGGCTAGAGACCGTGCTTTGTCTATCCTTGAAGGTAAACCATAAGCACGTATATACAATGTGTATTTAACAAGGCCCCCCTTTTTTTTAGAATTGTCTGTTGGCAAGATCGAGTCTTTGACTGACCGTGCTGAACTCAACAAGCTCATCAAGGCCACTATTTCTTCAAAGCAGTATGGTTATGAGGACTTTTTAGGGGAGTTGGTTTGTGAAGCTGCATTGAACATCATGCCCAAGAATGTCAAGGACTTCAATATTGACAATGTGCGTGTAGTCAAAGTAATGGGTTCTAGTATTCATGAATCACGCGTTGTACGTGGTATGGTATTCGGCCGTGAGCCCGAAGGTATTGTTCAAAAGGCTCAAAATGCTAAGGTTGCTGTCTTTACTTGCCCCTTGGACATCTCTCAAACGGAAACCAAGGGCACTGTCTTGATTCATAATGCACAAGAAATGTTGAATTTCAGCAAAGATGAAGAAAAGCAAGTTGAAAAGATCTTCCAAGACTTGGCCGAGGCTGGTGTCAAAGTCGTTGTCACTGGTAATGGTATTGGTGAACTATGTCTTCACTATTTGAACAGATATAACATTATGGCTGTTAAGGTCCTTTCCAAATTCGATTTACGTCGTCTTTGTCGTGTCATTGGTGCTACTGCTCTTGCACGTTTAGGTACACCTATGGCAGAAGAGATGGGTCAATGTGATATTGTAGAGACTGTCGAAATTGGTTCTGATCGTGTTACCGTCTTCCGTCAAGAAGAAGCTGAGAAATCCCGCACAACTACCATTGTTATTCGTGGTGCCACACAAAACCATATGGACGACATTGAGCGTGCTATTGATGACGGTGTTAATGTCATCAAGGCTGCCACTCGCAATCCTCTCTTATTAGCTGGTGCTGGTGCCGTTGAGATGGAATTGAACAAACGCCTTCAGACTGTTGCTTCTAAAACACCTGGTTTGAATCAACATGCCATTAAGAAATTTGCTGAAGCATTAGAAGTCATTCCCCGTACACTCTGTGAAAATGCTGGTATGGAAGCCACTGCTGTCTTATCTCGCTTATATGCTGCCCATTACCAAGAAGGTGATGTTGGTATCAGTGTTGGTGTCGATGTTGAGAACGAAAATGACGGTACCTTAGATGCTACTAAAGCCCATATCTTTGATTCTCTTGCTTCCAAGTACAGTGCATACAAATTGGCTTCTGATGCAGCGATAACTGTTCTTCGTGTTGATCAAATCATCATGTCTAAACCTGCTGGTGGTCCTAAGCCTCTTAAGAAGGATGGTCACTGGGATGAAGACGACTAAATACATCATAATAAAAGCGGAGCTATTGTTCAAGTCCCCTTTTCTTTTCTTTTTTTTTTCTTGTTCTTTCTGTTAGACATAGTATGCTGAGTCTTTTACATCTTGTAGCATATGGTGCAACTGGTCTTGCCTTTTGCTTTGTTATTTTGAGTTTGGGTGCGTATGAATGAGTGGTGTCCTTTATATTTTTTTTTTATACTGATATTCAATAGCTTGTGGTCTTTATTACCTTGCTGAACTGGTAACTTGATTCTCCATCTCGACATGCACTCATTTTCTATTCCAGATAGAAGAATATTCTGTATATACAAAGAAGGTCATTAAGGCCATGACAGCTGTAAGCGAGAATACACAAAAGAAAAGTAACAATTAAGACGCGTAGGTCATTATATCATTGCATATTCTGTTTTGGATATTTGATCGACTTCCATTCTTTTATTTGGCATTTTCAATTGGTTGCCACCTTGTTTATAGCTTAAATCTTCGTACATTCCCCTTTATCAGTCTCAGCAGTCTTCCATTTATAGCCAGTTGCAGTAAAGTATAGATGTCTGTGTGGATCTATAACTTATAGTTGCATAGTTCTTGTATTTGTGGACCATTTCTTATGGTTTAGATATTTCACAACACACTATAGACCTTTTATGGACATTGCTGCATTCTTTGGATTGTGCGTATGGCTTGTTCCTTTTGCTTATTTCATTAGTCTAAGTGCAAATGACAATGCTTTGCCTACAAGTGGAGGTACGTTGTGTAAACTACATGGTTCAGGCTAATAACAAGTTAGATCCTGCATTTGTTGACTCACTTCCAAGCCAACAGAAACAAGGCTTAATGAAGAGCTTGTTAAGTTTAATAGGTATCAAGACTCAAGAAGTACCTTCTATGCCTGCCACTTCTATGCCTGCTTCTTCAGATTATTATCCTGAATCTCAAGGCACGGCTTCTGGAATTCACTATATGCCTCCTAGAGATATTCAAAACAGAAAGACAGCATAAAAAAAAACAACTTTTTTTATTATACATAAAAAAAAAACTAAGAAAGGAATTGGGCATCATATTCTTCCATGATCTTCCGATTAGCTTCAACCTTGAGTGTATAACGACGGATTTTGCCACTGTATGTTCTAGGGAACGAATCCACCACGAAAAGACCACCTCGCAATTGCATTTCATTCGCCACTCGATCAGCTGTAAATTTGATAATATCTTGCTTCAATTCTTCTTCTTGTTCTTCTGTTAATCCATACACATCTTCTACAAAGCGAATATAGCCTCTAGGCACTTCGATATTCTTAGCAGGGACTTTGATGCCCACAACAGCACATTCGAGTACTTTAGGGTGCTTCATCATGACAGATTCAATTGTACTAGGATAAATGGAACTCTCGTAGTATCGAATCATATCTTTGTATCGCTCAACATAGTACCATCTTCCTTCATTATCGCATTGCAACAAATCACCTGTAAAGATGTATCCATCCTTATCAAAAGTAGCAGCCGTAATTTCAGGATCATTGTAGTATCCCTTACAGATAGTAGGGCCTCGGATAATCAAATGGCCAACATCTCCTCGAGGAACATCATTGCCATCATCGTCAATCAAACGAACTTCATAGCCTGGACATAAGCGACCTGTGCTTCCAACTTTAGTGTCTTCAACTGAGTTCTTAAAGAAGAGCAATGTTTCCGTCAAACCATAGATATCAATCACAGACAAGCCGTGGCGATCCTTGAGTGCCTGTACAGCAGAGAAATGAAGACGAGTACCCATGTTGTACACCACAGTCAAAGATGAAATGTCATATTCGTCTGCAACACTCTTGTTACACATTTCAGAAATGTTGTAGAACAATGCCATCATAGAGTTGATCTTGTACTTTTCAATGGCTACACACAAATCCCTGAGTTCAAACTTGGTACAGACATAACACTCATCTCCATTATAAACACACAAATGCAACGCTAACATGAGAGAACTGATATGAAAGAACTTGTTGCAACCTAATATTCTGCAGGGTTCTGAGCTAGGGTCCATGGGACGATTGGCTAGAATAGCTACCATACCGTGTTGTGTGAGCATCACTGCTTTACGCTTGCCAGTAGATCCAGAAGTGAAGAAGAAGTAGGCGGCTGATTCTTTGAGCTCTTGTTCCGTGTAGTTATATCGGGACTGGAGCAGTTCTTGCTTAGTGTATTTGCTACTTAACGATAAGAACACTTGCTCTACTGTACGAATGTGTTCTGTGATACTATTCTTGACTTTTTCACTTTCTCTTTCAATACCCATAATCAAGATGTTAGATTCAGGAATATTCATTTTCTTTAAAAGAGGTAATGTCTGCTCTAAGAAGGGCCTGCTCATAATAACCATTTTGGGCTTGATATTTTCAATGTCTTGAGCCACTTCCTCGGGTTTGTAGCTAGAGATAGAATGAGGGATAGCAGCAGCAATACCACCTAATATTTGATAATTAGTATCGGGCACTTCTTATCGTTTTCTCTTTACCTGCAAAGACAATGCCGTGAAGAACACTAGGGTAATTGATATCATTGGGACAACAGATAGCAATTACATCGCGGGGTTGGAGATCATAGACTTGCTTTAATCCAGTAGCAACTGCGAGAATATCTTGTTCAAGTTGACCATACGTTACAAAATTGTCTGGGTTCTCAACATCAATAAAAGTGCGAGTGTTTGGATCGACCTTGTTCTTGTTGTTTGTAAACAAAATGTCAAACACAGGACTATCAGATGGAAAAGGATTGGGATGTGTAAAATGAGGTTTATAGATAATTGGACCCTTTGCTTCTTCGTGGGTCAGTTTAGGAACCTTTACAACCATGGTTAATTTGATAAGAGAAAGAACAAGAGAGTCTAGGTGATGAAATTTGGCCGAAATTAATTCTATTAAATGGCCTCCGTCCCTGAAGTCTACATAAATGACGACAGTTGTCTCACACTGTCGTAATACAAAGTGAGAGTTAATCAAGTTTATTTGTATTACGCGAATTATCTACAAGATGTGCATAGAACAAGCTAGGACACTGTTTGCATGGGAACCCAAGGCATCAACAGCTACACTAGTGATAGAAGGAACGGTTTCCGTTATTTTCGCAAGTTCGGACACTAAATAGTTTGTGGCAATCGTGTCATCCAAAAAGAGCGTGTTGCAATAGTAAACTCGAACCGAAAGGACATCTTTCCACCTCTTTCCAGATTGTTCAAGGGATTTGCTGAGCGAAGAGACTATATCTGTAAACACATCTTTGGTGCCTAAAATACAGTGCATAATGAATAAATATGTGTGTATGAATAAATATCTTTTACCTGTTAATTGTGCAACAATCGTTGTCATTTGTTTTCTTATAGATACTCGTGAGCCTGTGTTCGTATCTAAGTCGGACAAGAAAATGAGTCAATAAAACATGAAGTGATAAAAAAATTGATTACTAAAGGGTTCTTGTGTCAAATTAAGCGAGTCTAATTTGTTTATGCCTTCTTCATCTGAATCATCACTGTCCGAGACAGGCAGAGGAGCACTTAGGACAACTTGCCATTCTACCATAGCCCCTTTGGGAAGTGCCGGAACTGCGGCATAAACAGTAGGCGGTGTTTGGTTGTTCATGTATGTATTCCAGGTAGCTTCAGCTAAGGGTAAATAATTAGGACTGCTAACATAGCAATAACAAAGAGCCACGTGCGATTTTAAAGGCAATCCAAGTACAGAAGCAATAGTTTCTAGGTTTCTTAAAGATAGAGCGGCTTCATCCGCAAATGACTTGGGAGATGGTAGTTCTAAAGTGTTGGGCACAAGGCCAATTTGGCCAGCAATAAATGCATGCCCTTGAGTCTATAGACCATCAGTACATCAAATCAACATGAAAAAGTCATTTACAATCACACTCTGAGAATAAGGTCCAATATTAGCTGGTGCCCAATAAGAAATACCTTGTACATGCATCGTATCTCTTTTGACGTTATCTTGTGCTTTGATTGCAACGACATCAATTTTAAGGTTACAGGGACTTTTCAAGTGTGCACCTATAAGGGCTCTAAAGCGTACAAGGTTACTTAATCAAATTCATTTCTTTTTTCCTCTCCTACCTTGGAGAAGGATTGATATCAAAAAAATTTTTGTAGATAGCATTGATTCGACCAAAATCATTCATATCTCGTACTAGCACATTGACTGTGACCACATCTTTCCAACTCAAATCTCTTTGTGCTAGCTTTTCTTGTACTGCTTTCATGCATGCTTCTGTCTCCTCTTCAATGCTGTCAAAACTATTTTGTGTTTCATATGCAGTGGTTCCGGAGATAGCAACAAACGGGAAAAGGTCAGTAGTTGCACACTGCTCACGTTTGATATTTTCCAAGCAAACTGTCTTTAACTCTGGCTGAATAATTGACGTATCTTGATTATCAACGCAAGTGATGATGTCTTGGTATAAATCCCAATTCTTCCAGTCTTGAATGACAGTGTTACACATGTCCGTTTCTTCGGAAGTCTTTTGGATTACAGAGCATTTTTTGAATTTCAAATAAGCGACTTGAGCAAATGCATCGTCTGAGTGAATTATAGTCTCAGTTTCATCTCTAAGAGAAACTCAGTTCACAAACAATAATAATAAAAACGGCTTACACAACAATACGCTTTTTGAATAAAGGACAATCAATGGTGAATGTCTCATATTCGCCTCCTTCACCACAGATATGTAAATCATACATGTCATTCTACAAACAGTGAATAAAACAAACATCATTGTCGACTATATCAACCTTACCATCTTACACAAAAAAGGGTACATTTGTCCAATTGATTTTCCTAAATGCATTGGTTTTAATCCAATAGCAGCCACCTTGATAAGGATAGCATTCACTCCTGCATTGGCCATTTCATATAAAAGCTCTTTTTGATCTCTTCTCCATAAATAAGCAAAGGAAGTAAGGCCTAGTCGATTGCAGCTAATATTCTGTATTAGAGTTAACTGTAAGATGGTTTTCTACTTTACACATGCTCCACTCGCACTCGCTGATAATTAGATAGGATAGCGCCTACTGAAACACCCTTGACATCTGGGTGATTTTCCTAAAGATATATTATGTATTTGACAAAATTATATTATTCTTAGTTACCAATACTTCAGACAGCAGCATAAATAGATCTTCTGTTTCATCGTTAGCTGTAACAGTATAGTCAGATCCTTGAAGGATTGATCCACCCAAAATTTCTCTTCTATATAACGGCAGATCCATACATTCTGAATAATAATGAATGGCATCATGGCCTACTGTCTGGTACATGAAACTATCCAACTCATCTGCTCAATGTTAGCTCATTCAACAGAGAATGAACGAAATGCTCTACCTTTGCCTGATTGATTTGGAGGCCTTAAATTCGCGAGTGCAACGATCTCATGACCATTGGCTACACATTGCATCATATTATAGCAACTGTCTTTTCCGCCACTAAAACTGGAATCAGTAACTGAATGGTTATAACCTGATCAGAAGTGTACCTGATTAATGCCACGATCTTCATACTGGGTAAATCGAGTTGTCAAAAAGCACTAAAACTTTTTTTTCTTCAATAAGTAAAACCATACTGAGTTTGAATAAGATAAAGTTAATCTGGCATCCTCGAGACAATCTGTCGTTGACTTCAATAAATCATGCAAAGGGTCATTGTATTCCTTAAGCTCGATATGTCTTTGTCACTAAGATGCATGTAGCCCCTTTTGTCGTGTTGACTTATTCAATGATAAGATAACATTTATCAAGAGAACACGGGATAGCTAGATACTGTTTGTTGTTAACGGTATAGCGTGTTAGGTATGTCCTCCCTTACATTATGCTCCTCTAAGTTACCTATATGGTCAAGATGTGATACAGACAAGATGACAGTTCTATAGCAGTAAGTCCTCTTTAATCCTTTTGATAGCACGAATGTTAGAACTTTGATTATTCGTAGTGCAATTAAGGTATTTCATCTTTCATGTCGCTCGCAAATTCATGCGTAATGTTGTAGTATCTTTCTTTCCCTCTAGCTTCTATACATTGTTAGAAACAAGAAGCTTGCTTTCTGTTCTCTGTGTGACTCTTGTCTTTATAGTATGCTCCCCATTCGTTTGTGCTCAAGAATGCAAGACATCTCCTTGTCCAGAGCCTTTTGGGTCTTGTAATCAATGCTATATCGGTATAGAAGGGATATTTCCTGCTACTCGTGAAGTATGTGGATTTTATGATCAAGAAAAATGTAAAAAAGCTTTTAGAAACATCTTTCTTTGTGATGATGGTATCAACAGCTGTGCTTGCGTTGATACAGGAGCAATTAGTGCCAAGATGGGTGGTTTTCCATAAGATTATGACGATTGTATCCAAACAAGCGGTCGAGACGCATACCTATGTGTGAACGGCAAATGCTTATCCACATGTACTGGCATTGGTTATAGTCCTTTTTAGGTCTTTAATAAAGATTCACAATCATAGAAGAAAAAGAGTGGCATCTTATTCTTAAGCCGCAATTTACTAACGCTAGGCAAATATGGGAAAACTTCTTAAAATTTCCACTATCTTCAAAGACCAATTCCGAGAGTATGCGACAGATGTTGTAGTCTCTGATGACTCTGTTTGCTTGCTAATTGTATCATGAGAATGCTGTGATAAGAATGAAAAGTTTGTAAACAATTTTGCTTATTTGCTCAGTATTTTAGCAGCAAGTTTACTATGTTTTCACATCAATAAACTTGTAAGAAAGAACTATTACAGCGTTGCTTGTTGCATATTGAGCGACAGCAAGGAAGTTAGCTTACGCCTAGATTGATATAGGTTTACTTTGCGTAATCATTGGTTTTTTAGATTTGCAAGATGAAGAGTAAACTAAATGAGGTGTAAAAGAGAGATAAATAAACAAAAAGAGAGTTTTCTGGTATTTGCAAGATTATAAATGAATGTATGAAATCAATGAGAGTTGAAAGCGATAAGACGAATTCTCCGTCAGTTTAACATTTAGTATAAAAAACATCCCTTTCTTTGGTGAAAGGGATTGAGCACCTTTCTAGTTAAGCATCTTGTATGAGTGAGCAGTCTGATATATCATTACTTAATAATGTAAAAGAGATACCAGGTAAACATATTCTTCAACTGTAAAGAAGGTATCATTTCATGTAGATCTTGATCTTTCTTCCAGACATACAAAGGTATTATAAAGCCTGTTTGTACATGCCTAAACACTTTAAACGCTTACAGAAAGTATTTACTAACATGCCGGGTACCTTTGGAGTTGATTTGAGCCTAAAAAAGCGACTTGTAAAATTTGGTCAAAAATCACTTTTGACCAAAGGGTACTACTCATGAAAATCATCAAGCTGCCATTTCCTTGAGCTTCTTTTTAGCGCTACAAGACAAAAAACAGAGCTATCTGCATGATTAAATACTCAAAATGTGTGTCAAAGCATTTAGTTCTTAATGAATGTGTTTGCTTGCTAACTGTACTATGAAAATAGAATGATAAGGGTGAAAAACCTTGTAAACATTTTTGCGCTTCTCCTCCATATTTTAGCAGCAAAGTTGTTGTGGTCTTTATATCAAAAGACTCAAAAAGCAAAGATCTACAGCTTTTGTCACTGCACCAAAGCCCAATAACTGCGTCTTTATGTAGTTCTTAGCAAAAGCTCGATTTTTCATGCGGCTGGATGAAGAATTGGAGTTGTATGCATTTTCAATAACCGTAAAATAACCATGAAGTATGTCTTATCTTCATTTGCTTCACATTTACATTATAAGTGTCTATATCTGTACTTTTATGTGTTCTTTGGCGCTCTAAATAGCGATTAAGGTCTACTGCGCACTATAGTCTACACAAAAGGAGCTCTTTTCAAGCACCATTTGGTTTGCAGAATATAGATGAGTAATATTTGCTATAATACATGATATCTATGAGGTGTAAAAGAGACCTGATATGATTTGTACCATTTTTTTTAAAATAATTGGTTACCTATCTGTTGTATCTATGCATCCTATTATTGCGCTTCTTTGCTATCTCTTTGTTTTTATGCATACAGGGCCCAAGGAAGGCATCATACCTAAACAAGCCCTTGTCGGAGAATACAACCCGAAGCTTTGCACTTTTCTTAAAACCAATAAAAATGAGCATTTGCCTCTCTGGATCTAGTTTCAGATGCACTGCATCCTTCAATTTTTCTCGGATTCGGGCTCAAACCAACTGTCCTCTTTCAGTAGCCATGGTAACCTTGATCGGTCTCTCTGAGATCTGGAAGGCCTATTGGGCCCATACCATGCAAAGCCAACCGTACCAACATCTCTCTGTCTTGACAGTACTCGATAGCCGCTGAGAATGACCTTTCACCTTGAGAGGTTTCTTCTCGTAACAGCTGCTCTCTTTTCTTCTTGGCTTCATGTACCTTCGAGATTGTAGTACCTTTTTTTCCCTTCCACAATAAATAATTGTCGAGCACCTCTTTTATTGGGTCCCTTTCAAGACCACTTATACGTGCGGTAAATAAAATCATTAAAAAAATGAGCATTTGTTAGAAAATGATTAAAGACACGGTTATTCCATCTTAATGTATTAGAAAAAGTTGTAAAGTTTCGCATTATAAGTCTATTATTGCAAACAAAACAGCAATTTTAATATAAAGACACTGAGAGATATTACAAAATAGTTTTTTAGTTTTTTGGGCCCTCTCTCATCTTTTTCTTAGCATGATATGCAAGCAAAAGCAGCTACCAGAAACAAGAGCTTCTGACACATACACTTTTTGCCAAAATGATGTTAGTGTTGCGCTTTTAACAAAAAGAGTATCATGTGTTTTCAGAGAAGTCATGTCACATACAAGAGTCGTAGACGGTTTTATTTTCTTGAAAATCTAATACTATTAGAAAAAGGGAACTTAAGAGTACTAAATAAACACTTAAAGTGTCATTTGTTTGTATCCTCTTTTTTTTGTGCGCAAAACAAAAAAAAAACAATTCATTCATATATCTTCGTCTTGGTACTCTTGTTCTTCGTCTTGAATTTCTGATTCAAATCTTCTATGGCGAGGTCGAGTAGGCGTCAAGTAAATATTGGGTGAAGCATTGACATCAATAGTAGTGGCGGTAGAGGGGCCAAGTACGGAGGAAAAAAACGTTTCTTTTTCACGCTTGCAAAGAGCTTCAAGAACGATATCCTTGACATGAACATGATAATTACGCCATGAATAAAGATGGTCAAGAGTATCAATAAAAGAAGGCAATTCATCAAGATATGTAGGTGTAGCGAGTGTATATAATATGCGAGCAACAAAAACATCATCAAGTGGCTTGACAGCAAACATGTACCCCATGGTACCCGTCCAATCCATACCAACTGTCATTATCTTGTTCTTGTCAGTTTCAGAAATAGGGAGGTCCAAGAAGTATCTCAAGATTGCCTTGTTAACTCTAATGTTCTTCGCCTATTGTTTGAGACATCTGGCAGCAGGGCACTTCTTCTTTTTCCATTTGCTTGTGCACAGCTCCACGTCCTTTGTCGCAAGAATCAAGTCAATCCTTCTACCAAAGCCATTGTTCAAAGAAGCATTTGTACTATACAATTTTTCTAGGTTCGTGGCCACGGTCTTAGAAGCTTTAGATACTCTTTCTCCATCCAGAATGTCTAACATAGTGTCATCTAGAATTTCATCGAGTATCTTTGCAAATTTGCGATAGCATGTCAGTTCACTTGCATCATCATCAGAACAAATGCTACGGTCATCGAGGCAATGCTTGATGACTAAATCGAGTATATCCAAGATCTGTGAGCATTCTGTCTGGCCAGACTTTAGCAATGACAGCTTTTCTTCAGCAATGGCGATTCTAATCTCCTTTTTGTCGATTTTGCCATTTACAGTGCCTCTTGTCATTATTTCTTGGTATAATTGTTTAGCAGCGGTTGACATTCCTTCATTTATGTTTATGTCTACATCATTTAACCTCTCCCAGACTTGGTTGTTCAGGTATTTACGGAATACAGACGTAACGTCATTGTTGACTGTGTCGATAATATGGGGCAACTGTCATGAACCAAGCAAGCCTTGTTAGCCTTAGCACGCTTGTCTCAGTGTTCCAACCCTTAGTTCCAAGCATCAAGTTACCAGCATCTAGTTACCAGCATCCATGGCGTAGTTTTAAGGTAACAATGCCAAGCCTCGTCTTGTTATGACTTAGCCCCTTCCTCACATATATTCCATGCTACCTCAACGTTAGTATAAATAGTTTAGTTATTCTGTCGTTGAGTTACTTCTTCGTCAGTTATATTATCAACGTATAATATAATAAATATCTTTATATTCTCTAGCCAATTGATAAGCTCATCTTGCCTATAAAGTATTCTTCGGTCTGTCTTGTTTCTGACAACAACGAAAGCTTCAAAGCATTCACTTGTATGATGTTGCTTAGATCGATTGTCATTGCCAGCTTGGCTGACATGCCATCTAGCTGTTCGCCTAGTGTTGTTGGGCTAAATTCTCTAATAAGATTTTCTAGGGCAAAAGCATCCTCCATGTAAAATGTTTTAGACAACTACAACATCATTGAAAAAAACAAAATCAACACCTGAATTTTTCCTTTTTCTGAAACTTACAGCTTTGGATCCATAAATATATACTAATCTTCGAAATTCAAAAGGAGGCAACGATGCAACAGGCGTTGAAAGAGGGTTTTTAAAGAGGCTATCTAAGGCATCAGAATCGTCAGGCGGTACAGAAATCTGTAGTTCACTGTTTTCTTCAATCTCATTGGCTTTTCTTTTCCCTTTATTTAGCACTGATATTTTACTTTGTACAGCTGTATTTTCTGATCTATTTGAACTCATGGCTTCATTTTGTGTGGCTGAATTGAACATACTTTCAGCTCTCTCTTTTCCTTTGTCTGATGTTGTTGGTTTTCTGACTTGTGTAACGGTACTTAATTCTGAATTTTCATTTGATGCTAGTGAGTTTAGAACAAGGCTTGCATTTCCTGAGCTCGATACGGCACATTGAGAGTAGTTGTTTCTAACTTTAACTTGAGCAACTTCTTTGGGTTTGAAGGTTTTCATTTGATTGAGGGAACGATATTGTTAATGAATATGTAGATATACGTTTTTCTTTAGTTTACTGCGATTACTTTTGGTAAAATTGAATTTAGTACGCGCTTAACATCAGAAGGCGTTTCTTCACTCTTTTTGATATTCTCAATTTCGTTGCGAAATTGCTCTGAGGATTTTCCAAACTTTCTCACAGAAGAGTTTTTAAGTTGTGCGTGTTGAGCGTAACCATGAACACTCCATTTGCCTAGCGGTGTAGATTTAAAATAAGAGGAACACTTTACAGTAGAGATTTCTGGCACTTGATAGTTCAGAGCGTCGTTGTTCATGATCAACTCTTGAAATGACGGAAAAGATTGTTTGGGCACGAATAAGGTGTGAGATCAAAAACCTTATGCGCATGAGAAAACTGGAAACACAGATTGGTGACGCAATGTGTGACTTTTTTTGTAAAATATGTTGGCTTTAATCTATTAGACTGGCGCGTCCTCTTTTTTTTTTTTTTTTTATTAGATCTATCTTGCCTAGTCTCATCTCAAAGGTAGACTTATGGATTTATAAATGTTTCTCTTTCTTTGCATCTAAAAGACAGAGCTTGGCTGTAAAGTGACCCCGCCTCTCCATACTGAGGGATTCTATAAAGTATGGACTTGGCTGCTCTGCTCAGTCTGTGGCGACTTTGGTGGCTGTCCCTGGCTGCAACCCAACCCTCGTCCATGTTTCTCAGTAGAGTTTGCTACTTTTGCTGTTGCATGGTTCCAGGTAGTCGGCAGATTGATATTGTCATCTTTTTTAAGGCGTTTTTGTAAAATTCTACTAACGAATTTGATAGCGAAAACTTCTGAGCTTTTGAAATGGTAGGACCATAAGTTACAGCCTTTACAATGACGTTAGTTTACAACAGTGCAGATGAATTTGTTACAACCAATCTTTTAGTGCATGACTTCTATTAGAAATATCCCACTGCCATTCTAGATCAGATGTCTAGTAGCTTTGTGGACTTGAACAATTCAAGAAAAAAATACTCTACTATTAAGGGCATTCTTGCTTAGATGGAAATTATCTGATTATGGATATTACGCCTATGCACACAAGCAAAACAATTGGTGAAACGAAAGAGCCACTTTTTCTAATAAACAATTCGATTCTTTAGTCATTTAAAGCATGTTAATTTTTAGTGTAGTAAATGACGCCAAAAGTGCTATGTATCTTCGTATACCTTACTTGTAAACATTCCTTGTACTAAAGATCTGTATGGAATTAGAAAAATGTCTAGTTTTAAGTTTGATATTCATAAAATACTGAGAAAGATCTAAATGTACAATGCCAGGATAGTCTATACGGGCTACAAAGAGTGCAGATAAAAACGCATAAAAACCAGCTTATTATCCCAAAAAAAGCAAGGAAGGCTTTGTAAGATTAGACTTTGTACAAAACAAAAAAGCTATTTCATGGTCTCTGACAAATATAGACGCGACTTTATTTTGCACAAAAAAAGAAGACGCGTTGTGTGTACTACCTCGATTTTTGCTTTTTCTTTATTCTAGTTTCCCTATGCCGCGCGAAATTATTACTTTACAAGCTGGTCAATGTGGCAATCAAAGTAAGCTCCTATTGTTAGTGTATCATGCTTTAACATTTTTTTGTTAGTCGGAAGTGAGTTTTGGAAACAGATTTGTGCAGAACATGGTATTAGCAACGATGGTACTTTAGAGGACTTTGCTACTGAAGGTGGCGATAGAAAAGACGTGTTTTTTTATCAGGTATGCCATTTGCCATTTTATAGAGTTACTCATGATCTCACTAGGCTGATGATGAACACTATATACCTCGAGCACTTTTACTTGATCTTGAACCTAGAGTAAGCATCAATATTATAGACTGCCTTGTTTGACTATACAATGATAGGTTATCAATAATATCAAAGCATCACCTTTCGCCAACTTGTATAATCCAGAAAATATATACACTTCAGAAGATGGTGGAGGTGCAGGAAATACATGGCCAAATGGTTATTCTCAAGGTGAAAAAGTATCTGAAGATATTATGGATATGGTTGATAGAGAGGCAGACAACAGTGATTCATTAGAAGTAGGCAGTCAAAAAAAAAAAAAAAAATTGACTTATGTCTTGTAGGGATTTATGCTGCTTCATTCTATTGCTGGTGGTACTGGTTCAGGTCTAGGTTCATTTTTACTCGAGAGGCTTAATGATCGTTACCCAAAGAAGCTGATCCAAACATACTCTGTGTTCCCCAACTCAGAAGAAGTGTCTGATACTGTTGTTCAACCGTACAATAGCATGCTAGCATTAAAGCGCTTGATTCATAATGCTGATAGTGTTGTTGTGCTTGATAATGCTGCATTGTCTCGTATTGCCACTGATAGACTGCATATTCCGCAACCAACATTTGAGCAAACAAATCAACTGGTGTCTACAGTCATGTCAGCAAGTACAACCACACTTAGATATCCTGGCTATATGAACAATGATTTAGTAGGTATAGTAGCATCACTTATTCCAACACCTCGATGTCACTTTTTGACAACTGCATATACACCTTTTTCAAGTGAACAAGTAGAAAAAGTAAGAAGCTTATGATTGAATATGTTTACTTATGTATATACAGGCCAAATCCATCCGTAAAACCACTGTCTTAGATGTCATGAGGAGACTACTTCAGCCCAAAAATCGCATGGTATCCACAGTCCCATCTAAAAGAAGCTGCTACATTTCTGTGTTAGATATCATTCAAGGTGAAGCAGATCCAACAGATGTACACAAATCGCTGTTGCGTATCCGTGAAAGACGTGTAGCATCATTTATACCTTGGGGACCAGCTAGTATTCAAGTCGCTCTTTCAAAGAAATCACCCTATGTACAAACTCCTCATCGAGTGAGTGGTTTAATGTTGGCTAACCATACGAGCATTGCCTCTTTATTTAAGCGTACTTGTGATCAATATGATAAGTTAAGGAGACGTAATGCCTTCTTGGAGCAGTATAGAAAGTTTAACATGTTTGCTGATGATTTGGATGAATTTGATGACTCAAGAAATGTAGTACAAGAATTGATTGATGAATACGAGGCATGTGAGACACCTGAATATGTCAATTTCGTAAGTATCTACCCATTCAGTCTTTTGTTAACATGTACTTTTATAGGGTGCCAAAAATACACCTATGGAGACTTTTTAATAAAGGTTTATTTACAACGAATGGAATGAATGTGTATATATATGTATAAATATGGTTTCTCTTTAGTTTTTTTTTATCTATTTTTCAGTCAAGTTGTTTTGGTAATCATGCAAACGAAGCAAATTACGTTCCAACATGGCTACTGTGACTTTACCAACAGATGGCACAAAGATAGAGGCTTTAGACTTGACATCTTCTTCAAAGTTAGCAAAACTAGAAAAGTTGATAGCAACAACACCCTCTTTCAATAAAGAAGTAGATAGCTTATAGTTGGGAGTGGGAACACCTGTAATAACAACATCACATTGAGGAATAACTTGTTCAACAGTAGCATCAATGTCTTCCACCTTGTGTGCCTTTAATTTGATACCAGTGCCACGGGTAAAGAGTTGGATACCATTGACATCAATAGAGTAGACCTTAGCACCATCATTGGAAAGCATAGCAGCCAAAGGACGACCCACAATTTCACTTCGGTTAACAACAGCAATAGTACGACCATACAAACGGTTACCGTAGGGAATAACAGGGTTGTAGACACCAATGAATTCAAGAATCTTTTAACCAAGTTAATTTAAATAAGGTGTTGTCATGCTCTTACCTTAACAATAGCAAGGGGAGTGCATGGAATAATACATTTCATGGTCTCTTCTTGATCCATGAAACGAATGTTGTGGTACACATTTTGAACAAACTTGTGGCAAAGACCTTCAACATCCTTGAGTTCACTGACACAGCTTTGAAGATATAAATCCTTTTTTTTTTTTCACTGATGTCAGATTCGAGTGATCAATCAGATAAAAACTTACCTGCTTTCCTCCAAAAACGGGATAATAGACCATAATACCATTGACTGCTTTGTCTTCATTGGCTTCTGTGATAGCTTCTTCCAAGTCTAACTTAGCTATCTTACGAAGTTCGAATTGAACACCAGTTTCAGCACAAGTCTTGGAAGTCCATTCAGCATATTTCATGGCAGCAGGATCTTCATTAGCAAGGAAACCAACTAGTTTAGGACTGATGTTGCGCTCCTTGATATCTTGTTTGATTTGATTTCTAATCTATGGTTAATACAGCCATAGAGTATGCTTTTATTTTACCTGAAAGATGCAGAGACTTTGGAGGCAAGAACAGTTTTACAAGTAGACATGGTAATAACAGCGTAAAGAAAAAGATAAAAAAACAGAGATGGAAATTCGGAGATGCTTTATACCAAAAAAAAAAAAAAAAAAAAAAAAAAAAAAGCAGTCGAATACTCATGCAAAAAAAAAAAGAAAAAAAGAGATCTCCGCTCTAGTTTTAACATCCCAACCTGTTTATTGTCGTCTATACTTGTTCCATAACGACACTAGGTAATGCTGTCTTTCGAGAAGCATTGATCAAGTTAACAAGCTCTCTTCTTTGATGAAGACGCTTAGATCTTCTCTCTTGACCTCCTTCATAAATCTCCATACCACATTCTGTCTGTGGTACTACTTTAGGGATAATAACAGGGACATTATCATTGTCCAAAGCAGCTATAAAATGATAAATATATGTTTTTTTTTGTTACTCTTGAATCTTACTAATAGTAAAAAAACCATCGTTTGTAAATTTTGTTTCACCCGTCAATAGGTTCTCTATTTAGACACTAAACAAGCTGTTCAAAATAGAAAGATTTACCTGCTTCTACTGTAACATAGACCTCCATAGACGAGTTGAATGCTCTAGAAACAACAGACCGTATTGTTACTACATCACCAACACCTGAACTTGCAATGAAGTTTAGGCTGTCAATACTAAATAAACAAGATTGAGTGAGTCAATGTTTTGATGTGACTCATTCTCCGCTCTCTTCCTTTTTATTGTCATCTGCTCCGACAATCTGTTTACCTGGCAGTCAATAAATGCGCTTTGGCCAATCTATTGGCACTTGCAAGTGCACACCTTTCCATCCAGTCCATAATTTGACCACCAAATGTAATTTTGAGTGTGTTTGCATGCTGAGGCATCACAAGTTCCACTACTTCAGCAAATGTATAGCTTATAGGCCTTTCTTTAATTTGTTGTAGCATACGAGGATCTTGTGAGAATCGACGTCCCTTTTTTTGGGCCAAAAAAACTAGCTCTTCTTCCTCTTTTTCTTCACTAGGTGTACCTGCTAAAGGGAAATAACCAGGGTGATGCTTGATGGGTGCATCTGCATCTGCTCTTTGTCTTAGTCCTTGTGACCATTCTCGCATACGTTCTCGAATCAGACTATAATCCGCCTTTTTATTCTTAAATCTTGTTTGACGACGACTTTCAGCCATTTCAAATCGCTTGAGTTCCATAGGAGACTGTGGCATAATTTCGGGCACAGGAATCGTCTGTAGATCAGATAACATTCGGCCTAAATATGTTCTAGCAGAAGGGCGAGGTGATAGTGCGACAAAGGTTAAATAGGCATGAGCAACAAAGAATCGCTCATTGGATAAAGGTGACTCAGCTTCTACTTTGACACCCACTTCCATAGATGTCTTCCATGATTTGTTCACTGAGGCTTGAATATAAACCTGTATATCTATGAGTTTGTGTATGAAAAGAATTATTTCAACTTACAATATCCCCCATTTTAACTGGATGTAAGAATGCAACATCATCTACTGAACGTGTTACCTAGCACAAAATAAGATTTTTTTCAGCGAAATTTTGCTATCTTACTGAAGGAGATACAGCATGTCGCTTGGCTGCTATTCCTGCAGCAATATCGATCCAACCAAGAATAACACCAGCATATGCAAACCCCTATTGCTGCTGTTTATTAAGACATAACAATTACAAGAACTATACCTTCAGATTGCACTGAGATGAACTGATGAATTCTGTCATAGTAACTCTGCTTTCATGAGCAGGTTTAGAATTAACACGAACATTGCCAGCTGTTGTATATGGGTCAGGTAAGAGTCTTTGAAATAGGGGCTGACTGATGAACACAAAAGCGTCGATACACTTTGATCGAACGACTTCATATACTGAAGACATAGGATAAAAACAAAGCTGTGGGAGAAACAACTAAAAATCAGAAATCCTCCCTTTTAAGAAGCATGCATAAATATGGTCTTTTTCAAGCTTTGAACGAGACAATTTAATAAAGACTACACCGATGTTTTTTTATCTCCAGGTTGAGTCTGTATTCAATTATGAGATAGAAGTTATTGAGAATATAGTTGGCCTGAAAAACTTTGTAATTTTCATCATTCCCTTTTCTGCTAGTTCTTGTAGGGGCATTACCTCCTCTAGGCCAATCAATGATGGATAGTGACCAAACACCAACTTGATTCGAACAAGTTTGGTCGCATTGTGCGATCAGATGATCATTGAACGCCTTGAACAAAGGTTGTCCGATAAAAAAGTATATAGTCAAATAAAGCTTTTGTTATCTTTTTTTTTTTCTATCAAACAAACTATGGTTATTACTGTCTCTGAGCTTAGAGTACATCAGTCCGGGTTTTAACAGTGCAATTTAGCAGCACAAAAATATAGTTGCCACTTCTTTTAGTGGGCAGTATAAGTGAATTTTATCAAAGCCAGAAACAATTACCTTAAAGTGACAAAAAGATTATCAAATTTATTGTATCAGAGGTTAAACGAGTTAAAAATATGATGATAGCAAGGAATAGCATGAATAGACATGGATGAACATGGATGAGTAGAATGACAGAAAAAATGTATACGTTTTGGATTTTCGAAATTGATTTGCACCTTAACGTAATGGACTTGTAAACCCCCCCCCCCAAATTCTTTGTTAGTATTTCTGACAAGATTTTATCTGTTGACACACAAATAGAGTACTTGCATATTGGTATTGATTTTATCAAGTTCATAAAGTTTGTTTATTTATTAATTTCATGCAAACGGTTCTTTTGAACACATGGTCCAATATGGCCTTTGGTTGCTCGGACTTGATCAATTTACAAGAATGGCTATACCAAGATAAAAATACCTTAAGAGCGCAAGGGCAAAAAGAGATAGAGAGAAGAGCATTGATCTAATGGTGTGTCTAGGCGTGGATTTGTAACCAAAGAAAAAAAATGGAAACATTTGGTTGGATGTTGGAAGAAGTAGACTGTTTGTAGTAACATGTTACATAGAGACGATTTGGGATGGAAGCAAATGTATAGAGGTCCATTTAGTACTCCAATAAAGTACAGAGTGGTCAGTCTTGAGTATTCCTGTGAGGAAGCAATTTACAATCCTCTGAAAGACAAAGAGCTTGGCCAAGGGCATTTCTGCATTCTCTAAAGCCACCTTGAGCAGTGCCTAGAGGCGATACTTGGCCCTGAAGAAGTTTCTTGATGCATATTCCGAGCATCTTTCTGAAAGTAGTAGTCAGAATAATTAGGCAGTAATTGACTAGATCAGTTGGGCTGCCCTTCTGATGAATTGGGACTACTTGTGCGATTCATCAATAATGAGGCGTGTATATCACAAAACTAAGTGACTTCCTGACTTTCCATATTTTTGATCTATGTTGGCGTTGACCATACACGCCTCATTATTTACGAATCACACAAGTAGAGAATCGAGTGTGTTGGATCGTAAAAGAGGTTGAAGCCAACGCCATTGAAGGGCATTCTGTTGAATAATGGTATCTAAGGCGGCAAGACCACCTTTCTCTCAAGGGAGGGTCAGAGTAGCGAAAGAAAACTTGTTGTAGTGACGATTGTTAATGAAAGATGCTCCGATCTGTTAAAGTTTGGTGAGTTGCTCTTTGGTGAAGCGGAAAGGCGCAAGACATGCCACAAGGTGAAAGATACAAGAGTACTAAGGACAGTGGCTCATGCCTCAAAACCAGAGAGTACTACTCATGAAAATCATCAATTTGACAGCTCTTTGAGCTTCTTTTTAACGCTATAAGATGGAAAATGGGACTATCAATATAATCAAATACTTAAAATGTGTTTCAAAGTCTATAGTTTTTGATATATGTGCTTGCTTGCTAACTGTACTATGAAAACAGTGCGATAGGAATGAAAAACCTTTTCAACAATTTTGCCTATTCACTAAATATTTTACTAGCATATCTGTTACAATTTCTATACTAAAAGACTCAAAAAGCAAAGATCTACAGCTTTTTTCACTGCACCAAAGCCCAATAACTGCGTCTTTATGTAGTTCTTAGCAAAAGCTCGATTTTTCATGCGGCTGGATGAAGAATTGGAGTTGTATGCATTTTCAATAACCGTAAAATAACCATCAAGTATGTCTTATCTTCATTTGCTCCACATTTACATTATAAGTGTCTATATCTGTACTTTTATGTGTTCTTTGGCGCTCTAGGTAGCATATGGCGATTTTTTTTTAAATCCATCAATAGTATATTTATATGACACTTAAGGCAAAAATGTTCAAAGTACAGCTCAAACAAGCCAATCTTTGATGTCCCATTACTCAACAACTACATTATCAACAAGGCTGTTTTTTTTCATTTAAAAAATGTTCTTTTAAAACAAGGAATCGAATGGTATCGTTGGTTTGGTTTTTGAGTGAAATTTATTTTTTGCCTCAGAGGGATTCAGAGATTTTTTGGAATGACTCAATGTAGTTCTGTTCCAACCAAAATCAGACAAGACTATTTCTAGGTACTTTGAAAGAAAAGAAATCGAGTTTACCAAGACAAAAATGTCGACTTGATTTGAGTATTGCCTTCAAATATGCGTTCAAAGTTCATTGTACACTGGAGATAGTAGAAAAAAGCCCGTTCAATAGGTGCTGTACTATTTGATGTGCAGTATTTAGACGAAAATGGCGTACTACGATACATGTCATGTTGAACCACAAAAAAATGAAAAACTGATGTGTAACATAAATGAATAATTCAAATACCGCCGACGCCCATTTTATTAAACGATCGCCATTTTTTTGTGACATAAAACGAATCTATGTAAGAAACAAAAGAATTGCTTTGATAAGGTGTATATTCATACAAGATATCAAATATTAGAAAGACAGTGGCATATGCGATACTAGAATTGAAGTAATGAGATGTAAATGATGAATTACATTCGTACCTGAATATAACCTGTAGGGCTCAAACCGCATTGCTAAATCTAGCTTATTGCTTGATGCAGGTGCAATAAGAGAAGTGGCTCTATCGATACAGATGTTTTACTGAGTTGATTGCTGGTATATGATTAAATGGCGATTTGATGTTCTGGCCAAACTCAATTTGATCATCTTGAGAAAGAATAAGTCCACTTGTATATTTCCAACTGGTTTCATTAGATATATATCTATATTTTATCAATAAATTATCATTGATAAATCTATTATAAAATTGCCTCTTTTCTCCTTGTCTCTTTAGAGATATACTTTATGATAAGAAATCAGTCAACTGGGATGTCAGCCAACTTTAAATGCATCGTAATTTCCTTTTCGGAATACATGATTGTGTTACAGTGCGATGGAACTTGCTAAATTTAGTCCTTATGACACGCATTTCAGAGCAAAGTAAACAGCTGTTTGCGCAGGATTTTCGACAGTTTAATAACTTGTGTTTGTCAAAGTGATCAATATACGATATGCTGCGTTGTTTGTTAGAAAAAAGAAAAAAGGTATTTTCATTGGTTTCGAATTTGTGAAATGTGGTACCTCCTTAAAAAAAAATACTAGCGTCAAACTAATTTTTCTTTTCTTTTCTTTTTTTACTTTATTATCATGTCTACTACTGGGGCTGGTACCCTTATATCCCAAGAATTAACTCCAAAAGATATCAAGAGACACAGCAAGTCTCTCGACCTTCAGTCTAACCCACGTATTCGACATCTGCATACTCGATCTGCTTCTGAGAGTGACGGACTTGAGCTTATGATAGCAGCTGAACAAAAGATATCAGAACCAAAAACAAGAAATAGCTCTGTATTTTCACTCTATAAAAAGTTTGGTCGTTCTCAGAGCATTCATTCAACTCATGATATAACCAAAACTAAATCAAGAGCTTCTATCGGCTTTGCTTTCTCTAATTTTCGTCAAACGAGTCAAAAGAAACAACATCGATTTAGTACACCTATCAACAGTCCAGGTAACAACAACGGCTTCTTGAAATCAAAACTAAATAAACGTAGATGTTACTATTGTAGTAAATCCTTGGTCAACAATTGAAGAAGAAACAAAAAGAATGACGCCACCCATACATCTGCTGGAACAGACGGGGGAATCAAAGTAAGGAGACATCTTACTGTATTTATATACTGACTTTGATAGACGCTCTTTACCCTCTAGTTTACAGCAAGAAATCAATCAATTCTCAATTGATGGTTTTGCTAGAAGATACTTTGCTACTCATAAAAGAGGCTTGTTTAGAAGAACAGTACCTATGGATGTATTACTCTGTTGGACAAAAGATTCTATTAAACAACCACTTTTATTACCTAACAAGCCATTCTCTAAAGAAGCCATCAAGTGTTTCAAGTTACTACAAATGCTAATGAATGATAGGCAGCGACCTCGTCATTTCCAGTTTATCGAAAGCCTTCAATATCTTTTGAATTGTGGCATTACTAAAGGACAAATGCGTGATGAAATCTATGTTCAAATCTGCAGACAACTCAACAAAAACCCAAGAGAGTAAGTAAGTTAAATTGAATCTCTCACACTAAAAATCAATTCTTAGTGCAAGTATAAGAAAAGGCTGGGAAATTCTTTGTGTCGTTAGTATTACATTTCCACCCTCAAAAAACTTGGAGTCCTATCTATTTGAGTTTGTTAGACAACACCATGCAACAAAAGCCAATGGACTCAATGTACTAAGCCAGTATGTGACCCATAAACTGACTTGTATCTGCAGTCGAGGTGCAAGAGGCAAAGTGCTCGCTGCAGCAGAAATTGAACGTGCCATGGAAGCACCTTTCAAGCCCTCTGTCTTTAATGAATCACTTGATATGATCATGGACATTCAACAAGATACTGTTCTCAAGATACCCAAGATTATCCCCTTTCTAACCAATGCTGTGCATGAATTAAAAGGATCCACAACAGAAGGGATTTTCCGTATTCCTGGTGATGCAGACGATGTCACTGACTTGGTAAGTTCAAGTCGATCTTTGCGATGATAAAGTAATAGATTTTAGCGTATTCGTATCGAAAATGGCAATTATGATTCGACTGGTATTCAAGATCCCAATGTGCCTGCTTCTCTTTTAAAGTATTGGCTACGTGATTTGGCTGAGCCATTGATCCCCACTGAACTATACCAGGGCTGTATCCAATATGCCGAAGATAAACATAAATGCTTGGAAATTGTGAATTCATTGCCTGATACTAATAGGCGCATTGTGCTCTACATGATTCGATTCCTGCAGGTAACATAGCCAATCAATTTATGTGCATCTTATTTACGATATTTTAGGATTTTATTGATCCACAAGTCACTCAACATACTTTAATGAACGTATTCAATTTGGCCATGGTTTTTGCGCCCAATTTTCTTCGATGTCCTTCTACTAACTTGGCTACCATCTTTGAAAACTCCAAATATGAACAAATTTTTCTTCGAACCTTAATTGCGGAATTAAGTGTAGAAAAGGATGCCTGTGCTTATAGTGAAAATCAAGTGTTTGGTAAAATAAAATAATGTAGCACACCTTTTTTTTTCTCGTTGGACAAGAAGCTTTTTTATTCGTTATTAAACTATACACATTCTCTTTTCTCTGTTGCTTTATCCTTTCCTTTCCTTTTTTTTTTCTTTTTGAATGAACATCTTTTGTTGGTTGACAACGCTCCTTTTTACTGGTTTAGTATTAGCACAAGACGATGCATTTGACAAGACTATTGATCGATACAGTTTCAAGACAGTCATTACAAATGGTAAAGAAAAAAAGTAGATGTGTGCACTTTATATTTATGAATCAATAGCTTCATTAAGTGGATTCACAATTGAATATAAAAACTATTACAAGATTGTGACAAACACAATCACTTCAAAATCATATTGTCTTGTTGGATTTGAGCAAGCATTACCTGAAGGCTGTCATGCAGAGACAACTATTCATATTCCTGTCAAATCATTCTCTGTAGAGGCTGATTCTTATAGTGTCGTGCCTTTTATTGAAGTAAGTGATTGTGTCAAAAGAGATATCTCATTTATTTTAAGCTGCTTGGACTACAAAACAATATGACTAAAACGCCCACTACCAACATCAGTTCACCTTGTGTTCGAGATGGAAGTGCAGATACAAGCATTACTTCACCTGACATGGTCTTCTCTTCTTCTTCAAATTATGGTGCTATGTATGTTGGATTCTCCGCAGACAAGGATACACTACTTCCTCTCCAGGTAAATACATAAAAGGACAATGGATTTATTTCATGTAACACGACTATTAGAAAGCATCATGGTTAATGTACATTGGTGCTTTTTTTGACTTAGAACTCAAGTCTTCTTCTATTTACAACCAAATCGTCAATAACTACAATTGCCACAAGAACAACTTGGTCTCCAACAATATCCCTGTGTCTTTTACTACATTTGATCCATCCCATTCTCTTTTTACTGTCCATAGTGATATTTATTATCACCAATTAGTTCAAGATGCAGGTGGTCGTCTTGTTGCTACCAATGTGGCTCAACCCGATACATTTCAAGTGAATGTGAGTACAGACCAACTCAATCTTGCCATTGCTCTTCGTGGAGCAGAATTTATTATGGACACAAGTGTACCCAGTCTAGATTATGATACATGGCTTACAGCAGATAAACCTTATTTTACAGCAGACAACAAGTATACTGAAGTGGGTGCTGTGAATAATAATAAGGTGTATACAGTACATCGATTGGTGAACACAAACCATATCTCTGGCAAGTACAACCAAAATATATATTTATATTCATTTATTTTAGACTGGAATCAACGATCTGCTGCTCGACCTGACCTTGCCTTATTAGACCTAATTAAACTCTTATATCCTGATTTCTCTGTTGCTTCAAATAGTCTGTTTCCTCTCTGGTTTACACCTTACAACAAAGTAAATCAAACAAGACAAGTGTTGACAACAGACATGTATGGTGGATGTCAAGACATAGCTACCAATGCTTTTGCTCAATCTCAGTGTACATTAGGAGCAAGTATAGGTAGTACATTTATTCCAAAAGCCGATTTATCGAAAGAAGGGAAAGCAGGTGTGTCTGTTGGTGTGGTGTTGTTTTTTGCTGGTCTTGCGGGTCTATGGTTGTACCGAAGATATCGTCTTGGTAAGAAAAGACATCATTTCTATCAAATGGAAGATTTTTAGTGGTACTAGAGGGCTTGGCTTAATAAATGATTCAATGATGAGTCATGAAAATAAGATTTATATTTGACCTTAAAAAGGCAAGTTTATGATCTCATTACTATAATTTTTTGTAATCAATACAAAATGATATTTTTTATTTTTCTATACAGAGAGAGAGAGAGTGGATATATAAAAAAAAAAAGTAAAAAGAAAAAAGAAAGAAGGGGGTAAAAATTAGATACACGTATATAAAAAAGGTATTTTTTTTATATCTACACAAAGAAGAGAGGGAAATTAATAACAAACAGAAGAATTATTTTCATTTAAATCCAAAGAGACTTTTTTAGATTTCCACCATTCAATTTGATGATCTTGAGGTTGTTGTGTAAAGATGGACTTTGATAATTTACGCTTCCAAGTACCTGACTTGCAAATAGAAGAAGCCCGGGATAAGAAACCATTGTTTTCTGGCTGATTTAATTGTTGCTCAAATTCCCTGAGTTGGAACAAGAGGCTGAGGTTGGGATTGATAGCAGGAGCCAAGTTCTTGACATGATCATAAGCCTCTTGCATAGGCATCTTGAGTGTCTTCATCACATAAGCAATAATCACAGTAGCAGAACGAGCAACCCCACATTGACAGTGTACAAGCACATTCTGACCGGCAGAACGAGCACGATCAATGATATCGATGGCTTTAGCAAGTTCATGTACCAAATTGTCTTGATGGTGTTCCCATGGTAATTTTTGATAAGCAATGACTGTCTCGTTGATAGGACAATCATTCAAAGTAGAAATACTGGATGCTGTACTGATAGAAGATGCTTTGGATAGTGAGGGTGAAGGTGTTACTTCTCTACTGACCATATCATCCATAGATTGAAATAGGTGGTCGTATGGATTATTGACTTCAGCAGCCACATTTAAAATAGCTTGAATATTAAGATACTTTAAATGATCCAAGTCCAGTGTATTCTTCTCGTTGCCTAGATACAGGTAAGGCATGATTTTGGCTGGACCTAATGGATACGCATTCAGATTGTCTTTTTGTTGAATTGTGGCTGTCTTGATTGGCTCGGCGAAAAGGCTTTTTGTTGCTTCTGGTGTTAAGCATAAAGAAAGATTCTTGTTGTTTCTCTTGGCACGACGATTGGCTAATCCACTTGAAGTCGATGTAGAAGGTGCAATAGCAGAGAGTGATAATCTCTTTGTATTAGCATATGTATTGTTCATGATTTGTGTATATATAAAGAAGAAAAGAGAATAATTAAAAAAAATTTTTATTTGTTTTGCTTTTATAGAGTAACATAACTTAATTAATTAGCATATCATCCAATTAGATTTAATTCCATTAATTAAAGAATTTCTCCTTGTTTTGCCCTCTCTTTCTATAAATACAAAAAGAAAATTCCTTTGTATGACAAGAGATAATTAATTTTTTTGCTTACACAAATAAGGGAAATGTTATTTGCCCGCCAATTTCATTTGACCTTTTATATACATTGCATAACTGTTTGGTAAACAAAGAAACCCGCCAATTTGTCATCACTTTATACTTTGTCAGCTTATACAAACGAAAATTTATTACAAAAATTTAATAGGGGAATCAATAAATTTACAATAGAGAAAGAGGAATTCTAGACATGATCAAAATGCTGTGGCTTTTCAAGGGTATTATCAGAAGAAACATCCATCTTCTCAACATCTTCGGCCTTCTTTTTGTGTTGATCAAGGTCATGGCCAGTTGTCTCAGGCATAAAGAAAGCAAGAAACAAGAAACCAAACAAGTTGATGACGACAAATACGATAAAACTATAGGTACCAAGCCCTTGGTTCATATGTGGCCAGACAGTATTGATCACAAAATTAAACAGCCAATTTGAAGAATTACCGAGAGCAGAACCAGCAGCAAGGGCGTGCATAGGCAAGAGTTCGGGTGCAATCAGCCACGGAATGACACCACAGCCCATACTATAGGAACCTGTAAACAGAATAGCAGCAGCAATAGCAAGACCACCAATGCCTTGTGCGCCATTTGAGTTCTCGAGTGTTGAACCAAGGACCATCATGACAGAAGCAATACAAGTACCCCCCGTGGAGATCAACATAAAGCCTTTTCGACCTACTTTATGCATAAAGACAACAGCAATTAATGTAGCCAAAATATTAACAGAGGCATCAGCAAGTGAGATATTGGTAGCCAGGGTAGCATCACCAAAGATAGTAGTGAAAAAGCCAACGGAATAAACAGACATTGGACCAATACCACCAATTTGATTAAAGGCTTGAATGACCATGACAATCACTGTATTCCAGCTAATATGCCTGTCTTTACAGGAGACAATATCCCAAATGGACATTTGTTTCTGTGCTGATTCAGCTTCACGTTGACGAGCAGCAAGTAAAGTGCCAAATTCTTCTTCTACATCAGCACCTGAGCGAAGTTTTTGAAGGGTATTACATGCTTCATCGTATTTCTTATTTGCACATAACCGACGAGGACATTCAACTGTGAAGAAATACAAACACGCCAGTTGAACAGCAGATAAAACGGTAGGAATGGCCCATAAGAATCGCCAAGCAGGTGCAAAGGCCATGTATCGTCCACAGATCTGTGTCAATAAGATTCCGAGATTCAAAAAGAGTTCAAACAGTGAGCCAAGAGCACCACGACTTTTGTTTGTTGAGATTTCAGATACATAGATCGCAACAGAAGAACCACACATGCCTGATGCAAAACCGACAAAAGCACGACCCACGGAATACATGCCGAGATTGATAGCACAAGCAGATAAGATACCACCAAGAATCATCCAGATACATGAGATCATGATATTATCTCGACGACCAAACCACACATTCAAGTATTTACTAGCAAGACTGCCAAAGAAACCACCAATCGCAAATGCACCAATGGTATAGCCCCTAGGAAAAGAAATATTAGTTGTCAAATTTCAAAATAATCCAGTTTACCATGTATAGCTATCCATAGGTAAACAGCCTACTAATGGACCAGATTCATTTGTGCCTGGAAGACAATGATAAGATTCATCATCATTTACAACACCTATAATGACTCTTTCAGGCATATTTGGAACACCTTTTTTTAAAGCTTATCAGTAAATTGTATTACTCATATATCTATTTTTACTAATATGCCACCCAACATTGAACCCTGAAAATGCAGCAATCACTGCACATGCAGTCATATAAGTGGGAAACCCCAGGTCTTGTGATTTTGATTGAAGTGTCATAAATAAATAATAGAAGAAAAGATAGAAAAAAAAATGTAGATTCTTAAGTACAATAAAAAGAGAGAGAGAAAAAAAAAGATAAGGAAATAGATATGATAAGAAGTTACAAGCTTCTTAAGTATATATATCTTGAATATACACAGTGTAACTGACGGCGCCTATTTCTAGTAAGAGCGTTTATACCCTCCCCACATTGGAATATGATTTGTCACTGGGTAAAGATAATCTGATATTGAACTTTAATTATCATTTTGGGATTTTTCTTTACTGTTGTCCATGCCGTGTGAATTATACAAGTATATAATAGTTGAATTTCCATCTCCCGCTTTTCAATTCACATATATTGTCATGTTTTTCTGTAAGAAACTAGGTGTCCAAATATTTGAGAATTATATCGCAATTTTGTTTCTAATAAAAAGAAATAAAACCCTATCTCAATGCATATCTATATATACTCGATGAAAAAAAAGGGCTTGTATGATTTGCTTGAGAATTATAGAGAATCAATCGTGATTTAGCTTAAACAAGCAATATCCAACTTAAGGAATTTGTTTGATGTAATTCCCTCGTACATATGTCCATGATCACGTTATTTCCCTGTAAATATACCGTCTATAACTATCATAGAAGGTATCCTGAACACTCAGAAACATTTTCTTTTCTTTATGAAAGTCTTTAATTAAATGAATAGATATAGTAAATGAATAAATGAATAAGAGAAATGATATCAAAACGTGAATTAAAACAAGAATTTCAAGGGTTCACCAGTCAAATAGATTATCCATTGAGAAACAACTGTCATAACTAAAATAAGGACAGATACACCAATGGTTGTTCTCCAATAAGGTGCTGAGCCGTTGGGTTGCCATTGTCTACGTCTCATTTTCCATACTTCATGCACATTTTCAATCTTTTCTGGTGCATCTGGAGTCACCTTGACCATTAAATAAGCATGATCGCTCATACTATAATTACGATTGCCTATCCATTTCTGTCGCACATCCATACAGCGCACCATAGTCCAGTCTAATTTAGCCTTGAAGAGCTTAAAGTAGTTTGGATTATGAAGTGTGATTTCATCGGGATCCCATGGGTCATAGAAACCAGGATTACGTGCTCTTTTCAGTGTCTCGACGTCAAAACCACTCACCCATTCAAATATCTTTAAGGAGTTAAACAGACGCCAAATGAACCGAATCACACGAATAGGCGCCACAGAGAAAGGAAAGCCTGCTGCTGCTAAACGAAGGTTGTATTGATGTTGAGGATCACGGTAGACAGCCATGACATGGCGATCAAACCAGTTGCTTTCAGTATCGCCCAAAGACAGTAATCGATATCTATCGCGAGCATATTTAGGCGAAAGTCGTACAATCGAATGTGCCATCGTATTCAAGTCGCCGCCAATAATTTGATGTGGATACTCATCTGCTATTGAACTAGCATCTTCAAAAATATCAGAAAAGTTATCAATGCGATTAATAATCCCTGTAAAGACCTATCATATTCGACATTAAGCATGGTTGTTGATGCAAATTCAATTACCTCTAAGTGCACACAGTAGCAGACAATAGGGGGTAACTGAGATGCTTTTACGGTACCAACCAAAGTGTAACGTCTAAAGAGTCAAAATGAGCTAAAGATTCACTAAACATACGTAATACATTACTGCCCATTTCTTGGCTCTCTCAATTTCGTGCCATTCTTGTTCCAATCATACGCATTCTTTCTATGTTTGAGCACTCGAAAATCAATATCGTGTTTGGATAGGATTGCATTGCCATGAACACCTCCGCCCTAAAAATTAAAATTAGAGTTGAATTGCTATGGTTACTGTGCCTAGTTACTTGATCTCTTAATCTTCGGATAGGACTGTCAAGCTCCTCAAATTCACACAAAAATCCACCCAATAGCCTTAAGGACTTGCATAATTCTTGCATATGATCACGGTTACCTGATCGTTTGCAGAACACATCTACTTCCTGAAGCAGAATGACATCAGGATCCAAGTCCTGGATCGCTTTTATAATAGCTTCCGATTCTAGATTGGAGTATAAGTTTCACTTTTTGTTTCAAAGTAATCTACCATAGTTTCGTTCGACATTCCATTGTAATACTCTTAAAGACTCCGTGACAACAGGCTTCTCTTCGGGCCGATAGTCATGAACAATAACTTGGCCAGGTACAGGGAGCATGGCTTGGAACTAAAGAGAGGGAAGGAGGGGTAACTTGTACACAAAAAAAAAAGAATTTGTCAAACGTGACTTAACCAGCAAACAGCGGTTAATTAAAAAACAGATAAAGTTACTAAAGGTATAAGCATAAGATCATAGACACTTTCTAAAGCAGTCTTATCATTATTTGACCATTAGCTTAAGTGATTAAATACAAACATAATGCATTTATCTTGGCGTGATAAAATAGAGAGATGAAGAGGGGGCTATACAACAAAAGGACGTGACTTGACAAGTACAGGTGCATAGTGCTGCATCATAAGCGGCAGTTGAAAAGCTAACTTTTTGATAATCTTTTAAATAAGTTACATTTTTCGATGTTTTTGTTTTCATACCTTTCTTAAAAATTATGCAAACATCTCAAATGATTGATGCTAAACATTGGCAGCAAGCGCCAGATAAAGTAGATCTAGATAACCGTATATACATTGAAAAAGATATCTTTGGAATGTCACAAGGCAACAAAATAGAAAAGCATCATGATCAATCAAAAGATCAATATTTTCAGTCTTCCTCCTCCTCTAGCTCCATTTCTTCCATGTCGTCTTCAGGATCGAATACCTCAGACACACTTGTGGACAGAAAGGATTTAATGCCAAGGAGAGTGAATGAAAAGGAAATTAAGCGTATTGAAAGAAATTTATTGCAACGATTGGATCTTCATGTCAGAGCCTTTCTCTCAATGCTCTTGTCTATACCTTTTTTGGTAGTTCTGGTTGTACTTGCAGTTTATCAAACTACAAAGATGTATCTATTGGACTTGTATTATTACAAGACAACCAGACCTCAGGAAAGCCAGGAGTCTTTAATTCCTGATGAAGTGTTGACGAATGATGAAACTTACTATACCAACCGATGGGGATATGAAAGCGAAATGCATGAAGTAGAAACTCGAGATGGTCATATACTAAAGGTATACAGAATTTATAAGAAAGGATCTAATCCTGAAGGTATAATGAATTTCATCATCCATATGAAAATCTTGTTTAACTAAAAATAGGCAAACGTCCAATTTTAATTGGTCATGGTTTATTTCAATGCTCTGGCGCTTTTGTTCTTAACGAGGAGAAGTCTTTGGCATTCACCTTGGCAGAAAAAGGATACGATGTATGGGTAGGCAATAATCGATCTATTGGAGGATTTCGTCATGTTTCTCTATCGCATAAGGATCCTGAATACTGGAATTGGGGGTTAAAAGAACTTGGCCTCTATGATTTTCAAAGTATGATTGACCATGTTCGAGAATACTCTGGGTTTGATAGGGTAAAATAAATATTTGTCTAACATCATGCTGATGACAATATTTAGGTAGGATACATCGGTCATTCTCAAGGCAATGCTCAAGCATTTATTGCATTATCACTTTGCCCAGAAATTGGTAACAAGTTGAGTTGCTTTGTTGCGCTCGCACCTGCTGTATTTTCTGGACACTTGGTTGAGTAAGTCCCATTTAAAAGAAAAAAGGAGTGTGATGTAATTCATGATGAATAGTACATTTCCGCTAAGAATTTTAATCAATTTGAATGATTGGCTGTATTCCTTGATATTTGGTATGTTGCGTATTGAAAGAAAAAGAGACTTGTATTGATTTTAAGCAATAGGATCAAAAGCTTTTCTGCCGATTATGTCTGTAGCCCAAACGATGATAGAACCTAGAGTCTTTTGTTTTTTGGCTTATAGTATGTTTTCTTATTTGTTTTCCTGGTGGGATAGTCATTGGTTAAGAAGAAGAAAGGCCAAATATTTCCAATTCACACCTCGCCCTGTGAGCTCAAGACTGATTGCAGATTGGATTGCAGGTTGGGGACGTAAAGGAATGTGCTTATATGTAGGATCAGATCAATCCAATAATACAATGATGATCAAAAAGAAAGTGCCGTTTGTGATCTTTTATGGTACAGCTGATTTTTTGGTCAATGGAGAACGCTTTGTACGCACATTTGATGGCTACGAAACCCATGGATTATCACCAGCACAAATAGAACAACAAAAGAAAGAATCTATAGAAAAACGCTCTTATTTTCCTATGCTTGACCTAATACATGTAGAGCGTATTGATGGATACGAGCATATGGATACTATTTGGGGGCATGATAATCATCATACAACTTATCCCATTTTACTAAAAAACCTAGACAATGCATTATGGGAATAAAGAAAAGCTTTATTTTATATAAGGGGGGAATCTAACTATCTTTACAAGCGTGCCTTTTCTTGAGGAACATACCAAGCCATTTCATATTCCTTTTGCTTGAAACCACACTTTTCATAAAAGGGAATGTTCTTCTCTGAGCAGTCCAAAATGACTAAACAAACACAAACTGGTTTATATCTCCCCGTGCAATTTTTTTTTCTCTCTCTCTTACCTTTGTAGCATCCACGTTGAGCACCAATGTACTTGAGTGCCTGAATAATTCTCAAGCCCAACTTTTTACCTTGTTGATTGCTGTTTACTGCAATATCTTCAATATGTCCAACCAAACCATTCTTGTGAACAAACTTTCTTTCAACCAAAATGGTACCAACTGCAACAACTTGATTCTTTGCATCTTCAGTGATAGTAATAGTGAAGTCTATGATACGAGTTAGATCAGTTACTTGCTAAGAAACTACCTACATTGATCATTGTGTTTCTTCATGTATTTGAATTGTTCTAGGATAATATATAAGCAAATTTAGTATAAATTAGTTATGTACCTAAAAACTCTTCTTTAGAATGACCACCAACTTCAGTCAAAACTGTCAAGACATCAAGAAATCCGCGTTCATAGTCACCAGAGCGAAGGGCACGAAGTGTGTAGCCTTTAGGTAAAGCAGCTTGAACTTCAGGGCTAAGTAAATTAGATTCAAAGAGAGGAATTTCTGACATGGTCAAATAGAAAAAAAAAAAAAAAAAAAAACGAAAGAAACAAACAAATAGAGAAAAAGTACTTATTTATATTCAGGCTCGTGTTGAACTTGCTCCGCGGATGAACACTCAAAGCTCTTTTTTGGCTTTCCGAGGAAATAAATTAATTTCAAGAATTGTGATGATTGGAAGTTATTTTAAGATTCGCTACCTCAATTAAAGTTAAAGAGGAAGGATGTATATCTTGCTTTTAAAAATATAGTACATCAATAATAATCAATCATTAGGTCTTCCAAAAGCTTTTATTCGATATGAATATATTCGTCTACATACTGACTTGATCCTATATCATTGCTATATAGGTTTCTCTTTTCAATCTTACATCCACATATTCTCATAATACTATCTAATTCATATTGCATCTTGTCATTATCACATCTATATCTGATCTTTTACTCTTGAAACTGTATTTTAGATCCATTTGATGCATATCAAATCATCAAGTAAACGACATATATCATGTAACACCATCATTTTAAGAAGAAGTGTTGACTCGGGATGAATTTCACCTACAAATTAATAATATAAAAAGGCACTAGTAAAACAAGAGTCTCAATTTGTTCGGCTGTAGTCGACATCCAGCATGTCGACCAGATGCTGATTGTTGAGTGGAAGGCGCGGTATACAAATCTACGTGTTTGGTGATGTAACGAGATGGGATATCACCGAGATTATACAAAAGAAAAAAAAAAGGGGAGGAGGGAGAGCTGAGGCAATAACGAAGAGCTGAGACTAAATACTCAATTAACAGTTACTCGGTAAAAAAAAAAAAACGATCGACATGTCGCATCTGGACCTAATGTCAAATAGTGATCGAGTACAATGTCAACATGCATTTACATGAGGTAACTATGAAAAGCGAGGACAGTATTTCTCTCATAAACTTACCTTAAATCAATATCCAACTTTAAATATACTCGAGTAGATCAACAAATGCCCTTTTCAGCTGTGCTTTTATGCAAAAATCTTTCTCGACCTTTTTCAAATCATCTACTTGGTCCACTACCACTAAAAAAAGGCGCATGATGCACCAAATTACTTACAAGACAAAACGACATTTATGAAAGTATGTAACGTTAGACAAGAGAACATAGAACAGTAAACATAAATTGCTGCTCCAGCGTAAGAAACATCAAAAACCTTCCGTAGCGTCAAAAAACTCCTGGTTTTCTTCATCACTATTAGAGCCTTCATCAAGTTGAACCATTGGCAGATCTTCCCCAAGTACTTGGTAAAGCCCACTGTCGATAAGTGTTCCCGTCGGTAATGGTTTTGAAATGTTTTTGAATCAACCCAGTTATCCAGCGTCTATATATCATCAAGAGATATTCCTTGTTTCACCGCAATTGAGCGTACACTGACTCTTGATTCGCTTGTAGACTGTCGTAGTACCTTTCTCAGCCAAGAAGAGATGGTGGTAGTTTTGACTGCTTGTTGAGGACGCTTGGTGTTGACGAATAAAACGTCAGGCTGGCGTTTGACTTTTGCCACCGGATGATCTTTTAATACTTGAAAAAACAACACTGGACAAATGTCTGAAACTTGATGGGGATGAATAAGTACTGGTTTGATAATTAGTCTGCCTTGTCTAGTTTCTTTAGGTGCCACAATATCAAATAATAAGTTGCCCTAGTTGTCCCGAGTTGCGGATAAAAGAGATATTTTCTGTAAATCCTGTAGTGATCTGAACACTTTTCAATACAAAATATAATAAATAGTTTTTCATCTTATAAATGAATAATCACTTATAGCACTATACATTATAAATATAAAGTAAGCATTGTATAATGACAGTAAATAACGATAACTGGGATAATATGGATATTTACAAAAAGGAAACCATAATTGTACCTTTTAGATAACCAGGAGGACTAAAGGAGAATCTACATAGTCAACTCCCAGGCACAAGCTGCCAAAGTGTTAAGTAATCAATAATCAATAATCACAATTAGTCAATAAATCAGGTAGTATAAAAGACAACCTGGAAAAGATATATTTTAGGGGATTATCATTTATTTTTGTAATAAAGAAGTACTGAACAGTCTCACTGTATTTCTTTGTTTTCTTTTCTGTTTTCTATATTTCTTTTCACAACCTAAACATCACTTCTTCGTCAGTTATAATACTAACTTATAATATAATAAATATCTCTATATTCTCTAGCCAATTGATAAGCTCATCCTGCCTATAAAGTATTCTTCGGTCTGTCTTGTTCCTGATACTCCCCCTTGACGCTACAATGGCCTCTGGTTGAATTCGCTCTTGTATGCTGACGATGTTGTGGTGATAGGTTCGCCTGAAGCCATGCCTCATTTGCTTGCAAGAGCTGAAGCTCATTCTTTTTCTCTTGGATATCGTTGGAATCCGCAGAAATGCGTGGTTATTAACACGGATGATATCCCTCTCTCTTCTCCTCTTTCCTTGTATGGTCAGGCCATTCCTACTGCTTCTTCTTTTGCGTATCTTGGCTTGCCATTCAATGCCTCAGGTTCTCTGGACTTGGCTTGTTGTTGGCTCGTAATACACAATCTGCTCTTGCTGGTATGCGTAGTCTGCAGTCACTAGTCTTGCACTCTGCTGGTTTCTCTCGGTTGCTCTCTGCTCGTCTTTATGCTGCGTTTATTCGCCCTAAATTCGAGTATGGCCTGGCTATCTCTTGGTTTCTAAAACGGCACCTCAAGTTGCTGGATAAGGCCCAAGATCAATGTCTTCGTCTTGCTTTTGGTGGTCATCGTACCTCGTCTACTATGGTGTTTCGCCATATGTGTAGCCTGCCGTCTATGACAGAAAGGGTGCACATATTGGTGTTCAAGATGCTTTGGCGTCTACACCATCAGGTGCCTGATGACTCTCTTGTTCGCCTGCTGCTTCCCTCTTTGGTGTCATCTCGACATAGGTTGGCCAAACTGGCTGATCAAAATTCGATTTGGGATTCTTCTTTTGTTGTGTCTATTGGTGGTGCTGATGCTGATGCTGGTGTTGGTATTGGTGTTGGTGTTGCTGCTGGTGCTGGTGTCGGTGTTGCTGCTGGTGCTGGTGTTGCTTCTGCTGTTTCCAGTGTTTCTGGTGTGTTGTATACACAGCATTATTCATCCCTTCTTACACTAGTTATGCCTTAAAAGACCAAATATTAATGCCATGTATAGATGTATCTTTCAATCACAGTTTTATCCGCAGCTTCGATGGATATCTTCTATCTTAGCTTAAGCATGTTAAAGATCAGGCCATCACATAATCACAAATTGACATCTGCATCAATACCAATGGTAGACGAGGTCTGTGCCCTGATCATGTACCCAGTTCTTGTGTACCTTAATCCACTCAACCGATTAGCTAGTGTATACACACTCAGTCCCAAATCAGGGATAATCAATTATCATACAAACAGTATAAATACAATACAAAATATAGCCTTTAGTAAAGCAGAACTTCTTTTTGACCGTTTTGGTTCTAATCGACTTATTGATTTGACCATTTTATTAGTGATTATATCACAGAACAGATTGGGTTTACGAACTTGCAAATTACTAGCTCATGAAAAACATATATAATATCTGATAATTCTTCTATATCAACAATGTTTTCATTTTCATTTTTGCTTCATCACTTGATCAAATTTTCTCTGGTATCTTTAATGATATAGATAGAGTAAAAACATCATATTGAGTTAGTGTCAAAATTTAATGGTCTACAAATGCTTTCTTTAATATAAACTTGTGTGCTGATCTAAAAGAATGATGTACTATCTCTTACTTCAGCATTTGTTATATAGACATTAAAACTTGTATCATTTCATTAATCCTGAGAAGTGAAACAACATAGATCGTTAGCCGCATTCAACTTTCATAAAACTAACCCCCAATTAAAAGAATAAATAGTTAAACAAACGGCATTTATAATAGTTTTCTTAGCACAAGTTTGCTTGTAAGGTCTGTGCTAAGCCTTTGAAAGAAGGATAAAAGTTATTTACAGTGTTGATCCATAATACAGCAGTGATCAATCAATTAAAAAAAAATCAACCTTTTTTCTTTAATTGATCCACTTGCTCAGTTGCTGTAATGTCTGTAGTGATGCATTCTTCTGAAAAACTAAAAGAAAAGCTCTTGACTGGAAACTATAAACTTGGCGCCAATCTTTTCTTGATTAAAATCTTAAATGCATTTACTTCAAAAGCAAAGGTTCAGCATGCCACATGTACATATCTATATATTTTATTTTCAATACAGTACTTCTCTGGCATGAATAAGATTAACAATAGCTTGATTCGATTTGGTGTTAATGTTCATCTTGTTTCCCATCTTACAAATATATCCATTGATGTAATCAATTTCGGTGATTTGACGGTTTTGAATATCTTGTAATGTAGAGCAGGTGTTTTCACCAGCTTCTTTGTTCACTCTAAGAACAACATCCATCATAGATTCCATTGTTTCTCCAGGTAAATCATCCTTGAACACTTCGTAAGCTTCTTCACAAATGGCTCTCATCATAGCAATACCTCCAGGGTTATTATTGGCAATGACGCCTTTGTTCTTACACATCAAGACAGAAGCTACGCCGTTGATACACGAATTGATAAATAACTTGGTCAACATTTCCTTTCTTAGTTTCTTCCAGGGCAATACAGCGGCTTGAAAATTTGGGATAGCAACAATCTTGTCAATCATTTCCGATTTTTGAGTAGGATTGCTATTTGGGAATTTACCAATACGAAAGGCATTTGGATCTGTATAGCCTGAATGATGATGGATGTTATAGGGAGCTAGACGCTGAACAGCGTGTCGATTTACGCCAACCATCACATTAGGTACTTTGGACTCATTTCGCCAAAGATTTTCCATTAAATGCTCTGCTACACCCATACCATTTTGTAGCAATAAAACTGTGCTCTCGGGCGTCAAGCGTGAGGCAATAGGTTTCAATGCTTTCAGTGTATGGTTTGCTTTGGTAGAAACAATGAGAGAGGAAATAGGGGATGTATCTGTGGTATCGTCAGCTATACTTGCGTCGAAGCCCGAGATCACCTGGTGTTGCCCATCACGACGGTATATAATACTGTTTTGACGATTGCGAAAGTCTTCGTAATGAGCCTTGGAACGAAGCAAAAGCGTAACCTTGTTATTTGTAGATTTTAGAGAAGCACCTAGCAGACAGCCAATGGCACCAGTGCCAAGGATATGAATACTCATAGGTCAAAAAATACACACAGATAACAGTAACATGAACAACAGCTTATTTATAATAAATTGAGCTCGAAAATAAAGTTTGTAGTTTCACAACATAGCCAGCTATGGCATGAAACCTCCGTTTTTATTACAGGCATCTTTTATTCTTTAAATCCAAGAATCCCAGAGAAGACCACTTATATAAACAAATATAAAAAAGACTAGCTATTCTTCAGTAAACAAAGCTAAAAACCTTGTATGTTAAATAGTTTCAGCAAATCCACACAGGCCACTTCTTGCACGCCGAAAAGTGTGACTACAGCCTCCGATTTTTCGGACAGCAATATCTTGTTCATTTCTTAAATGGGTAAGTTCTTTAGCAAATGATAGCATCAAATATGTAGGATTCTTTAGGATCGAAAGATTTCTCTTTTCTTCCATTATTAGAGTCATTGTCTTTTTCTTTAGAGAAACTTTAGTATGTGGAGTGCTTGAGTAAATCAAAGAACGTTATCAAGACTGGATCTAAATCTAGAGGCAGCAATTTTCTTGTGCTCTTTCATCAAATTAATCCCAATAAATAAAAAGTTTTAACAACAAATTAGTCCCAATTCAATACAAAGGCTATCCACCCCAATTTATTATTGTTCAGACGCATTGAATCAAGAAGGTCTTTAAGTTTCACTTAAGTGCTGCGTAGCAATAGAGTCGTTTGATATAGAGTGGCCTAGTACTCTGGTTATATCCTAGAGATTGGACACTGCTTCCTGATATTTCTCATTAGATGGATTTGAAATGGCTGCCCTAAATTGATTTTATGCTTTAGCATGACAACAAATGTATTCATCGCGACCTCTGCCATGAAACAATCAACCGTAAATTACTATTATTCTTTTTAACATGCAGAAGAAGAGCATTGAGAAATGCAATTAAAAAAGCTTTCCCAAAAAACAGTATCTTCCTCGTACTTAGCACTTGTGAAACACTCTAGAGACAAAGCTTGGTGCTGGGCTAACGACGAGCAGTTTCCTTCATTCTTTCATAACCCATGTGTAAGCTCTTCTATATCATGGAAGAAATCTTTCATCAAAAGTGGAAGAATTTTGCACTCATGGAAGGAAGACCTTGGCCAAATCTTCACTCAAATATAGAAGAAAACCGCTATCAGTTACACTGTAGTGAAAGTATGTCTTTTTTAGTCTAAGAATAATTATTTTCCAGAGGCTTTTCTCTGTTGACACACAAATAGAGTACTTGCATATTGGTATTGATTTTATCAAGTTCATAAAGTTTGTTTATTTATTAATTTCATGCAAACGGTTCTTTTGAACACATGGTCCAATATGGCCTTTGGTTGCTCGGACTTGATCAATTTACAAGAATGGCTATACCAAGATAAAAATACCTTAAGAGCGCAAGGGCAAAAAGAGATAGAGAGAAGAGCATTGATCTAATGGTGTGTCTAGGCGTGGATTTGTAACCAAAGAAAAAAAATGGAAACATTTGGTTGGATGTTGGAAGAAGTAGGCTGTTTGTAGTAACATGTTACATAGAGACGATTTGGGATGGAAGCAAATGTATAGAGGTCCGTTTAGTACTCCAATAAAGTACAGAGTGGTCAGTCTTGAGTATTCCTGTGAGGAAGCAATTTACAATCCTCTGAAAGACAAAGAGCTTGGCTAAGGGCATTTCTGCATTCTCTAAAGCCACCTTGAGCAGTGCCTAGAGGCGATGCTTGGCCCTGAAGAAGTTTCTTGATGCATATTCCGAGCATCTTTCTGGAAGTAGTAGTCAGAATAATTAGGCAGTAATTGACTAGATCAGTCGGGCTGCCCTTCTTATGAATTGGGACTACTTGTGCGATTCATCAACAATGAGGTGTATATGGCCAACGCCGACATAGATAAAAATATGGAAAGCCAGGAAGCCATTGATTTCTGTGATATACACGCAAAAATTAAAGCTAGAGTCATAAAACAATCACAGTAATAGCCATAGACGCTAGGAACTTCTCATAAATGTAATGGATCTACAAAGAAACATATATAAATTTTCATACTCCGCAAAAATTATGCCGAAATTACGAGTATGCCGACTTACGAGTATGCCGACTTACGAGTATGCCATTTGCGTACTCAAAAAATATTTTTTAGAAAAAAAATAAAATGAAAAGCACTACTTTAAAATATAACAAAAAGTATTTTTTGTAATGGCAGAAAATAAAATAGAAGAGAATTTCTAGTATTTTATTTGAAATAATTAAAAAAGCCCATTTTTCAATTTTTCTGTTTTAAATAAATAAACGAGCCTACCGGATGGTGCTTTTGTTGTTTTAGTTTAAAAAGAGTATTACTGCCTGGTAGATTCGTTTTTTAATTTAAAACAAAAAATTGAAAAATAAGCTTTTTTTTTTTTTTTATTTTAAGCAGAAAAATAGAGATTTTCTACTTTTTATGTTTTTTTGTCATTGCAGAAAATGTTTTTGATTTATTTTAGAATAATGTTTTTTTTTTTATTATTCTTCAAAAATATTTTTTGAGTACGCAAATGGCATACTCGTAAGTCGGCATACCTGTCAATATTTTTATGATTTTTGAAAATGCTTTTGTTTTTTGTGTGCAAGCCTATCGCACTGATCATGAAGGCCTAAGGTGTACGAGTCTTTCCATAATTTTCTTCATCGCTCTAGCTACCTTTTCCGTAGAGCTATCACTACAGCGTAAGCAATGGAAGAAATCTTCTACCAGAAATAGATGATGGAGAGTTTTGGCCAAATCTTCACTCAAATGTGGAAGAGAAAGGCATTTGATCGAAAATTTGTTCCACCCGATGAAATAAAAGGATAATTGCTTACACTGTGGTGTACGGTTGCCGTGGTTGCTATGGCTTTTGTAATCACTCTGCTACAACAGGGAACCTGGTCGAAGAAGTGATGATCAGTAGCATTCAAGGAAGAGCACAAACCATTGCTGTTGTCATTTGGGAAGAGAAGACGTTGTTGACTACTGACAGTTGCTTCACAAATAGGATTTTTTTGGATACCGCTTAATTGATTAGGGCTTACTACAATTTATTCAATGGAAGGATGTCATTGGCTAATGACTCTTAATTTCAAATAAAACATAGCAACCATAGCATTTTTCTTTCATTAGTGGAAGATTTCTTCCATCGCTTACGCTGTAGTGATAACTCTACAGAAAAGGTAGCTAGAGCAATGAAAGAGATTATGGAAAGAATCATGCACCCCAGGCCTTCATGATCAGTGTGATGGGCTTACAAAAAAAAAGCATTTTCAAAAATCATAGAAATATTTCTTTGAGTACACAAATGGCATACCTATAAGTCGGCATAAATGTCAGCAGAGTGTAAAGACATTAAATATTCTTAAGATGATATTTCTTTGACAATGTTTTTTATACGCCCATTACGCTCATCGAAGAGTTATTGAATTTGCAAGCTTCTTCAAAAGTCTCTAACAGCTTTAGAAATCTTAACTTATTGTAAAAAAGGAAAGTAATAAGAAAACTACCTGTTCAAAGAAAATAGGCAATTGAAACACCGAGTTCTCCCTGCACAAGACATCCGTTGCTTATTATATCCGAAACTGCTCACTTGTAACTCGAAATTACTATTTATTATGACAAATATTATTCGTGAACATTTTATGCATCGAATGGTATAAGAATAGTATCGATTTGATAATCAATATCTACTAAAAAGGGCCTCTTTTCTACTATCCACAGTGTACAATGAACTTTGAATGCAGATTTGAAGGCAGTGCTCAGATTGACTCGACTTTTTCGTCTTATCAGACTCGCATTCCTTTCATTAGAAGTACATAAAGATGCATTTTTCTGAAAATTTTTGAAAATCGCCATTCCGAGATCCAAAGAGCTCCTTGATCGAACTTTTTTTTCATGGGTTAAAAAATAATTTTTTCGCAGCGGCCAAACCAATGGTATCATTCAATTCCTGGAGTTGAAAGAACATTTTTTAAATGAAAAATTAGGCTGATCTGATAATCTGGTTGTCAAGCAATGGAACAACAAAAATTGACATGTTAAAGTCCCGTTTTGCTTTTATCAAATATTTGCAAACGATCCTGGTGCGATTCGTACCACTGTTTCTAGATATTTGGTCACGTTTCTGCTGTATATATATTTTGATAATAAGATTTTTTGCTATCTCTTTGTTTTCATGCACCTAGGGCCCAAGGAAGGCATCGCATCTATACACAGCCCTTATCGGAGAATAAAACTAAGTCTTCTGGCCAAAAATGAACATTTCTTAGAAAATGGCCAGAGAAATAGTTATTTCATCCCGAAATTTTAAACAAAGTTGTGATTCTCTGTTTTCTGAGTCTATTGATGTAAAGAACACAGCAAATTTACCAGAAAAGTACAAACTCATACTACAAAATACTTTTTAGGGGGTTTCAACCCAGTCTCATCTTTTTCATAGCATAATGCACAAATAAAAGCATTCGAAAAAGACTGGAGCTTTTGAAGCATATTTTAAGTACCGAGACATGATGATAGCTACAGCCATTGTCTTATAAACCCCAAAAGAAGCGAGAAAAGAGGAGTATGGAAAGTAGGCCTTGAATGATACCCTTCAGAATTTCAATTCCTTCACCATTTTGAACATGTTGATTTTTAGTGTCGCAAATGATGCCAAAAATGCCAAGAATCTAACATTATTAAAATATATCTTATATACCTGAAAATTTTAGAATAAATGCTACGATGCTGAAATAATCACGATGAAAGTAATCTTTCAGCCCCATTTTTGCAAAATGTCAATGTGCCACTACCTTTTGAGACATATTTGTGGTAGTTTATTCATGAAAAAGTAATATTTTTTTGATGAGACTCATACTTGAGGCTATTGTTAACAGACTTCTCAAGTTTTAATAGCTTTTCGGACTATTGTTTGTTTATATCTAACGTATCTTGATGCTCAAGATACATTCAACAATGGAATGGTTTTGTCAGCGATTCTTGAGTCAATGTAACTTGCTTGACTTTGAAGTAATATTTTCTCCAAGTCGAAGAAGTAAACATCATAAAAAAGTCTTCCATAAATGCAACGAAATGGCTTTGGTCGAAGCTACTATGTCATAGGAGAAAATGTGATGTAAGAGCATTATTAAGTGATTTCTTCCTTTATTTAACAACGTCTTCTGGCTGAATGCCAGCCATAGCTCTTTTATCTATTATTCCCATAACAAACTCTGATATAAAGTGTGATTCTGCCATGGCTCCAATTCCTAGAGCAGTCAAATTAGCATGCATAAAAGTCAGAATGCATATTACCTGTATCTCCACAAGCTAATTTTTTACTGATAGGGTGTATGATGTGGTATTTAAGCACGCTTTCTAAAATATCCAAATGCCTTGCTGTCAATAGATGTTGCCACATACTCGTATTCATGGCAGGACATGCAATCACGGGTTTGTTTATATCCCATGCTCTTAATACGCATGTCTATGAAAATAAGCATAACATTCATGTAAACTTAGGATTAAATACCAATAAATTATCACATAAACCATTTGCGATTTTCCCTAGTGTATTTGCGTCTAAAGGAGCAATGACCATCACATCTGCCCAGTTCCGAAGCTTTGAAAAACATAAGACGAGTCAGGAATTTTACTTTTCATACCTCAATATGCATAATGGGATCTGAAATCTTGCTCCATTGCTGTATCAAGCAAGTGTATAAGTTTTACTATCTATCTAAATGACCTTACATTCCATTCATCTTGTTCTCTAAACACTTCGCAATCAATAACTTGATCTTTAACAAAAAAGTAAGCTGATTCAGTCAAAACGACTTTAACATTGACATTGTCATACTGCAATGGTGATTAGGAAAAGGAAACAAGAGTTTCTTCTCTCACCTTCTTGAAGAGGCTTACTAACAAAGGGATCTTGATAGTAGCAATACTACCTGTGGCTCCAATCAAAATATTAGTCATCCTAGAAAAGAAAAGTAAAGAGCCGTCATGCTGTTTCCTAATTCAATCAGAAAGATTCCCCCAATCATTGCCGAGAAAAATTCTGCATGAGTGCCCTGAAAAAGAAGCCTAGCATACAAAATGATTGGTTTAGCAGTACAAATAGACTATTCAATACTCAATTGCTAGTGAATAATAATTAACTTATAAATAAAAGTTCAACCTCCATAGTCTCCTTTGTTGCCTCAAGATTCTCGCTATTCAAGATTTTAGGAAAGCGTTATGTGGCTTTGATTTCAATGAAATGATTCAATAGTAACCAGCGCTTCATTATGTAATGCACCCTTAACCTGAATACTAAGTAATTCAGTGATTGTCTTGTATTTGTTTGTTTCATTGGTTGAAAATATTTCCTCCTTTTTCTGCAAATAAAACTAATTGAATATTTCCTTTTGAGATAGTAAATATCTGTACGACCTTTGATTGTAGTACACATAAACACCCAGACCATTATGTAAAGAATTAGGTCATAGCGACATATTTAAAGCTTTATTTGTAGAAAAACAATTAAACTTAAGCATTTCTCTTTTCTTTCTCATATCTCTAATGTATTGAAGATCAGAATACGCTCAAGGAATCATTGTTTCCACTCAAAGAAAATGCCTTGCAAAATAAATGCGCATAGTGAATGCCAAAGTCCGAGCAGAAAGAAGAAAAAAAGATTTATTTACCCGCTTAAACACCTACTATCATTATGTTGTCTGTATCAGACCAAGACAAACAGTTCTTATTGCTGTAAAGAGCAAACGAACAGATTGAATGTCATAGAGAAGCCAGACCTTACGCATTCCTCTACAGAGCTGTGGATTGTACCTCCTAATTATCATCAGAGTATATCAGGTAATATTTAATACGGTGTTTTGAAAAACGGCTGGTAAACGTGTTAAATCCTTATAGAATCAAATCATTGGATATTTAGAACAGGCTGGACACCTCAACCAGATCCTTTAGCGCTTTTGAATGTTGGTTGGTGTGCTTATTGTCATTCCTGCGTCCAAAAAGACTTGCCACAATGTCCATCTTGTTGCATAAAGCCTTTAATAACCTTGAAAAAGCTATCTGGGATTGAAGAATAATAAAAAAGAAAAATGAGAAAGGGCTATATTTAGTCGTTTCTTGCAGAAAATACTCGAAAAGAGACCCTCTTATGCATAAACAATTATGCTTGATAAATTGGTATTTCTTTTCCTTCTATTAATATAGAATTCTGCTTTCTTGTGCTCTTTCTACTTTCTTCATTTCTACGGAAATTGCTAGGCTTGCATTTTGTATATAAAAAAAAGAATGAAATTTTGAACAGAGAGATTGTGACGGAAGGACAAATTTTGTTTAGGGTGTTCGCCGAATCCAAATCTATTGCACTTTAATTTAATTGCACAGTACTAGGGAACAAGTGTCTGTGTAATCCATTACTCATGTCGCACATTGTGTCTATAGTAAATAAATAAAATAACATTTCACTCAGCTCCCGGGGTTATTAATAGAAAACTGGACGATCATATTATAACAAAAAGAGTAATGCACATGTTTATTGCTTACAAAAAGGAAGAACGTGTTTCCAGTAAAGCAAGTGACATGTTAGCGTTATTATCTAATAGCAAAATGATATAGAATACTATTACGTATCAAGAGATATAGAAAGAAAAAAAAGGAAGAGAGAAAGCAAATGTTTGTAAAGTGTATTGTAGTTAAAAACTATTTAACGGCTTAAAAAAAAAAAAGGATCTACAATTGACATTTGATTATCCTCGGTAATTCCAATGCCTTTTTTCGCTTAACGCTGCTTATTGCTATTACGATACACGTTTACCTCACCATATGATCCATATTCCGAAATCAAAGAATTCTGACTCTCTTGGCGCACTTTATGCTTACTCGATCTTGAGTTTTTGATTTATCCAAATGGTACTAAGTAAATCTTTATATTATGCTACTCCTCTAATAATTTCAGCTCTCGAAAACAAAAGTAAATAAGACCTTAACGCTAAACAGATGTGCTTTTGCTATTTTTACTCTTAATTTTGGATTTTCACTAGTAAATGATGTGCAACTTGATTATAGGAAAACGCATGCCAGGTCCAGATCAATTATGATTCAGTGTAACATGATACTGTATGGATTGTTTTATCCGTAAAATGTTTCCAGTTTCAGTTGGTCACTTTGTTAAAAATACATGTCACTCGCTTAAGTTACGCCATGGCTTTACTCAAGTTTCGCTTTAGTATATCCGTAATCTTGGGTCTCCAGCACTTGCATTGAAATATTAGCAATACGTTGATCTCCAAGTCGATTTGGTCGACTTTATAATACCGAGGCGTATAAGTATTGAATGGTTGGATCATCTGAGTAAAATATATGTTTTATTGTAATAGCCTGGCGACGAATGGATCTAAAGGCATAGTATCAATATACTCTTTGATACGTATTTTACATACTATCAGGTAACTAGGAGCCCAATCTGTAGAAGGGAAGTCATAGCAAGCAGAAAATTCTCTGGTCCTTGCGTTTTTGGCAACACAATAAAATAATCTGTCAGTGCATATGATACAAGCAATGTCTTCTAGAAGCTTCAAGAGTGCACTTTATGAATCACTTTATAAATAAGCTGTCAGATATATGTTGTATTTCTACGACTATTGAAGAAAGATCCAATACCGATGACTTTGCTTCTAGGGCAACATTTGAACGAGTGCCATTGTCTCACTCAGAACTTCCTACTATGCAATCATTTTATACGTTTGATGAAGTAATTGTAATGATGTTGATGACCTGAAGATTGTGAATGATGACTTTGATATCAAACCTGTCTCAGGACGCAGCGATTTAAGAAGAAAGAAAAAATTCGTTTTAGTCGCCGTAACGAAGCCAAAGCGAAAGTTAAACAAAACGGAAAAAAGTAAAGAAAACGAAACTAAAGAGAGTGACATGTATTTCCAACAAGATAACCAATTGAAAGTGGAAATAACCCATAAGTATCATGTTACACTGAATCATAATTGATCTGGACCTGGCATGCGTTTTCCTATAATCAAGTTGCACATCATTTACTAGTGGAAATCCAAAATTAGGTTTATCACACCACCAATGATTCTCCTTTCATTTGTTGTCTATCTTCACCTCCTAAGGCAATTCCTGTTTAAAGGCAACATACTTCCAATTTTCGTTCTATGATTTAACTCTATATCTTTCTTTCTATTTTTTCTTGACTTTATAATCAGTGTCGCAAGAGGATAAAAATTGGTAACAAAGGCCTATGTTAGATCGCCGACTTAACAATAGGTGATAAAGCAAACTTGTTAAATCTCCTTAAGAAAATAAATAAAAATAGCAAAGACACATCTGTTTAGCATTAAGGTCTTATTTGCTCTTGTTCTGGAGAAAGTCATGTACTAAATTCATTTGAGGAGTATCACAGCATGAATATTTACTTAGTACTATTTAGATGAATCAAGACTGAGTAAGTATAAAGTGCGCTAAGAGAGTCAGTTTCCTTGGTAAAGTACATTAAAAAAATCTTTTTGCCTGGGTTACAACATAAATAAACCAAAATTAGAAAGTCATCATCTTGTTTCGAACTCCATCGGTTGCACTATTGTACTTCTTTATAAAAATAAATAAATTTTCTTAATCCGCTCATCATTATAAATTTCAGGTTATTTTCTCGGTTCCTTTTAGATCTTTCTTTATCCCTCTTTTTATTTTTACTTTTTCTCTTTCCTCTCATTTACTCTCATTTAAATAGACATAGACGAAATAATATCGAAAATGGTTTGGAAAATTGCTCTTGTTTCAGCTGCTGCCTTAGCCAGTGTTAACGCCGTTACCACCAACTACACCAGTACCACCGATCCCACCAATATCACTATCCCTGCAATCCCTCAAACTACCTCTCTCGACCCCGCCACTGAATGTACTTACTACAATTCTCCCTACAGCATTGCCCCCACTGAATGGCCTTCTACCTGGACTATTGCTACCTCCAATGGCATGAACACCTCTGCCGAATTCCAAGCTTTGTACAACTCCATCGACTGGACCAAGGCTCCTAACATCTCTGTTAGAAAGCTCTCTGCTGCTGGTGGTCTTGACATGACTGGTTACGATGCTGCCTCTGATCCTGACTGTTGGTGGTCTACCTCTCAATGTAAGACTCCCAAGCTCCAAGGCGTCAACGCTGATCTTTACGCTTGTCCCGAACCTGATGTCTGGGGCTTGACTTTCGATGATGGTCCTAACTGTTCTCACAATGCTTTCTACGACTACCTTGAACAACAAAAGTTGAAGGCTTCCATGTTCTACATTGGTTCCAATGTCGTCAACTGGCCCTATGGTGCTCTTCGTGGTGTCAAGGATGGTCACCACATCGCTGGTCACACCTGGTCTCACCAATTGATGACTACCTTGACCAACCAAGAAGTTCTTGCTGAACTTTACTACACTCAAAAGGCTATCAAGCATGTTACTGGTCTTACCCCCAAGTACTGGCGTCCTGCTCAAGGTGATTTGGATGACCGTGTTCGTTGGATCGCTACTCAATTGAACTTGACTGCCATTATCTGGAACTTGGATACTGATGACTGGGCTGCTAACACTGTTGCTGGTGTTACTGAACAAACTGTGAATAACAACTACCAAAACTTCATCAATATGGGTGCTAACGGTACTTTCAGCCAAAGCGGTAACATTGTCTTGTCTCACGAAATTAACAACATGACCATGGATTTCTTCATCAAGCACTACCCTGACATCAAGAAGTCTTACAAGCACGTTTTGGATGTTGCCACCTGTATGAACATTACCAACCCTTATGCTGAAACCTCTGTCACTTTCCCTACTTTTGAACAAGCTGTCGGTGGTGCTTCCTCTGGTGCTGCTTCTGGCCAAGCCTCTACTGCTCCTGCTGCTACTGCCAATGCTTCCAAGGCTTCTGCTACTAGCGCCGGTAATACTGCTTACATCTTCAACGGTCCTCTCTTCATTGCTGCCCTCTTTGGTCTTTTAGTCCTTGCTTAAATTATATAATGTATTAAATATATAATACTATTACCCATCTATAAATTATAATTTATTGAGAATTACATCAAAAAAGTAAAATTATTCCCTCTTTGTCTATTAAAACAGTCTATTATAAGACCATTTATTCTTTTTTGCAATTTGTATGGTTCTTGAATAAGACAAACCAATGTAGTACAAAATGAGCTGTGCTTAACTTTTTTTTGTGATTGGATAGGCGGATAAAGATGTTCTTTAGAACTCATTATAGTTTCTATTTTTCTTATTCGATTCATGCAATTGCTAATTTACAGCAGAAAGTTACTTATTTTTTTTCTTTTGCACAACATTGAACTCAAAATCAGCGACTTTACTTTCTGAAATGACTGTATAAATTTCTCTTTAAAGAAATAAGTAAAGGCAAGATGCTGTGATAGTCCATTAAATCATAAAGTGTCCTCACTTTAAATTCTTTCTGTCACAACAGGTTACGAAGGTAATGTGTTCTTTTTCAATACAATCATATTGCAAAGTATATTGCTAGAGAAAAAGAAACCAAAAAAGATGTGTAGACTAACACCGAGGCAGTTCTTAAAAGATTATGGGAAGAGCCTAAAGGAACTACTTCACTTTCTATTCTTTAAACCTGGTAATCCTAACCTTAGTAAAAAGATCTTCCGGGAAAATGATGTAAGACAATCCAATGTGACACAGAATTGGGCGTAGTAAAGAGTAGGCCTTAAAGCAAAAAGCGGAAAAAATATCCGCCTTATTTTTTTTCTTTTCTTTTTTCACACAAATAAGAATGCCTCAAAAAGTACCAGAAGAAGGTAACAATAATTTGTATATACATTTGTTTCTGACCATAAAGTAATAGAAATGCCTGTGCTTGAACGATTATTAAACTTAAGAGCTCGACTCTCAGCTGTCAAACGCAACCGTTCAAGTTATCTTCGGCTCGAAGAAATTATGCCTTTACGTTTCGAGGTAGAAGCAGAGATGAAAGTGCTTAGTGACCTTCGCAATGGTCGTTTGCTAGACGAGTCTCGAGAGCTGAATAGAACAGATGATGTTTTGGACGAAATTTTACAAATGCTTAGTTTATGTTTTCTGTCTTTGGGCAAAACAAGAGAAAGTAAGCATTAGTCAGATGTTATCTTACACACGAAAGCTAACTTTTTGGATACTTAAAGCGCCTGCTGTTTATTCTCAAGTTGTAGCAATTCAGGTTTGTAAAAAAAAAAGCTATAGATGTCATTGAATGAAACTTACGATAATAGTAGCATATTTTTGACCGTTTAGAGGAAGTTGGTGTCTATGAAGAAGAGTTTTTAAAACCATACAAGGTGAAATTAGACGAAATTGAAAAGATTTTAAGTGTAGACAGCAAAAACAAGGCATTACCAGAACATGTCATGCAAGTATTACAATACAAATTTAGGCAATGCAGTAAGTGACATGTACAATTTTTCTTCTTTTTATTAAGTACATATTACTAGAAAACATCTACAATAAGCTTTTAGAAACAATCCATGAACTGGCACCTGAGCTGTAAGTAAAAGAAAAAAAGAGAATCATACACAAAAAGGCTGAATAATGCAATGGTTAGTGTCCCCATCCGAGACAAAATGTTACATATCAGACGTCATCTTGCTTCGATATGCACTCGAGGTGGTTATTTACCAAGCGACATCAAGCCTTTGCAAGAAAAGATTCGTGCTGTCGATAGTCTTCGAGTGGACGGTAAATTTATGGGTGAAGATGGTGTCAGTATTCCTCCAGGACAAGGTGTATTAGTGAATCTTCTAGAACAGCTGTATTATTGGTCACATGATTTGATTATCGCTTGTAGTGATGACTTTTCACCGGCTCTTCAATCCATTCGGGAGCGTTTGCTGGAAATCAAGAATCAATTAGAGCGCTTGGAACTGACACACAAATGGACTTTACGTCAAACTGACTTATTTACTTACCAACATCAACTTCATGATATTGTCAAAATGAGACATACTGAATGCAATGAAAATGGAGAAGAAACAGAGGTTGATCCTGAGTTATATGGTAGATTTTTAGACGAAAATGGACAAGCGCCTGAAGGACAAACTGTACTTGAATTTTTGCTTCACAAATGTTATCGAATGATCTTTGTTCTTTTAAGCGAAAGCGTACCTGTGTCGGAAGCTCTTACACCTGTTTATAATCAACTCACTACAGTGCGTCAATGTTTGTTGGCTGTGCAGAAAACCGGTGCGCCTTGCTCAGCTGAAGAACTTTATCCGTAAGTAGCTTCTTTTAGTAAATTTATTCTAAATCATATTTGTGTTTAGCTATCAAATGAAACTAGCAAGCATTGAGGATTTACGTAAAGATGGTAAATTCTATGACGATAATGGTGATATACCTGAAGGTAAAAATACTTGGTACTACAATAAGAACCAAAAGACTAAGCATTGCATTGTGTGTGTGTGTGTTAGGTCAAGCTCTATGTGTGGATGTACTTGAAGAATGCTACAGTATTCTAGATTCTTTACGTGAAAATTCAGAAGAAGATGAAATAGCCAAATCCGAAGATATTTAAACTGTTTTTTTATCTAATAAACTGCCTTGATATAAAAAGTTACACAACATTACCCACTTGTACTGCTCTTCTTAAAATAATGGCGTTGATTGGTGAATTCAAGTGTTGCACTGATTGGTGGTGTGTATACAGCTCTTTTTCTTTTATTTTCCAGGTCTTTTTTGTTTCTTTCGCGTCTTCTCTCTCGTTCACAATAAAAAAAAATATGGGCAGTAAGTTTTATAAGCAGCATAAATTACAATGATGCTTATAGTATTTGATTAGTCCGGGTACTTCGCTTCTTCAAGCCTTTTATGGCTGCCCTTCCTGAGATAGAGTCTCCTGATCGTAAAGTAAGTTTGCAAGATGATGAGAATAGCTGTCTAACATACAGTTTAGGTTCCTTTCAATTTCAAGTTGTTATATACCGTTATTACTCTTTTCGCCTACCTTGTTATGTCTCAACTCCCTCTTTATGGTGTCGTGTCTTCTGACTCTTCTGACCCTCTTTATTGGTTCCGCACTGTTTTGGCTTCTAGCCGTGGTACTCTTATGGAACTTGGTGTTTTACCTATTCTTACTTCTGGTATGGTCTTGCAACTCTTAGCCGCTTCCAATGTTATTCATGTCGATTACAGTTTGAAAGAAGACCGCTCTTTGTTTTGCGGTGCTCAAAAATGTAAGTAAAATGTGTACATCCATGAAGAGGAGAGAGCAAGAAGAAACTGATCAACAATACATTAGTGTTTGCTGTTTTGATTGCTATTACTCAAGCTACTCTTCTTGTCTTCACCGGTCTTTATGGTAATCCTATTGAAATTGGTACTATTCGTTGTGGTTTGCTTATCCTTCAACTTGTCTTTTCATCCTATGTCACTATTCTTTTGGACGAATTATTGCAAAAGGGTTATGGTATGGGATCTGGTATCAATATCTTTGTTGCTGCCAATGTCTGCCAAACTATCTTTTGGAAAGCCTTGTCCTTCTCCACCATTGCAACCATTCGTGGTAATGAATATGAAGGTGCCCTTATTTCTCTCTTCCACTTGATCAGTTCTCGCAAAGATAAGGCTCGTGCTCTCAAGGATGCCTTTTATCGTTCTGATTTAACTAATGTAATGAGTGTTATGGCTACACTGGCTACTTTTGCTTTTGTGATTTATATTCAAGGCTTCCGTATTGAACTTCCCGTCAAGTCTAACCGTCTTCGTGGTCAACGCGCCAACTATCCTATCAAGTTCTTTTACACCTCTAGCATGCCTATCATGCTTCAAACTGCCTTATTTGCCAATGTTTTCTTGTTCTCTCAAACTGTGTATACTTACTTTGGTAGCAACTTGCTTATTCGCGTGCTTGGCGTTTGGGAACCTGTCAATACTGAATCTAACCAACTCATTCCCACTGGTGGTCTTGTCTATTATATTTCTACTCCCCGTAGCTTGACTGAAGCCATCTTTGCTCCTGTCCACACTGCTGTTTATGTATCCATCACTCTTATTATCTGTGCTTACTTTTCAAAGGTTTGGGTTGACATTTCCGGTTCTTCATCTCGTGACGTTGCCAAGACTCTTAAAGATCAACAACTTACCATTGCTGGTTTCCGTGATGTCTCCATGTACAAGGAACTGCAACGTGTTATTCCTGTTGCTGCCTCTTTTGGTGGTGCCGCCTTGGCTATTATTGCTGTCATTGCTGATATTTTCGGCGTTATTGGTTCAGGCGCAGGTATTTTGATGTGTGTCATGATCATCTTCCAATACTTTGAAATGTTTGTGAGAGAGCAAATGGAAGGCAACATGACAATGGAAGCTATGATGGCAGGTCAATAGATTTTAGATCAACTTAATTGATATATGCAGCTTGTCCCCTCTTGTTTTATAGTTCTATTTTTCCTATTTCTTTTTGTATCTATATAAAAAATCATTATCTTATTCGGACATATATAAACTTTATGTAAAAGAACAATATCATATTCTCGGAAGATAATCTCGAAACTGTCAAACTCTAGCAAAACTAAACGAAAGCGTATGTATGTGAAGGATTTTTTTTCAATTATAAATTCGTCATATTGAATAATGAATATCTTTTTTTTCTTGCATCTGTTATATATATTTATCCATGAAAACAACTCACTTTTATACAGTTCTGATCTTTATTGCTTCTTTGGTTTATGCACAGGAACAAGGTATATCCTTTTTAAATGCAAAGGTGGTTGTATCAAAGGATTCCTTCTGGCCATTTCAAATGAAGGACTAGTCCATGATAAAAACCACCGTAATAAAATTGCCTCTCAGATCTAATCGCATAAAACAGCTATAGATGTAAACCTACCATTGCCTGCGAATATTGTCCAAACAATCCCGAATCAAGTAATGAATAACAAGTCAGTTGTGGGTTTAGAAGCAGAGATATTGTTACCTGCTGCAAACAATAGTACAGATCTTTTTTTTGAGGCTGCCGATCAAGGACAAGAAGAAGAAGACATATTTCTATCATTAATAGATGAGGAAGATAAGGAAGAAATAGAAGATCTACAAGAACTAGAAGAACTAGAAGAATTAGAAGAAGATTATGGCAGCTTTGAAGAGGAAAGCATAGAAGGTGATGAATCCTTCGAGCAAGAAGACTACGAGGGAGCCCAAATAGAACTAGGTCAAAAAGGCAATCATCAAGTCATGTCATGGGATGACTTGCCATTAGATAATACTCCTGCTTATATACCTGATTCTACAGTTTCCTCTCCCCCTTCTCCTCCTATGGCAAACACTGGATCTTCAGACAATATGCAGAAAAAGCCTTCAGCATCAATGAATAACACAAGAGCAGCAGCTTTTGAGGCAGATTTCTATTTGGGTAGTGCTTCATCTTTGCTGATTTCGCCTTGGACCTATTTTGTGACAGTAGCTGCAATCCTCATTTCCTAAGCTCGTAAGGAAAACCATGTATTATTCTTATTCCAAATAAATTGCTCAAAATCGTCATTAATCAAAATGCTTTCCTCATAGTTGTAATAAAATAAGCAAAACGAGTCATGATGATATGAGAAACTTGCTTCTCATTATAAGGGCTTTTATTTCAATGCATATTTGCAATAAAGTTAGATCTCAATATAGGGAATGATTCTTTAGTGACCAAAATCGTTCCTTAAATCGGGGTCTGACTGTATCAATCGATCATATTCTAAACAATAAACAAAGTTTTTATCGTTTATAATTCATCAAATGCATATGAATTGAAACCTTCAAATAACTAGCAGTACTTTTTGCTGTAGCTACTACTAGACTTTAACCGTTTTTTGAATAGAAAGCTACATTCTTCTTTTTCCTATTTTATGAGGGCGTTGATCAAAACGTTTCAAATTTAGTTTATATTGTTAAGCAATGAACGTGTTTCGAATCTGGTTTACGCAAGCAGTTTTCTCCTATATACCATTGTGATTTACTGGTTCTTTTTTTCCTATTGTTTTCACCCCTGATTTCTTTAAAGATATAAGCCAGCCCCTTTCATTTGTTGTTGCTTATTTTCAATGATATAATGCCAAAAAAGAAATGAATTTGTTTTTTAGTTGAATACAAGGGGTTTATTAAGAAAATTAGATTTGCGAGCCTTTTTCTTTGAATGTCTCAAATGTCAAACTTGAGGATTTGTGCCGCTTGCGTATTTTGTAACACTTCAAGAAATGCATCTTCAAGTTCAATTTCTTCTAAATCATCGCCTGATGTGTCAACATTTTCTTCTTCTTTATGAATAGTGCTGAAATATAATGTTTGCACTAAAGACATGTTAAAATGGACAAACTTCATAGTTTTTGGGACGGCATTCGTTTTGTCATTTGATTTTGAGTACTTTCTAAGAGAGGACTTTGGTAGGTATTGAGATTGTTGGTTTGTTGGTAACGTTAATTTATTTGAGCGATGCATAACAGAAAATATGTTTGAAAGAAAAGAAAGAGAGAAACTGCTTTTTATATGTAAAAGAAAAATGATTCTCCTTTCTTTATTAACGCTCCTTTTAAAGCACTTTATACATGCATCAAGTTTCTAAATGCAAACAAAATAGATAGTGATTAATCGATTTTAGTCGATCAAATAACCGAAGGAGTGTTACCCTATGTGTCGACCAAGATGCAATTAATCAATCAGTCAATGATATGGATTTTTTTTATTTTTTTCAATTGTTGTCTTTATTTTAACAAATTTATTTGACAAGTCTTTTCAATCAAAAAAAATGGACATAGACGGCGACAGTCAAGTAGGCACATGGCTGGAGAATGAAGAAGCATCGCTCGAACAAATTACTAGTAGCTTGAGTACAATGAGAAACTCTAAAAAGAATGGTGCGTACTTGAATGAAAGTGACATGAGAGGTTTACACGTTTTCTTGTACAACGTCTTACAGTAGATCAGCCCCCTTCAGTAAACAACATACAATTGAGACCTACAAGTGAAATTCGTAAGTAGCAAACAAGTATTGTATGACAGGGTTTTATTCAATCTCTTTACAAACAAGCTCCACCGTTCAACTCAATATTCAAGTTTGGCTTCTTCAATATTATTCAAACAAATTGCCTTAATGCTGTGAGAAATACTATAGAATCTCAGTTATCGATTACTAACACACAATAGACGTTTTACGAAAACAACAACTTGGTCATTTCAGGTAAAGTGCAATCGTTTTGCTCTTTTTGTTTTCTTATAAAAAAAAATCTGTTATGACCTTTAGCCCCTACTGGTTCCGGAAAAACAGTTTTAATGGAACTGGCCATCATTCGCATGCTACTAAATGGAGGCAATGGTTCAAAGATAATCTACATGGCTCCTACAAAAAGCTTATGTAGCGAAAGAACAAAAGATTGGCAGCAAAAGTTCTCCTCTTTTGGAATTGAATGCAAGTAACTCATCCAATGAATTAAAAGAGCTAATAGAGTGTCTATTTTGATAGGCAAAGAATTTACAGGAGATACATATAACGCTTCAGTTTCTTCACTTAAGAAAGCCACTATCATGTAAGTTTTCAGTTTCTTGTATATTAACTAAATCCTGTTTTTCAATCCAGTGTTACCACACCAGAGAAATGGGATGCAATAACGAGACGTTGGGTAGATCATCGTCAATTCATGCTATTGATCGGTCTTTTCTTGGTATAATCAAACGACAAGTCTTTATGTTTTATCTAATAATAGCCACATTTAGATTGACGAAGTCCATATTCTTAATGAAAAACGCGGTGCTTGCTTGGAAGCATGTGTCAGCAGGATGCAGGCAAGAGGCTACCTACAGGGAAAATCTTATTTACCATATGCTTTATAGACAATGGCAAGCAATATACGTTTTTTCGCAGTATCAGCCACGGCTCCTAACTTATCAGACATTGCTTTATGGCTAAAGGCACAACGTAAGTAGTGAACAATATCCCTCTTTAATACAATTTGTTTATTTTTTGTACACAGCTCTTTCATTTTCAGAAGAGTATCGCCCTATCAAACTTCAAAGATTTGTATATCCTTATCCTCAATCTGAAATTAATATGTTTCTTTTTGAAAGAAAGCTGGACTGGAAGTAAGAACAACCATATCTGTTAATGAAACTAAATAATTGTATCTAGACTTTTAGAATTAGTTCAAAAACACAGTAACAATAAGCCAGTGTTGATTGTAAGTTATACCGTACATGTAGAGTCGTTTTATTTATTTTCTCTAGTTTTGTTCTACTCGTAAGTCAGCACAACACTCATGCGAAACAATAGCCAAGATGATGGATAAGAAAAAGATACGATCATTAAGGTAAGGAGCTAATCTTTTGAAAGAAAAGAGGTAGGTATTTGACTTGTGATTATTTAGTGAGCATTCCAGTGGCAATCATCAATTCAAAGAGAAAAGTCTTTCAAAATATGCTGGACGAGGCATTGGATTTCATCATGGTAGTCTCGCATTACTAAAAAAAAAAAAAAAAAAAAAAGAGTCTGCGAATTAATAATTAAATTAGCTGGTCTTGATCCAAGTGATCGCAGTAAAATTGAAACTTTGTTTACGAATAAGGAGATTAGAGTCATTGGTAAAAAGAAAAAGGAAAGATTTCACTAAATAAAAACAATAGCCACAACTTCTACTTTGGCAGTAGGCGTTAATTTACCTGCCCATCTAGTTATCATAAAATCTACACAAGGTAATTTTCTAGAGTTCATAAAATGTGCAACTCATGTCTTGATAGGATATCAGGATGGAGGCCTCAATGAGTATTCTGATATTGATATTCTACAAATGATCGGTCGAGCTGGAAGACCAGGTCTTGATACGTCTGGATGTGCCGTTATTATGACGACTCTTCAGATGGAAAGCCGTTATCGTTCTCTTATTTCAGGTATTACTAATCTAGAAAGCAGGTAAGTAGAATTTGTCAAAAATAATGACAATTTTTTTAGGTTGAATTAGACTACACGAAAACTTGATTGAACATTTAGCGTCTGAAATATGTCTGGGAACCATAACTAACGAAGTCTCTGCTTTGGAATGGTAGGGTTCTTGTTATCAAAAGTTTCATTGTTCACGTCTACTTCCTATCTAGGTTACGATCTACTTTTCTATACGTAAGAGTAAAAGAAAATCCAACACATTACAAGTTGAACGGATTTACGTCTTTACCTGATAATATCCTACAAGGTAAAATGTGTTTTAAGCACTATCCAAAAAGAAAAAGAAAAGCATCTGATGCTTTATTAATAGAAATGTGTGTTAAGGATCTCAAACTATTGGAAGAAAACAAGTTGATTGAAAAGTCTGCTAAATCAACATGGAAAGCAACAAATTATGGTCGTGCTATGGGCTGCTATTATATCAAATTCCCTACCATGCTTCGAATTCTTCAGTCGAAGGAGCCAAGTTCTGTAAAGGAAATAGTAAGATATATGCTTTACAGTGTTTCTTGAGCTCACTTTATTCAATCTAGATGGATTTGGTCTGTGCTTCCAGTGAAGAAATGGACATAATCAGATTAAATGCTGGTGAAAAGCAATATCTCAACTCAGTTAAAGATAACCCCAACATCCGTTTTCCAATTGGAAAAATAAGCACAGTGGCAGACAAGATTTCTCTTCTCATACAAGTACTTATGTTATCATAGACATCATTTAATATTTTATAGTGCGTATTAGGGGACATATCGCTTTATAGCAAAGGTAATAACTCGCTGGCTTTAGAAGCGGTAACCATCATGAAGCATGCAGGAAGAATTGTCAAATGTGAGTAACAAATGCCAAGTTTCAATATATTGATAGAACTTCATCATAGGTATCCTTGATTGTAGTATTCATGAAAAAAATCCCATACGGTTCAAATATGCTGTGGAACTATATCAAGGTCTGCAAGCCAAGATATGGACAACTTCACCTTACGTAGCACTTCAAATTGATGGCATCGGTCCTCAATCTGCTAAGCTTTTAGCAAATGCCAACTTTGCAACCATTGAACAGTTAAGAAATTGTGACCCAGGACGTATTGAAATGGTATTTGTTTTATTGTAGACTACTTGATCTAAATAGCCATCCTTTTATTTAGATACTGAACCGCAAGCCTCCGTTTGGAACAAAGGTAAACAAAGCTAAACTTAAATGAAATAGCTAATGGTCATCATAGATTAGAAAGCAAATTGATGCGATTCCAAGCTTCTTTTTAGAAGTAAAGCAAGTAAGTTAAAAAAGGAAAATAGACTAGAATATCAATATATTTTGTAGCTTTCAACAAAGAAATTTACAAACGATAGTTCTGAAAATACTACAGTTTCGTTGCTTGCCGTTATTGGTCTAAACAATGAACATGCGGTAACCTATGGAAAGTATGGAAAAGGCTATTATGCACAATTCTGGATAGAGACATCCGAAAAGGAGCTCATTGATTTCCGACGCATCTTGTAAGTTAAATGTTATTTTGGATATACTGATAAAAGAAAAAGAGTCTCGAAATTGCATGCCAAAAGACAAGAGATCAATATCAATCTTCAAGTGAAGTCTCCTGATATGATTGTATGGTGTCATATTCAAAGCGAAGATTATGGCAAGTATAAAAGATATATTTAATGTAAGCTTATATTCCTCTAGTTGGTGTTGATGTACAAAAAGAGCTTCAAATAAGTATTGATCCAAGAAAATATATCAGTATTTCTACAGCATCTAATGTGATGAATATTCCCCAAATCGCAGCGCCTCCTTCTAACCAAGATGATTATTCGACTGACAACAATACAGTAAAGCTAGAAGAGATAGATATAGATGACGACAACTTGGGTTTTGAAGACTATAGTAACATTGATCCTGATCTATTGAACTCTTTAATTATGGCTGTATCAGATGAAAACGCCCCAAATTCTTGTTCAGTAAATATAGCCTCTAACTCAAACTCAAAGCAAGAAGATACAGATTTCCAGGACCATTTAGAAACGCATCACAAAAGAAAGAGACCTTCAAAGAGACCTTCAAAGAAAGCATCAGAAGAATCGTAAGTCTTCCCCAACAATAACAACTCTCCTTAATCTAGTGAATAGGTGTAAACATTCATGCAAAAACAAAGAAAAGTAAGTGGTGCTCTTTATGCTCATGTCAATAACTTGACCACTAGATGCGCACACAGATGTTGTAAGAGAAATCTAATTCTAAATTATGAGCAAACTATTGGCGTCAAAAGGGTCAATGTCGATGATGATCCAGATACTCAAGGCGGCTCTCAGAGCCAACCTAAAAAGAGGCTCAAGCAACTTTCCTTTGATGAAATAGCATCTCATTCCTCAAAAGAAAAGACAAATTGTTCTTCTAATTGTCGAAATACAGAGCAAGGTAAGAAGAAGAAAGACAGGATTGCTTGCCTAAGATGTATTTAGAAGAAGGTTCTCGGTTTGGATCAAAAAACAAAGTGCTTGATGATACACTTGAGCTGAATGATGACGATGATGTTCTCTTTATGGACACGTTTGAAAGCATCTTAGCAGAAAGACCAAAGCTAGTGGCTGAAAATTCCAACATAACAACTTTTAAAGAGTCTGATATAGACGATGACTTTGCCAGTCTTACTATAGACGATGTTAACTTTGAACAGCTTGAAGTAGTTCCACAGGCCCTCACAAAGCAAGACAATCTCAGTGATTGTGACGAATTATGGAACTCAGTAGGACAAATGGCAAACAAAGCCTTTGAAATCAAAAGCGAAAGTCCGTCTAGAGCCATGATGCAATACAACCCTTCAACAGCCATTGCAGAACAAAAGAAGGAAATCAACAAAGAGGACTGCACATTCAAATCTTCCTTCTTGGCCAGATGGATTGAAGAGAATGTAGATATCATTGGCCCATAAAAGTATATGCACATATTCTAATAAAAAAAAATAGTTTTTATACAATATTAATCGTCCCATTCTTCATCAGCAACTTCTTCATCTTCAGGATTGGTTGTCTTTGGTCTAATATCATCATCTCCTTCTATATTCTTGGCAATAGAAAACATGCGTTCCATTTGCTCTTTCTTTCTCTGCTCTTCACTCACATATCGCTTACCCATTTCAAACTTGGCTTTTGATTGTGCTTGAGAAGCTGGGGGAGGAGCTGTAGATAATGGTGACATGTCATTGGGTTGTAGAGAGATACGGTTCAATTGCTTGTTTTCATTCTTGAACCAATTGGCTGCATCTTGAGCAGGATGTTCTGTGTCTAATGTAGGCACAAAAATATCGTCTTGGAAGAATTCAGGCTGTCATAACAGGTGAGTTACACACAGATTTGAATGCTGTACTTACTCTAGCGCGAGGTACTCGAACACCCACCACTTCAATATTGGTAGGTGTCAAACGATAAAACTTGTCAATCTCAACCTCCTTGACATTACAGGCACGTTTTGGCAAAAAAGCAAAGCCTTGTTGTAATGAACTGGCTTCAATTTTAGCAAGCACAGCCAATGCATTATCTTCTACGTGGAAAGTATGAATAGTACGATCACCTCGGCCAGCAACAAACAATACTTGGCAATCAGGGTCATAGTGAGTACTCATTACACTTGGCGAGACATCAATGGTCTTGCTATGCAAAGGCTTTGATAGATCTTGCTTGTTAAACAACAAGACTTCACGAGTCGAGCCTAAACCAAACCCTGTACTGATCAACAAATTATTATCGAGCCAATCTAAGCGAGAAGGACGAATGCTGTTGTGTGAAGTTCCTTCTGCTACAATATCACCTGTGCGTGCATCCAATACTCGGATCTTCTTTTCTTTTGTGGTTGTGGCAATCTGTGTACCATCGGGACTCCAACTACAGCTGAAAATGACATCATGGTGTTGTGTTTTCAAGGCGATTTCTTCCTTTTGTGTTTGTAGATCCCAAATACGGATAGTAGGATGGCCCAAGTCGTCTGAAGCGGTTAACAAGACGTTTTTAGTTGTGGGATGAAATTCAAGCAAATGCACCTTGTCCATGGATCCAGCTAAGCAGTATGAGCTTATGGCTATTTATTACCAAAATTTACCTTGTAAGACAGCTTTTGGCTCGGCCATATCTTCTTCGATGCCGCCTTCAGGGATCTCCCATACACGGATTTTATTGTCATTTGATACTAAGTGATATTAATCACAATGTATGCCAAGGAATTACTTACCAGTGACGAGAATATTATCATTGAATGGATCGAATCTAAAATTAGTTACTTCTGAATTACAGAGAATGCTTGGCACATGAATAGGAAGTCTGCCTGGTTTCTCGGTATTGATGATGCCCACGCGTCCACCAGGTCCAGAGAGAGGTACAGCAATCAACTTCGTATTAGCCTATTATCAAATTAGTTTGAGTCTATTATATACTGATGTCTTACTTGAATAAGGTCACAGTCGCCACTCTTGTTGATACTAAGGCCTTGAAGATCTTCAAAACGAGTATTGGGGTGATAAAAGTTACCCGAAATATACTTATAAATAGAGGCATTTGCAGAACCAAACTTGGGTTTCTATATATCTGTTTGAGAAGAAAGAATTATAAGGGAAAAAGTACCTTAATATCGGTAGACATATTTAATTAGATGGGAAAAGAAGGGGAAGAAAGATGAATAAATCAAGAGGATCAGGTAATGCACCATTGTCTCGCGTTTAAACTCAGTGCCTCATTGACTTCAGTCACACTTTTTTTCATTCTCTCTTTTTCCTTTCTATGGTTCCTGACAACGCAGTATTGGTCAAGCAAGGAGCCGAGGCTGTAAATACTTGATAGAATAAACACCAAATTTAACTTTTATATTTTAGCGCGTCTTTTATTTATCTACTTTTCTTACACAACCCAACGGCTGTATTGCCAAAGAGCGCTTTAAAAAAACATACCGTCACCCTGATCTCGACCAGTTTTTGACTTCAAGACGTGTTACTCAAGAAGCGCGTTGCTTACATAAATGCAAGACAGCAGGTATGGATACGCCTACTGTTTATTTTGTTGATGTACCTGCTGCAACAATTTATATGGAGAATATTGTGGGTATTACTGTCAAACAAAAATTGCTCGAAAACCAAGAGAGTGACTATAGAGATGTAGATACAGGTGAATTATGCATTATTCAAACAAATTGAACTAATTGATATATAGATACTTTGGCTGAACGTATTGGCGTATCCCTAGCTAAAATGCATAGCATTAATATTGTTCATGGCGACTTAACTACTTCAAATTTAATGTTGAGAGAAAACAGTGATTTAGTGGTAAATCATAAACAAAGAAGCCAATGTCTTGACATGTATATAGGCTATCATTGATTTTGGACTAAGCTCTACTTCTACATTGATTGAAGATAAAGCAGTAGATCTTTATGTGCTTGAAAGAGCATTTGCTAGTACACATCCTCAAACAGAAGCCTTGGTAAGGTCAACGTACATGCAGGTCTTTGAATGACTAAAACATCTCTTTAGTTCGAAAAGATTCTTGAGCATTATTTCAAAAATTCAAAACAAAGCAAGCAAATTTATACTAAATTAGAAGACGGTAATTATGAATACTTTTATGTTGCAGCTACTGATCTTGTTCTAGTGAGAATGAGAGGTCGTAAGAGAAGCATGGTTGGATAAAGAAAAACTTGCATGAATAAAAGTACTATTTGAGTGTCGGTAGCTTTTGCGTTAAAATGATTATCTGCTAATACGATACAGCCCATCGTTTGAACAATACTTGATATATCAAAAAAAAAAGAAAAAAAAGCATTGGTCATAACTATATACAATGGTTTATTCTTCCTTTTTAACAATCTGCAGACCTTGAAGGAAATCAGTAGCCTCTTTAGATTTACTAACAGTAGCCCTTTAATATTTCCATATACATATGAACAAATGCTTACGCTCTTAATTCTAAAGTTTGTTGACGCTTTTTTGCTAATTGAGTCTCCATAAGTAGTCGTAACGTTTCTCTTGCCTACAGGTGTAATATAAGAAAAAGTATTATATTTAAGCTACTTACTTGATGTGGACGATACGCGTTCAGAATGTGATGCATATTAATAAATATATTGCTGATATTCTCGATGTTTCTACCAAACTATGATCTATTAGTGAATGCATTGAGTTATTTTACTGTACCTCGTCGGGCTTCTTTACAAGTACGTCCAACAAGTTTAAAAACTGCGTAATGAGAGATCTATTTAGCTTCTTTAATTCTTTAACGCGGTCTACAAAAGGTAAGTTGTATAAGACGCGTCGAACAATAGTATGGACTATACCTATATCTCCACTTTCTGGATACAATTGCTTCACTTGAAGTTCTTCGAGTGTTGGCAAGCGATCATTGATCTACAGAAATGATTCATGTGTTTGTTTTTGGCTTTGTTAAACAATATTACCTGCCATTTCTGATCAAATACAGTGTATTCATCTGTAGGTGGTACTGGTGGTTCGAGTTCTTTGAGTAAAAATTCAGAGTTTAGTGGTGCTGTTAGTGGTTGTTCTGGAAAGACACCCATCTTTTTGGCCTGTTTCAGTTGTTCCAAATTCTCTGAGGTGTATCGTTTATAGTAGTTGGGAGGATCTGGCCAAGCACTTCGAGCAGAATGTTGTTCATCCATAAGAGAAAGAGATAACAAATAAAACAAGCCACGACAACTGCATTTAAATACGAATGCGATGTGGAACGCGCTTTCTTTATGGAGGAATTTATTGCTCACCAGATAGAACTCATTGAGACTGAAAGAAAGATCGATGTTGATGACACGGTTAAGTTACTGTCTGCTTATACACCTATTCAGCTACAGCGTCGTGGAGTAGCATTGGTGAATCTGAAAGTGACAGGTTGGTTGTTTATGCACTCGACTTGTGCTCACATCACTTTTAGGTATGAGGACAGGTCTTGGAGGCAAAAGGTAAAAAGTACTGCAAGGAACAGCATGCTCATTTGAGTAGTCTAGTTGACCTCGAGTTAGCCAATCCAAATATCCTTCCACCTATCTTTCCTGCGCATAAAATTACGACAGGCGATATTGTTGGTTTAGACGAATACAAAAAGGACAAGAGCGCTAAACAGCCCCCTCGGTGGTCTGGTGTTGTGCTTCGAGTAACCGATGTTAAAATCATTGTAGCCATGCAAGAAATGGAAGAAGACTTGCCAACTGAAGTTCAGGAACGCTGTCAAATTGTCAAACTTGCCAATAGTATCACTTATGAACGCATGTTGAAAGGACTTGAGATCTTACAAGCAAAATGTGAGCAAGGAGGAAACAGTTTGATGAATGTATTATTAGGACAAAGTAGTCCATCTGTGCCTCAATCAATAGACGTAGAGTTCTTTGATGAGACTCTAAATGATTCGCAGAAAGAGGCTGTTCGTTTTGCTCTTGGTTCCCCCGAGATTTCTTTGATCCATGGCCCCCAGGTGTAAGTAAACTACATTATTCCGTTGCCCTCATAGTTAGATAGACAGGCAAAACGTACACGCTTGTTGAAATCATTCGTCAATTGTCTGTTAAACAAAACAAAAGAGTGCTTGTGTGTGGTCCATCAAACATATCTGTTGGTAAGTGCAAACGAAAGGCAGAATATAGACACTCATATCTTGTATAGACAACTTGGTGGAAAGATTAGCTCAGCATCGTCTGAATATCGTACGTGTAGGACATCCTGCTCGTGTATTGCCTTCAGTGATAGATCACACACTTGATATCATTACACGTACTTGTGACTCAGGCAAAATTGTCTCTGAAGTACGTCAAGAAATGGACGAGACACTTGCCAAGATTAGAAAGTCAAAAAACAGATCAGAAAGAAGAGCAATGTATAGTCTTGTTAAAGATCTTCGGAAAGACTATCGAGTAAGAGAAAGAAAAGTGGTGGATGAAGTCTTGAATAATGCTCAAGTAACCATCTCTACCTTAAATGGGTATGTCTTGTCTTAAAAAACTGCGCTGTTTCTCATTGTTATACAGTGCAGCAAGTCGGAATATGGTCAACAAAGAATTTGACGTAGTTATTATTGACGAAGCAACACAGGCATTAGAGGCAGAATGTTGGATTGCCTTGTTGAAAGCTAAAAAAGCGATATTGGTAAGGAAAACACATGCGTATTGGATAACATAACATGTCATATAGGCAGGAGATCACCTCCAATTGCCTCCAACTGTCAAGACACCCATTAAATTTACTGATACAAAGAAAAAGAAAAAGGGGCTCTCCACAGACAGTGATCTGTCTACTACTCTCTTTGATCGTTTGCTTAACATGTATGGCAACCAAATCAAACGTATGTTATTAGTTCAATACCGTATGCATCAGAAAATTATGGAATTTAGTTCCAAGGAGCTTTATGGAAATAAGCTGGTCGCAGATGAAATTGTAGCTTCCCATGTCTTAGCTGATTTGCCTAATGTTGAAGAGACTGAAAATACAGAAGTACCATTAGTCATGCTAGATACAAGTGATACAGGTCTTTCTCATGAAACAACCGACGACAATCAAGAAGAACAAAGTAAATCCAATGAACTGGAAGTTGAACTCGCAATGGCTCATGTGCGTACTTTGTTGGAAGATGGTTTGAGCCAAGATCAAATTGGTATCATCACACCTTATGCAGCCCAGGTATCAAAATTAAAGCGAGACGTACGAGAACAATGGCCAGGCATTGAAATAGGAACAGTCGACGGTTTTCAAGGTAGAGAAAAAGAAGCTATCTTGCTTTCTCTTGTGAGATCAAATGAAACGGGTGAAGTTGGTTTCTTAGTTGAAAAACGAAGATTAAATGGTAAACATAGAATATTCCTGTTATTTAGCTAACTATATTTCAAAAAAGTGGCTATGACAAGAGCAAAAAGACATTTGTGTGTCATTTGTGATTCAGATACTTTGTTAGGAACTAAAGGCGGCAGTGCTTCTGCTTCTCGTTTTGATGGTGGGTTTTTAAAACGGTGGATGGAATATTTAGCAGAAGAGTCTGACTTGAGATATAGTGAGTTTATAACTGCTTAAGCATAATAAAACTCTTTACATAGGCTCAGGCTTAAATAATACATGATATCTGATAAGAGCAGATCACAAAAGCAGCGTTTGTTATTACCTGCATAAAATTGGAAATTTCCAACTGGAGTCATTTTTCTCTGCTCAATATTTTTTTTAGAATGAGAATGAAGGCAGTGTTTGACTGTTCTGCTGATGAGGCAGGCGAAATCTCGTTCAAAGAAGGAGATGTTCTAGTCGATGTAGTTGAATCGGGAGAAGAAGGCTGGTACAAGGGGCGAATTCTCAATACATCCGAAGTAGGTTTATTCCCATACAACTATGTGGTTCGATTGCCTGACTCTGCAGATTCTCCTCCAACAAAAACTACCGAAAAGCTCTCGGGGATAGACGCGTTTGAGGCTGCTATGGCGCCCAAAACCAAGCTATCCGCTCCCAGTAGAATAATTAGCGATAGTCCACCTCCTTTAAGCACAAAACCAAAGTTTACAGTGACCAAAAACTTGGGCCTCGAAAAGGTGAAGTCTCAACCAAATCATTTTCAACAAGAAACATCCCCTACAAGACTACGATCCTATTCAACTTCGTCTGTACTCAACAAATCCACGGATACCGAGAAAATGTTACGACCCTCTCAATTTGCAGCAAAGGGAAATAAGAGTGCACTTGAAATTGCACTTAGTAAAGGAACACCTCGGCTTCCCTCTAATTTAAGATCAGATTCATTCTCAAAGACGTCAGGCACAGGTGGCATTGCGTTAGTTGGCATGGATAACTTGAAAACAAATAGTCAAGAAGACGTTGAGGATGAAGACGGTTATCAAATGGTCAAACCATCCCAATTACGACAAAAACAACAATTGCCATTCAACAAGACATCCGTAAGCTCGCCCTGGAAGAAATCATCAGATGCTACTTCATTTTTGAATAATACACCTAGTAAAAGCACCAGTATCTCAAAATTAGATGTCACTTCATCAAGTCCAATGCCTCGACTACCTTCTCGCCCTGTATCTGCAGCCACAAGAAGATCAAGAGGAAACCGCGTTGCAAGCACATCTCCATCTTCACCAGATACAGTTAAAGAAACAGAAAAACCTGTATTGAAACCTAAACCGCAAGTTTCATCCACTTCACAGCCTTCGCTTCCACCACGACCTACAAAAAATCGAAGTACATCTAATCCCCCTCCCCCTATCCAACCTAAGCCTGCCATGTCTTCCATTGAAATTCTGCTTAGTCGAAATAATAAGCCTGTTGAGCCAGCACCTTCTAAATCCGTTCGAAATGCTCCCAAGAAGCCAGACAGCGCTTCAAAGCCAACCAAGCCTAATTCCATCCCGAGTGTACCTGCACGCCCTAGTTTAGATAGTTGGCGATCTAACAATAGTAACGAAGATGTCAATATCAAGCCATCGACTTTATTAAACAGAGCTAGGTCATCGACGAATCCTAGCTTCAACAGCAGTAATTCGATCCCTTTTGACTGGACAACCATCAAATCACCCCTTTCTCCTCCTGTCTCTCGTGCTGTGCCTGTGGCTGATAAAGTACCTACTCCACTTAATGAAGTGCCTAAAAAGAAAACAACTCCCCCTCCCCCCCTCCTTCACGACCTCCCAAGAAAATCTCTGAAAAACAACGCTATGAAGCACTCTTTAATTCAGTTCAAGATCAAGGCTTTATTGATGGAGAAACCGTCCATACTATTTGGGTCAAGAGTAAACTACCTAACGAAGACTTGGCTCGTATTTGGCGAGAATGTGATCCAGAACACAAGGGTTTATTAGACAAGCAGGCTTTTATGGATGGTATGAGTAAAGTTGATGAGCTTTTATCACTTAAGCATTAGGTATTCTTCTTCTTTTTGACTTGAATAAATAACTTGACAGGTCGATCCAATGCTCGACTGATTTGGTCTCTTGCTTGCTCAATCACTTTGTTGATAATCCTTCCATTTTGTCCAACTACTATTTTCTGTTGGCTATCTCTTTCTACAAATACATTTTGATCTATGCGCAGAGTGCCATCATTGAGTTCGGTCCAGCCTGCATTTTCTTGCTTTAGCATGTAAGGGATGTATTGATGAAGGCGCTTAAAGAATTCGATACGAATAATTTCCTCGACTCGCTTCAAGTCTGCCATTTCCGTCTTTTGATCAGCAGGATAAATCCATTCCTTAGCAGGCGATTCAGCAAACAAAGTGTCCTAACACAATCAATACTTGACCAATTCCTTTTTTTTATTTTACCTTAACCGCAGGCAAACCTTCTTCATAAACCGCTGAAGTGAACAAGATATGCTTTATGTTTGAATAACCTTCCTTATATCTTTCTATAACCTTTTCTAGTTCTTCTCTATCCTTGTACATCAAATCCATTTTGTTAAAAACCAGTGTTGCAGGCATATCAACATCACGTAATCTATCCAACAAGAATTCTTCTGTTATACGTGCTTGTAATTGAACGGCTCGACTTGCATCCACAACAATGAGAACTAGAACCGATAATTAGTTAAAAGAAAAAAACGATATAATGACTTACTATGATCTGCTTCATCTAAAGAACGCCATGAAGAAGTAGCGAGGGTGCGGTTCATTTTAGCATGATTGCGATCTGGAATAACGCCTGGTGTATCCAAAAACACAATCTGGAAATTTTTTTCTGACAAGACAGCCAATATTCTCTCTCGTGTAGTATGTGCTTTAGGAGACACACCTGAAATCTACTCAATATGTCAATGGATGATATTACAAAGAAATGACTTGCCTCTTCTCCTACGATTTTATTGACTAGTGTTGACTTGCCTGCATTCGCTGCGCCAATAACTGCTACTTTAAGTAGATGCGGTTCTTCTGGTTGTATAATATCCTTGTTGATTTTGACCAATCTTTCAGAAATGCCTAGATAAAAGTGAGCATAAATTTGTTTAAACTGATATATATATATATATACCAGCAGGTTTTCTCATATTTTCAAGTCTAGATTTTAATACGCGCTTGGCTTCTTCTGTTTGCAATGTTTCTTTTTTGCGCCAGTGGTTTGCAAAAGTTTGCGCACTCTCCTTGGCTCGCTTTGGTTTACCTGTTGTTGTCTCTACAAGAATGCCGGCTCTATGTTTAGCTCGTGTCATGATCGCATAAGATCGATGTTGCAGACATTCTATCCAGAAGGGTTAGTTGTCTAATCTGCCCGAGATCTTCAAAGATCTACCTTTCTTTGACAAGCCAAACAATTGTTTAAAGAGTACAGATCTGTTCATTGTCAAAAAAATACATGCAAATCAAACATGCGCACCAGGATAAAGGCAGTCGGTGGCTTAGTGACTCTTTTTATGGTAGTTGCTGCATGTTAAATATTTTTTCTTTTTTTACTGATCATCATGAGACAATTGAAGCACCACGAACAAAAGCTTTTGAAGAAAGTTGACTTTCTGCAATGGAAGAAGGAAGACAGTATTCGAGAAATGAAGGTCATCCGTAGATACTTTCTACAACAAAGAGAAGACTATCACAAGTAGGTATTAATCTAGTGTTTGCATACATTAACATAGATTAGGTACAATAAATTAGTAGGAAACATCAGAGCTTTAGCCAACAAGATCTCTTTGTTAGATTCCCGTGATCCTTTCCGTAGTCAACAAGAAAATGCCCTCTTGGAAAAATTATACAACATGGGCATTATTACAGCCACCACCAAGTTCTCAGATTGTCGCAAAGTAACTGTTTCTGCCTTTTGTCGTAGACGTTTGCCTATTGTTATGTGTCGATTGAAGATGGCAGAGACTGTCAAGGAAGCAGTTACATTTGTAGAACAAGGACATATTCGTGTTGGACCACAAACAGTGACAGATCCTGCATTTTTAGTAAACCGTACTATGGAAGATTATGTGACTTGGGTTGATACTTCAAAGATCAAGAGAAAGATTATGAAGTACAATGACAAGGTATGTCTTTATATGCGCAAAGACATACTAACTTTTATTAGCTCGATGACTTTGATCTCTTGTAAGACTGCGCTTCTTTTTCATTCATGTATCATATCTATGTATTTCTGTGTTGTTGCACAGATGTTTTATTTTTCGGTTATCTAATAAAAGCCGTTGTTTTGTTTTTTCTTTCCTTTTTATTTCTCGCAAACAATGAAACATTTGTATAGGGCCATAAATCGTCGTACTTGGATGGTAATAAAAGATATCATATAAGTCACTGAATTCAGGTCATTCTATTTAGAGTACAGCAGGAATAGAACGTTCTCATAGAGCCATTCTCTTCCCAGGTAAAATAGAGAAATAAACAATTATCATCTTAGTTTCTTTTTTAAGGCCAAGGGTCACAGTATGTAGGTATGGGGAAAGACTTGTATAGTCTTTATCCAAGGTCTGCCAAACTTGTTTTTGATGAAGCAGACGAAGCCTTGGGCAACGGTCTACGTGCTCTTGTGTTTGAAGGTCAACAAGACAAGCTCAAGCTGACCGAAAATGCTCAACCCGCTATTTTGACTACATCCATTGCCATGTTGCGTGTGCTTGAGACCGAGTTTGGATTTGACATTTCAAAAGCGTGTAACCATGCATTAGGACACTCATTGGGCGAATATACTGCCTTAGTCGCTGCTAAATCCATGTCTTTGACAGATGCCGTTCGATTAGTGCGTTTGCGTGGTGAAGCCATGACTCGAGCTGTTGCTGATAAACAGGGAAAGACTGCCATGTCTGCATTGGTTGTCAGAAAAGATAAATTGAATGATTTGCTCAAGGCCATGGAAGAGATCAAGGCTGATTTACCCAAAGGAGAACTTATAGCAGTAGCTAACATCAACAGTGTAAGGCAATTTGTCTATGCAGAACAACATGTATATTCATTCTATTTCAGTCTTTTCAAGTGGTCATTAGTGGAACAAGTCAAGGTGTAGATCAAGCTTCTCGTATTTTGCAATCAAGACGATTTGCTGCTAGAGCAGTTGATCTTCCTGTCTCGTAAGTAATGTGTCTGTGTTTGCATGAATTGACGACCAATTAGTGCACCATTTCACTGTGAGTTGATGCAGGAAGCAGCGGATGTTATGGAGGATGCGCTCAAAAAAGTAGAGATCAAAATGCCATGTGTAGATGTTGTGTCTAATGTCACTGCTAAGCCTGTAAGTACAATGTACTGGTGAAAAATAATGCTTATGGTGGCTAGTATAAAAGTGCAGAAGAAATCACACAAAGACTTGTAGAGCAAGTAGTAGCTCCAGTTCAATGGGAGCGTAGTATCAACTACTGTAAAGGACAGGACATTGATGATTTCCTTTGTTTTGGACCTGGAAAAGTACTTGCTAATCTTCTCAAGAAAGAATATCCTCTAGATAAAATCAGGTAAATCAAACTAGTCACTGTTCTATGGCTTAACAAACAATTAGATCGATTACAAGTGCAGACGACATCATGCAACACGCTTTAGAATACAATTCAGGATTCATTAATAAACATCATGGTTGATTGGATGATGTTTGCTTCTATGCAAAGAGTACGTCATTTTATTACTTCAAAATCGACGATGAATCCTGGCTTTGAATTTCCTGAAATAGCTACAGACATATCTAGATTTTTTTTTCTTTCCCTCTTTTTATGACATTTTTTGGCATTCTTTTACCAAAGAGACAGTTATTAAGAGGGTTATTATTCAATATGGGAAAAAGACAAATTATCCAGACAACTGCTGCTGAATTTATTTCTACAGAGAATAATACAGAGCAAGTTGTAGAGGAAGTCAAGACAGAAATTGTTGAGAATAGTCGCTATGTTCATCCAAATCCTCGAGAATTTAAAGGAAGACTAGGCTATGCGTATGTGCAATAAATGCATTCTGTTGCTCATTATTTTCAATAGCTGTCTTAATACAATCTTGAGAACACAGAAACCACCTGTGTTTAGTTCAAGGACATGTCGATTAGGTAAATGTATAAAGTGCATAATACAAAGTTATTTATTTCTCTTCCAGATACAATTGCCAAAAAAGGGCCCGAATATGTCAAAGAATTAGCATTGGCGGTACGACATGGTTGCATAAATTTTAACCGAGAGAACTCATTCATTGTATTAGAATGTTGCTGACATGAAGACCATGATACAATGGAACGAAGGCAAGTGAATCTCTTCAAGGTTTTTTTTTTATCCTAACCCCTACTAGACAATAAAATCAGATTTATGCGGATATCAAGTGAAATGTTCCCCTTCGCTAGTCATGAAAAAGCTGGGTAAGAGTCATTTGATTGGCTAGGTATTAGCGCTGAAACTTGACTCAATAGTTATGACATCGATTTTGCAAAGAAGGAACTAGCTGAAGCAGGAGATCTAGCAAGAAAATACAATCATCGATTAGTATGTATATATAAACAAGATATATTTTTACTTATATGTCTAGACAACACATCCTGGGCAGTTTAATCAATTGGTATCGCTTACTCCTAAAGTCGTCACTAATACTGTGCGTGAATTAGATTGTAAGTAATCAAGTATGATTGTCTCTGTTATTCACCTTCCTATACAGACCATGCTCGTATGTTGGACTTGATGGGAATGGATCAAGATTCTGTTATGATTATGTAGGTCAATTCAGTAAGAGCTACTTAATTGAAACATTTGTATGAATAGACACATGGGCGGCGTTTATGGTGATAAAGAATCTGCTATTGCTGTAAGTGAAGGTCCTTTTGATAAACGTACTCATTATTTTCCTAATGTAGCGTTTTGAAAAGGAATATCTTAAGCTTCCTGAGCATATTAAGAGAAGACTTGTTCTTGAAAATGACGAATTTGGTTATTCAGTATCTGATTTGCTTCCTGTCTGTAAAAAACTTAAGATTCCTCTTGTGTTGGATTGGTAAATCGTAAGCAAAAGAAAACAAAATGGTATTTATTGTTTTTTTTTGTATAGGCATCACCATCAGTAAGGACTAGAAGTAAAAAAGAGAAAAAAAACATATGCTTATTTTATTCAGTATTAATCCAGGAGAAGTAGAAGATTTAGTTGCATTATTGCCTGAAATCAATCAAATATGGTATGATAGAGGTATTAAACCCAAGGTATGCATCCCTTTCTTTTTCTTTTTTTTTCAAATCATTCAACTTTATGTCTTTAGCAACATTATTCTGAATCAAGAAGAGGTGCCAAATCTGCCACAGAAATGAGAGCACATAGTGATCGTGTTCAGGTATGTGTGTATCCAAAAGAATGGCTAAATTCATGCGAGTAAACCATTAGTTTTTGCCTCCTACAACAGACGATGTTGATCTTATGATTGAGGCGAAGGACAAAGGTAAATGTTGTTGTATGATGGGTAACTCATTCATATGATGTACAGAACAAGCAGTATTTCATTTATATAGACTTTATGGCTTGGAGACAGTCAATGACGATGTTTGGATACCACAAACTGGAACAGAATCTCTTCAAACAAAGGGACGTAAAACGCATAAAGCGGCTACTAAAAAGAGAAAGGTCAAGGAAGAAAAAGAGGAAGAAGTTGAGGCAGAGATAAAGATAGAAGCTCAAGAAGAACAAGTAGTAACGCCTCGCCGAACTTCAAAACGATCTGCTGCTGCCGCTGCTGAATTGAAGCGAAAAGAAACAGAAGTAGAGGCCATTCAAATTGCCATGGAAGCAGAACAAGAAAGCAAGGTGTCAAAAAAAAAGAGAAAAGTTGTTATAAAAGAGAAAAAAGCTATAGTCAAACAATCGGTTACTAATGAAAACGAGAATGCTGCTTTGACTGAAAAGCCCAAGCCCAAAAGAGCTTCAAGAAAAAAAGCCAAAACTGACACTGATATCAAAGTAGAACCCATTGTTGAAGATTCATTGGCAAACAATGATAGCCTTACACCAGATATAAATGGTCAACATGCTGTTAAAACTTAAAGTATACTGTTTCGCGTATTTGTATCAAGAAAGAGCATTGTAAAACGAAATAAAAAAAAAGTTGTCATTCTTTGAAACTTGGCATAAACGGAATCTCTTTTGAAAAAAAAAATATAACTTTAAATTAGTATTTTCAAAAATCGAAAAAAAAGATTTAGAAATTCAAGAGAAATAATGGACCAAAAGTGTCTAAAAACAAAGAGATATAAAGAAAGTGTATTAACAAAGCTGATAGATAAAAAGACGGCGCATCAAATGGTGTAAAGAACGCAGCATTTTCAGTGATAAGATATCGAGCTATCATTCAAAAATGTAGCCTCTGTTTTTGAGCTGTAGCCTACACTCTTTATAGCACTTCTGCAAACTGAAAAGTTTGGATATGTTTTGTAAACCTGGAGGAACAATTCTTATTAAGACATGTCATGTCTATAGCTCCTCTATCGATTACCAATTGAAAAATAATGAAAATTGAAGATTTGTAAAAGGGATCCATAAGGGCAAATTGACGATTTTTTGACTTTTTCAAAACTTGCTATGTTTTTGCATAAATATGTTCTTTGATGTATGCTCAAACATAAGAAACTCCAAAAAAGGAATTGGAAGGCAGAAATGATAGTTTATTCCGAAAAACGCTCACACCTGCAGCTGGCTGCCAATCCGCTGGTGGAACCATTATGCTCATCAGTCTTATTCAAAAATGAGTTGTAAGGAAAGTTAGTTTATACACCAAAATCATAAAATAAGTTTAGTACTCAAAAGCGGTGCAAATTGTGGATTAAAAAATACATTAAGTGCATAGTGTGCATGCTTCATTTTATTTCTGCTATATAGAATCAGGATGTGCCTGGTAGCTATAATGTATGTATGTTTTAATGTAAATACAGTTTATTCTGATGAATGTGGTTTTTTACTGTATGTTTTAATAGCTTCTTCATTCAATGACGGAGGAATTGTTGCTAGTGATTTATTGAAGTCAGACATTGTCTAAAGAACATGGATTAGTATGGAAATACGACCATTACCATCACATACCACATCTACTGCTGTATTCAGTGTTCTTAAAGCAACCATGGCTGCTTCACGGCACACATTCTGTAAATCTGCGCCTGTATAGCAATGCGTCTAAAAAAAGTTAATATCATTGATCCTTGTTTGACATCACTTTACTTTGCTTGCAATCTCGAGCAAATTCACATCAGAAGCAAGAGGCATATTTCTTGTATGTATCTTCAAGATTTCAAACCTTGCCTTTTCATCTGGTGGAGGAACATATACAGCTTGATCAAATCGACCTGGTCTCATCAAGGCTGCATCCAGCATATCTGGACGGTTGGTAGCACCCACTACTAAGACTGAGTCTGCACTTTCTACACCATCCATTTCATTCAGTAAGGTCGAAAGTACTCTTTCTTGTACGCTATCACCACTAGATCCACCATTACCCATGTTTCTTTTCCCCACAATAGCTTCTGTTTCGTCCAAGAAGATAATTGCAGGTGCAGATGCTCTTGCTTTTTGAAAAGTAGTTCTGACTATTAACAACATTTAGCATACGCTGTCAACGTGTGATTACTATACTTGCCTATTTTTTCAGAATCACCTACAAAGGGCGAATAAAGTTGTGCGCCATTGATTGACAGGAAGGCAACATTAGCAGAAGAAGCAATGACTTTGACCAATGTTGTTTTACTACAACCAGGAGGACCATATAACAAAATGCCTCGAGGTGGTTTAAGTCCAAGTCTTTTGAATGAATCTTTGTATAATAATGGCCATTCCACTGCTTGTTTTAAGCGCTAATACAGATAAATATACATATTTTCTTTACAAAACAAGTTACCTTCTTCACATCTTCAAGCCCACCTACATCTTCCCATTTCATTTTGTCTACTTGAACTTGAAAGCCTCTTTGCATAGAAGGACCGACAACTGAAAAAGCAGCTTTGAAATCCATCATATTAACAAGCACACTAGATATTGTTTATAAGCAAATCCAACGAATCTAGACTTACTGGTTCTCTCTATTGGCTCTTTGTATTGCATGCATGGCTGCCTCACGGCAGACTGAGTTGATATCAGCAGCTACATAACCATTTGTCATATTGGCCAGAGTATCTGTTTGGCAAAAATAAGCCACCATTGTCTGCAAATGATCTTTTACCAATATCAATTGATTCATCTAATGGCATTTTATCAATTTGTGCTTTAAACAAGGAATGTCTATCAGATACATTGGGTGGCTCCATGTGTATCTCACGATCAAATCTATCAAATTAGACCATGCCAAGTAGTCGCGTATCTTTTATACCTTCCAGGGCGACGAAGAGCTGGATCAATGGCATTTGGTCTGTTTGTGGCACCAACAACAACCAACTTTCCTCTAGACTTGACACCATCCATTAACGTCAATAATTGTGCCACCATTCTATTTTCGTGCGATTGGGATTGATCTCGTTTAGGCGTTAATGCATCCTAAGATAAAAAGTATAAGTATACAATCAACAAAATAAGCAGCTTACAATTTCATCGATAAACAAAACAACAGGCTCATCTTGCTTGACAGCATGTTCTCTCGCTTGCGAAAATATATTACGCAGCTTTTCTTCACTTTCACCCACAAGTGGCCCAAACAATTCTGAGCCATTGATTACAAACAATTTAGCATTGCATTTCTTGGCTACACAGGATACAAGAAATGTTTTGCCTACACCAGGTGGGCCATAAAGCAACACTCCTTTAGGACACTCAATACCTAACTTGGATACCCAATCTCTATATAAAAAGGGAAAGCAAACAACTTCATATAATGTTTTGTAAGCTTTCTCAAAACTAGAAATAGCTTGATTATCGTCAATTGACATGGATTGAACTGCTTTTTCGAGCCCATTTGTTTGGCTTTCTTCTGTCAGAGTGACAAGTGTCGCTGATGATAGAAGAACAGGCGTTGATTCAGGATAGACAGATACGACTTTGATACTTAAAAGTGGCGTTGATATAGAAGCACTGCATTCAAGCACATGATTGTCAATCATGTTCCGTAGACACTAATAGCTCAGGTCAATAATATATGTTAGATCTATCCTTACAGTGTATTTTTGCTGTTCTGTTGCTCTGTTAAAAACAAATCCAAAATGCGATAGCTGTTCTTCTTCAGTTACATGCTTTCCTAGCTTGTATTCTAGGACTGCTGTGATAGCGATCTTAGGACTGGATATAGGTATGATACAAGGGGTCACTAAACTAGAAATCAGTAAGCATGTTGTACAGTACTACTTTACTTTGGTCTGTTTCTTTTGCCTTCATGTGTATAAACGGACTAATGATGACATGTTGATGTGCAATAGAAACAGGCCAAACTGAACAATAATAGATCTATTCGATCGATCAATATACATTTAATGTAATCAACCTACATTATGCGCGTCTGTATAGATCTGAGCCCATTGTCCAGGAGAAATGTTGAGCTCGTTAAAATGTGGAAAAGAAATCTTTGCAGTAGCTGGTCTTTGGCTATCTGAAGTAATTACTATCATTCGAAGCTGTCAAAAAAAAAAGAAAAAAAAAAAGAAAAAAAAGGGGATACAGCTTTTGAATGCAGCCAAACTGTTTAAAGAGAATTTTGGTAAGCATTGGTCGTTTTTGTCACCAAACCAGTCAGCCATTTCTCTGTTATTTTGCATTGAAATGATCAAGTGGTATGATTTGACATTCATTGCTTTAGAAGAAAAAGCAAGCGACAATACTGTAGAAGAGTAAATGAAATAATGAATGTAAGTAACGATAGCTTCTAATCCTCGCTTATCAATTCTTTTACTCTTATTACAAATCAAATCAAAATCATGATAGTCCCCTTTTCAATGGTTACAGATAACAAAATAAAAATATACCGAGTATAATGGTCCCCTTTTTTTTTCAAAAAGAAAATAACATGTAAATGTTCTTTAGGAACTGACTTTTTTAATAGACTCGGCTTATGATGTATGTTCTTAGGTCTATGTACTAGCAAAAGAAATGATAAAATATTTGAGGGTGAGCTTATTTGTCTGTTGTGTTGCCTTCGTGGGACAATTTAAAACAATTTTTTTCTTTTGAATTTTCACGCTCTTTCTTCTTCTTTAACAAGAAAAAAAAACATGACTCTTATTGTTACTGAGTCTTTGACAACTGAAAAGCTCGGCAAGGTGTTTGACCATGCTATCCTTAGACCCGATCAAACTACCGAAGATGTTATCAAAGGCTGCGAGGTTGCAAAGAAGTACAATTTGGCTTCTGTTTGCGTCAAGCCCTGCGACGTTGCTCAAGCTAGTGAGCTCTTGAAAGGTACAGATGTAATGGTTGGTACTGTCATCTCTTTCCCTCACGGTAACTCCACTACTGAAGTCAAAATTGCTGAATCCTTACAAGCCATCGAAGACGGTGCTATCGAGTTGGACGTTGTTCTTAATATCGGTTTCTTAAGATCAGGTTTGTATGACAAGGTCCAGTCTGAATTGACCGATATCATCAAGTTGAGCAAGGCCAAGAATCCTGATGTGAGTTTCAAGATCATCTTTGAAACTGCCTATCTCACCAAGGAACAAATTGTTAAGGCTTGTGAAATTTCTCAAGCCGCTGGTGCTCATTTTGTCAAGACTTCCACTGGTTTTGCTTCTGCTGGTGCTACTTATGAATACATTGAATTAATGAGAGCTAGTGTTCCTGATAATATGGAAGTGAAGGCATCAGGTGGTATCAAGACATTGGAACAAGTGCTTAAGTTCCTTGAATTGGGTGCTACTCGTGTTGGTTCTTCCTCTTCTGATCAAATTGTTGAAGAGTTCAAGAAGATTCAACAATAAACAATGTAAAATAAATGTATTATAAATCTTCAACACTAGAATGGCGTGGATCTTCTTCTGTAGAAGCATCGTTTGAACCTTTTTCATGTGATTCAATCCAATTGCTTACAAGTTCAACAGCTTCTTTGGGTTTTTGTTTGTGTCCCATAAGAAATCCTTGAAGATGAGCCATACTGAATGTATTTTCAGGGACTTTAGAGGCGAATTCAGACGGAAGTGTAGAGTCTCTAGGCAAGCCAGGATAGAATTTAGTAAAGAGCTCATGTGCTTGATTACGAGTAGCATGACCAAAATGAATACGAACATCAATACGACCAGGACGTATTAAGGCATCATCAAGTCGATCAATATGGCTAGGGGAAAATAGGGTCAAGAAGAGCTTCTTCAGGGTCAATTGGTACTTACTTTGTAGTCATACACAAAATACGACCTTCTTGTGCAGCAACACCATCAATAGCATTTAGCAACCCTGAAAACGTGATGTTGTTTGTACTAGTAGTATCCCCTTTTGTTCTTTGGATAAATGCAGCATCAATGTCTTCTAATAACAGTATACATCTACTTGGTGTATCTGATACAAGTTCATTGAGTGTATCGTCTGTCAAGCTCTTGTTGCTTAAATTCACCACATAGATATTTAGTCCAAGTTCACCTGCTAATGAATAGACAAAACTTGTTTTTCCTACAACAAATGCATCAGATGCCAAAAAAAGGAAGATTAGCATGTACTTGCCTGAACCAGGTGTTCCATAAAGCAAATATCCTCTTCGATAAGGAATACCACGATCACTATACCATTGCTCCGAGGTAATAAAATCTTGTGCATCAATCACAAGTTTGGTCTTTACATTACTCGGGATGACAATGGTACTAAGAGGCCGCTTAGGCCTTGACCTTGTTCTTCTCCAGGCACCATACTGATCCGCTGCAAATACAACGGTTCTGCTCTTGTCACGATCAATGAATTTCTTTTGTGCTTCATAAACCAAGTCTTGCAAAAGTTTTCTTGATTGTCCTAATGTACTGATCTGTATTCTTTCAAGTACGGCACTTGAATTGGCTACTGCTGCAGCTGCAGGTGAGGATGCGCCTGGTCGTTCTCGAGTCATCCAAACCAAACGATTTTGATAAGTAAAAAAATGAGTACCTAAACTTGTTCAGTAAGTTTTTCATGCCTAAAGGACAATCACCTGGAGACGGTAGAAAATAAATAGGCGGCAACATTGCATCAAGGCCTTCTCCTGGTAACCGTTGTCCAGCACGTAAAATACTGGTGGATACAGAGAACCGAGATGTATTTCTACTATAAGGCTGTTCACTTAACCAATTCAAAATCCAACTATACATTTGATACACATCAATGAATAAGTAAAGACGAGCATATTGTACCTATAAGATTCATCTCGACTATCAAAGTCTGCTGTAACAATGGCTTTCTTCTTGAGGTAGTCAATAAAATACACACCAAAGTATCGAAATCCTGCCAAAACACCTAGATGAAAAATAAAGCATCAATATTCATGCAAGAGAAAAAAAAACAGACTCAACCTCCAATAACAGCTAGTTGCAGCCCACCCGTAGCTAACCTATAGAACCATTATTTTCTGTCAAGACGTGAGGTTGTTACTTGCTCTCCTATACCCAGCCTTTCTGCAATAGTAGCTACAATACCACCCAAAGTACTAGGCTCTGTTGGTGGCATAGAAGCAAGGCCTCTAGCTGAAATAACGCTTGTCTTTCTTGCAACGTGAGATAGAAAGGGAGGGGATAAAACCGAGTTTCCTCCCGAGACTAAAGAACGACTCATAACAGGAAAAAAAAAGAATAACGTTTATGCGAACTTTATTCCCAGTTTCTGGAGAAGGAAAAGGAGTCACATTAAGACATGTTTACAATAAAAATACGATGTTCATTCCCCTTGGGATTTTTTTTATATTACTATGACTTCGACAAACAAAGCATTGCTGGTTGGTTTGCTCTCAGGCTCTGCTCTTACGCTTCTAGCCACAGGAATTTTTCGTTATTTGAATGACAGCAGAAAGACAGAAGAGGAAGGACTGTCTGTACCCAAGATCGTAGAAGGTGTTGACGGTTTAATCGGCAACACACCGCTGATGAAAATAAGAAGTCTTTCTGAAGCCACTGGTTGCATTGTACTCGGAAAAGCAGAGTTCTTAAACCCAGGAGGTAGTTCTAAAGATAGAGTGGCACTCAATATGATTCGAACAGCAGAAGCACAAGGCATCCTCGAGCCCCATAAAGGTAGTACCATTTTTGAGGGTACAGTAGGATCTACAGGTATTTCGATTGCTACCATTGCTCGTGCAAGAGGATATAAGGCATGGATTGTCATGCCTGATGACCAAGCCAAAGAAAAATATCAGTTATTAGAAAAATTAGGTGCTACTGTAGAAAAAGTGCGCCCTGTCAGTATCATTGATAAAAAGCAATTTGTGAACTTGGCCCGAGAAAGAGCAGTGACTTTCCATGAAGATGAAGCCAAGGGTTATTTTGCTGACCAGTTTGAAAACGAGGCCAACTTCCAAGCTCATTATACATATACTGGACCTGAACTCTATCAACAAACCGGTGGCAAAATTGATGCATTGGTGTTGGGCGCTGGCACAGGTGGTACTCTATCTGGCATCACTTGTTATCTTAAAGAACGTATTCAAGATCTCAAAGTATTCCTAGCAGATCCTCAAGGCTCTGGCCTATATAACAAAGTCAAATACAATGTCATGTATGCCCCTACTGAACAAGAAGGCAATAGAAAGCGACACCAAGTAGATACTGTAGTGGAAGGAATTGGCATTAACCGTCTCACAAAGAATTTTGATCGAGGAAGACGTTTTGTGGATGATGCTTATCGTGTGACAGATGAAGAAGCCATCAAAATGTCTCGTTTCCTTGTGAGAGAAGATGGATTGTTTGTCGGCAGTAGCTCAGCTGTCAATTGTGTGGGTGCATACAAAGTAGCTAAGCAATTGGGTCCTGGTCATGTGATTGTCACCCTATTGAATGATGGTGGCCAACGTCATTTAACCAAATTTTGGAGTGATGATTATCTGAAGGAAAATGGCATTTATTTTGAACTTGGTGCTGAAGAAACGCTGGTTGATTTCATTCAATAAGATTGTCATGTATACCCCCTCTTCTTTTACTTGAATAAATTATCACGTGAAGTGTTGTTTGCTGAGGTCAGTTCTTTTTGACATTCAAAGGCCCTGTATTTCAGGGTAAAGTAAGAGTGACACAAGAACGGCTTAATCATTTAGCCCTCGAATAATTAAAAAGGCGGGGCATGTTTGAATATTCCATTTAAATGGAGGGTAATTGATTTTTTTCGTCTTTTTTTTCTTCTTCTTTTTCCCACTTTCTTTACCGAAACACAGAGAAAAATGCTTTCCTCCAAGTTGATTTCTAAACCTAGCATGGCTGCTATCCAAAAGGTAAATATCGTTCTAGGCTTTTAAGATACTCATGATTTTCTAGGCTGCCACTCGTTCTTTTGCTACAGCTACTTCTATTCCTGTTCCTGCTCCCGCTGAACAAAAGAGTGTAAGGCAACAAACAATATTAAAAACAACTGTCTCATCATCTATATAGATCTTCCCTAAGAAGTACGGAGGAAAGTACACTGTCACTCTTATCCCCGGTGATGGTATTGGTCAAGAACTTACAGCTTCTGTCAAGGATGTCTTCAAGGTTGCCAATGTCCCTGTCGAATTCGAACAATACGATGTTTCTGGTTTGACTTCTGAAGATGATTCTCTTTTCCAAGAATCCTTGGACTCTCTCCGCCGTAACAAGGTCGGTCTTAAGGGTACTCTCTTCACCCCTACTTCTCGTTTTGGCCACAAGTCTTTCAACGTCAGCATGCGTAAGGATCTTGATATGTATGCTTCTCTTTCTCTCTGTAAGAATGTTCCCGGTGTTGAATCTCGTTTGAGCGATGTTGATATTGCCATTATTCGTGAAAACACTGAAGGTGAATACTCTGGTTTAGAACACCAAGTAAGTAGATATATATATATGTGTGTGTGTATGTGTATGTGTATGTGATACTTATTATTTGTAGTCTGTTCCCGGTGTTGTTGAATCTCTTAAGATCATCACCCGTACCAAGACTGAACGTATTGCTCGTTTCGCTTTTGACTTTGCCGTCAAGAACAATCGTAAGAAGGTCACTATCATTCACAAGGCCAACATTATGTAAGCGTATAAAAAAATTTTTTTTCTGAACTAACCACCGAAAATAGGAAATTGGCAGACGGTCTTTTCTTGCGTACTTGTCGTGATGTTGCAAAGGAATATGCTCATCACGGTATTGAAGTTAACGATATGATTGTTGATAACACTGCTATGCAACTTGTCTCTCGTCCTCAACAATTCGATGTGATGGTCATGCCCAACTTGTACGGTAACATTGTCTCTAACGTCGTAAGTATAGATTGACAAATAGACATGATTGAATTCATTCGTATATGTGTAGGGTGCTGGTTTGATTGGTGGTCCTGGTTTGATTCCTGGTTGTAACATTGGCCGTGAATTCGCCATGTTTGAACCCGTAAGTTTCATACATACAGGATAGAGAGAGAAGAAAAGAGAGAGAGACTAATGATAGAATAGGGTTGTCGTCACGTTGCTCTTGACATCCAAAATCAAAACTCTGCTAACCCTACTGCTATGCTTTTGTCTTCTGTCATGATGTTGAGACACTTGAACTTGGACGAACACGCCAACAAGATTTCTGCTGCTGTTTATGACACTATCAGCAGCGGTAAGGCCAAGACTGTTGACATTGGCGGTAACAGCACCACCAAGGAATTCACCAAGGCTGTCATTGATTCTTTGTAAACTATAAATAAATAAAATAAAATGTTATATTCTTTTTTTCTTTCTTTTTCTTTTCTTATGGCTACTTTGCCTCCTTTTGCTGGACCTTCAGCGGGCCCAAGACCTGTTTTACTTCAGATAGAAGACCAATATAATAAAAGAATTGATGATGATGTAGCTAAACTTGTTGACTGCTTTACAGATATTGTCAAAGTGGGAGAAGTATGTTTAAACACACGGTCTGGAAAACAGAAAAAAAAAAAGCTAATATCTTATAGAACAAAGACAAAGACAAGTTTAAAGTAGCTCAAGAAGGATATCAAATAGAAAGCCAAGCAGCCCAAATAGTAGGCATTTAGTTTTCATAGATTTAGAGCTATTGACACAGTCATTAGGTACGATCGTGTGAATCGCTATTGTCACTTGTAGGAGAACTGAAACAAAGTTTACTGTTGAATGACACAAAAACGCTTTCCAAGTTACGGCAAGCGCGTTCAGAGAAATTGACAGAAAATACAGTAGCTATCAAAGAGCGTATCTTGACCATCAAAAAAGAATTAGCAGATACTGTGTATGATTTAGAGTCTGTTTATTATCGTTCTTTAACAGACTAACAAGAAATAAATGCTAACAAAAGGTTTATTATCTAGAAAAAAGAGACAGAGAGGGGGGATATAATTACAAGAAATATGTGATTGATTAGACTTGTTGTTCTAATTGTTGAGCGTCTTCTACTTTGCCACCAAGGGATTGTAATTCAACTAGTCTACGGAATACGCCATTTGGACGACTTAACAAATCATCATAAGTGCCCAATTCTGCAACACTGCCATTATCCAAACAGGCAACCAAGTCAGCAGAACGAATGGTAGACAATCGATGAGCAATCGTAAATACAGTACGACCCTGCATTAAACGATTCAGTGCATCTTGGACTAAAATTTCAGATTCAGAATCAAGAGCACTTGTGGCTTCATCTAAAATAAGCACCTTGGGGTTCTTGAGCAAGGCACGAGCAATCGCAATACGTTGCTTTTGTCCACCACTTAAACTAATACCACGCTCACCTACTAACGTGTTATATTTGTCGGGAAATGTGTTGATAAAGGAAGCACAGTTGGCTTGAGTAGCAGCCTCCTCGATTTCTTCAGCTGTAGCATTTTCGCGGGCATAAGCAATATTTTCACCAATGGTGCCTGCAAACAAGGTGGGTTCTTGAGAAACAACACCGACTTGTTCACGCCACCAATGAAGATTGATGTCTTTGATATCGGTATCATCGACAGAGATCTTGCCAGAAGCAGGATCATAGTAACGAAGCAAAAGAGAACCAATGGTTGATTTACCTGAACCAGAAGAACCGACCACAGCAATCACAGTACCAGGCTGAACGGTCAATGAAAGGTTTTTGAAAATGGTTGACTGAGAACGGGTAGGATAACTAAACTTAACACCATCAAAAGTAATTTTGCCCTTGATGTCTTGCAAGATTTTGCCCGAGTCTAATGGGATAGGACTCTTGCGGTTCAATAAATGAAAGATACGGTCTGAAGCACCCACACCCTTCATGATTTCAGAGTAAAAAGAAGTCATGCCACCTAAAGCAGTGCCTACGTAGGCAGTATAGAGCATGAATGAAGTCAATTCACCAATGGTAATGATGTTTTCCATCACCATATGGCCACCATACCATAAGACGGCCAAGACAGCTAAATTGCCTGACAATCCTGCACTACCGAAAAAGGCACCACTGGCCAATGCTTCTTTTCGAGCAAGGTCAAATACGTGTCGAACACGGTCTCTGTATCGGTTTTCTTCGGCTGATTCTTTGGCAAATGCTTGTACTGTACGAATATTGCTAATACGTTCTTCTGCTACTTTGGTAATATCACTGATAGCTGTCTGTGTCTTTTTAGAGAGCGATTTAACATATCGACCATAGACAATAGCAAATCCTGCTACAGGTGGTACAATCAACATCATAATGCCTGTTAATTTAGGACTCACAATCAACATCATAGTAGATCCTACACTTGCTGTTGCCAATGCTCTGTTATCATCAATAAACTGGCCTCTAGTGTTGCATTCTTTCTTTTTTTTGGTTATTTACCTTAGACCATCACTAACATTGTTGGTTAAACTTTTGCCAACAATAGCAGTATCTGTGGATAATCTTGAGATAAGTTCACCTGTTCTGTTCTTGTCAAAAAATGCCATGTCTTGTTTTAATATAGTCTTGTAAAGGTCCATTCTCAATCTTTGAATAATGCGTTCTCCAGCAATTCGGAACAATAGAACACGACCTGTATTAGCTGCTGCTCCAAGGACAAAGACCATAGACAAAGCACCTACAAACTCGGGCATATTCAAGCCTAAGTAGTCGTTCATAGAAGGGTTTGTCACAATATCGATGATCTTGCCCATAGAAAAGGGAACTGACTTTATCAAGCGTATGAATATCAAAGAAAGTCTGTTTTTATTCTTACCATAGTAATGGCCGAGGAAACAACCAATAAGCCCGTAGCAGCTAATAGGATGCATAAGTAATTTTTTTTATTTGTTATATCAGTGTCATTACCTGTCAAGCTTTTTGCTTCAGGTTTGGCTAAACGAAATAGCTTCTTAATATCACTCGAGTCTGTCTTTTGCTGACGGAAAGCATGGCTTGAAGAAAAAGAGCGAGAAATAGGTTGAATAGGGCGTAATAAATTGGGTTTTCTGGCTAAAGAAGAGGTTATCTTCAAATTAGAAGATAAACACCTTAACATGTTTACGAGAAAGAAAGTATAATTTTTTCGAATTTGTTTTCAGGCCTTTTTCAATTTCAAGTAGAAATACTGTAATGACTTCATCCAAAATAAAGGTCCGATTTTTTTCTTGAGACATTTTGAGTTTTTTTTTTGGACGAATCAAAATTCAAATTAAAATAAAATAAAATCCAAACAGATGATCGTTCAGACTTTTACCTGTAAAAGTTTAAATTCCATTTTCAAGGAAATCCGTATACGAGACGGCGATGTAATAAAAATAAAAGCATTAATTGCTTTTGCAAAATGCTTGAGGACGACCGTGGCCACTGATTATGTTGCTTGAAATCTTGTAAATGTTCTTCGAAGCATTAACATCGCAAGAGCACTATTCAACCCGATGAAGGCTTGTGTGAAGGACATTTCATTACAAGAATGGTATGTCTGCATTTAGAAATAAAATCAACTTGACACCTCGTACCTTTGAGCTTCGGAATTCATCATGAACGAGCAAAAGATCGCCAAACCTCTGTCTAAACTTGAGCTGTCACCAGAGAACATCAGTGACACCTGTGCTAAGACCCTTGAACTTAACTGAGTCCTTTCCAAACATTCCCTTGTCAAAAGAGATGATCGGTAGCTTATCTTTATTTTGGCTAAACTTCTCTGGCTTCCAATGCCTGCTGATTCTTCTAATAAAACAACACATAAATATATACGATTATAATTTGAACCTACTTTGCACTTCCTTGTATTGTTTGCTTGTTACTATCATCATTTACAGCCTCTTTATTTCTTCTTTCTTTCTTTCTTCTCTTTCTTCTCTCTCTATTCTTCTTCGTATTTTCTCACTTTGCTTTGTTATATTTTCTACCACCGTCCAATAAAATGTTTGTCATTTCTGCTCTTGCTCTTTGAACGCCTTAACACAGATAGAAGCGGTTTTTAGCGGTTAAACTACCATTGAAACATAGTATCTTGTCAAGGTTTAGCAGAATATAAATGACATAGTGAAGGTAGGTAGACATACTAACTGTTTTTGCTGTTGATATATTCAGTAAGGTGTCGCCCATATCCTCAGCAGCCATCCTTTCTATTTCTTTTTTCATATGCCTTCTTGATCCTGTGTAAGTGTAATATTCTTTAGTAGAGCACCGCCTGAGCTAATGACTGGTTTTACCACCACCATAAGAGGCAACGAATACTTGATTACGGTTGGGGTCTATTGCGCAAAGTGAGATATTGTCCAAATCTTCACTGTTCAGAACATCTCTAAGCAGTGTTATGGGGACTTCTTGGTCAAAATAATGAGCGAAATCTTCTGGATTGGTTTGCGAACTTTTACGAATAATAACATCAGCGGCATAGCGGTTAGTTCTGATTAAGTTTGAGAAAACAAACTTTTTCTTCTTGTCTGGATCTTGTAGGGCTTGGAAGCTACTATACCCAGGAGTTTTGTTGGTAAGAATTTTTTAGGCACTGCGGCTGTCAAGTATGTTCAAGCATCTTACCTGCTTATTCTGAGTCTCTCAAAATCAAATATCTTGTTAAACATTTCACGCTTGGCTTCGTACATATTTGGGAGCTTTATACCAGCAAAAGCTGAAATAGAGTTAGGATTTAGCGATATGAACCTCCACTTCAATGAAGGCACAGGACATAACGAGAACAATCGTGGAACTATTTGTCTTTTTTCTTCATCTTCTTGTTTTTTTTCCTTTGCCTTTTTTGTTTTCTTGTTCCTGCTGCTGTTCTTGTTGGTGTATGCGTTCGTTTTTTTTTTATAAGTCTAGACAGCATAGGAACATACGTCCCTGGAGAGATAGACAAGCTTACGAGAGTCACAGGCTTAGGCATATCTGTTGAAAACAAATCGTTACATATCTCTTTAATAGATTGTTTTTTTACTGTTGCAAGCTGGAGTTCCTCCACAAACGTATTGATAGCAGTATGAATTAAAAATTTCTTTTATGATACCTTTGTTTGGCTAAATACAGAATGGAAGCGTTATTTTGAAAATGAATAACTTCATAATGTCATGCACAAGGTACGTTTTCATTCTAGACTCAAAACACTCTACAATATTGTTTGTGTACACGGCAGCAGTTTCGGCACAAGTAGTAGTCAGACAATGGGAATAACCACTAATAGATGTTATCTCATAGGTCAGGTTGTATCGCGAAGAGAAGCTTTCCCAAAAAGCCAAGCAATCGTCTGACATGACTTTTCTGTTTTTTGGGATTTTCTTTAGAACGAGCTGCTTTATACAGTGCCAAAAGTTCTGTGTAAAGACTCTTTTGTCAATAGCCTGGTCACAGTAGGTAATAATGTAGTAGTCTACAAACAGTTGTGCACGTATCATTATATTACATATTTGATCTGATACCAGAGTGAACGAAATGCTCCCCCTAAAATAATAGTCAAAGTTGATAGAAATTATCATTTAGATAAGAAAAGATGGTATGGACTCTTTTTTTTTAATTGCGTACCAGCAATCAATTGCAAGAAGGTTAAGTTAGAAAGAAGATAAACCAGCATTATCTAATTAAACGAGCAATATTGACAAGAGAGTTTTACGTGATTGGCCTATATGTCTCTACTCAAATGATAATTCACTTGAAACGTATAGTTGTGTTTGCTAAATTCTTTTAATGAAGCTACTTTCCTTGCGTACTCGTATGTATAGACATGGTTTCTAGTTCAATGAAGCCCCTTTTTACTTATTAAAATATATTCCAATAATTTTGGGAAATAGTGTATGATCATCCCCTAAAACTGATAAACCCGTCTTTCGACAGTTGTGTGACTGGAAAACTACTGGTTTATGCAATCAAGTGGCGTTTTTGAAAAGACAATCATACCATTGAAGAAGTCCATTTTCTGTGACACCAACATAAAACAACAAATAACCTGAGAATAGGTCGTACATAAGCATGGACTCATAAGGTTTTTTTTTCTTTTTCTCTTTTCTTTTTTGTGTTATGTAGTTATGCCATTGAATTCAATTATTATTAAGCCAATTTCAATTCAATCTATTTTATACAGAAAGAAATCCATCTCAAAAAGAAAACCAACAAAAAAACCCAAGAAACCGATTAATTATCATGATCTCCAATCTGATCTAGATTATGCTTATGATTCCCTTGCCTCTATTCAAGTTATTTATCATAGTCTGAAGCACACATACCTCGGCTGTCAAACCAAAATAGAGCAACACAGGAACATGACACGCTTATGTGATATGGAAAAAGAGCTTTTGATTGCTTATGATGATATCAGTCTACAGGTTACTCATCTCAAGAAAGATTTAACCAGAATAGAAAGAGAAATGAACCAACTCAAAGTTGATTCTTGCTCAGAGACTTCTTCCCCTTAACTATGAAAAATTAAAAGAAAAAAAATAAAAATTTATATGGCCAAAAAAAAAAAAAACTTTTTTATATACGTCTTTATAGAACAATAAGCAATGAATCAACCTTTAGAACAACATTCTCATTCACTTCAATATGGTTGGGTATTTTGGTTTATGCACCGTTCTCGAGGAGAAAAGATCACAAACTATGAAGGTGCGATGAAGAAGATTGCTACTTTTCATACTGTAAGATCTTTTTCTTTTTTACGCGAATTTCCTATTTATCTTTTTTTTTATAGATAGAAGAGTTTTGGGCTGTATATAGTCACCTAAGACGACCAGGAGAATTACCCAATATTAGCGACTATCACTTGTTTAAAGAAGGTGTTCGACCTGTGTGGGAGGTAAGGGATATTTATAATCACAAGTTGCTTATTGGCTCAACAGGACACAGCCAATATTCATGGTGGGAAATGGATTGTTCGAGTCAAGAAAGGGTTGGCTGGTAGATATTGGGAGTCTTTGATATTGGCTATCATTGGCGATCAATTTGATGTGCAGGATGAGATTTGTGGGGCAGTTTTGTCTATTCGTGGTTCAGAAGACATCATTTCAGTATGGAACAAGACGTCATCGAATGGCAAAATCAATTTGAAAATTAGGTAAGTCTTACTGTTTAATAATGACTGATTAACTTATTGCTTGTAACAGAGATACCATTAAAAAGTATTTGAATTTACCAGTCGAGACAACGATGGAATATAAAACACATAATGATGCACTTCGAGACAATTCAAGTTTCCGTAACACAGACGTGTTTCGATAAATAAAATAGCTGTCAATCCATAAAAATAGAAATTCATTTTGCTGTACTACAATACAGTTCTGAAGAGAAGCAGCACGAGAACGCAATAAAAATGTAATATAGTCGGAGAGAGTTTCTGCTATTGAAAAAAACGTGGCTATATATATATATATATATATATATAAATTGAAATGTTATATTTTTAATCTATGGGCACACACCTACCTATGTCTCTTTTCTTTTACTTATGCTCTTTGATAGATACAGAAACAAGTCTAAATCAACTACACTCGCAACAAGCGAGAAAAAGAAATTGAGTATAGCCAATTCACTTCTTAAAAGATTCAGTAAAAAGAAGAACAAGAAAAACAATGAATTAAACCAGCCTAGAACATCCATGTCATTACCCAATATTGCAACTATTCCCGAGAAAGAGGATATAATGAAACCACTGCCTCTTCCAGACCATATTACTTCAAGGCAACAAAAGAGACACTCTGCAGATCAACGTCGCCATCGTCACCATGTGATCTCGATGCAAGACGTCAATCGACACTCTATTACTTTTGGCCATTTACCACCCTTAAAGGCAAAGGCCATGGCTGATTTAGCCTTTGAGCCTCATCAAATAGCTAAATTAAACCGCTTAGCCAATTTGCCTGATAATACAGATGCCCTGTTAGCGACATTGGGCAACACAACACAGCCTCAAGTGCTTGTGCCTCATCGATCCATCAGTCACCAAAACCTGAACGAACCTTCCATACGTCAATCACTTAATCGTACACACTCAGAATCACACGCAAAGACAAGAGAAATTGAAGCAGATCCAATTGAACCCGAGACATTGGCAGACTTATTAAGCATGGAAGCTTCAGGGGAAGGTTCTCATGTCATTCTTATCGATGTTCGTAACCTGATTGACTACCAAAAAAGACGCATTCGCCATTCACTTAATGTCAATCTGCCTTCATTGTTAATTAAACGCTATCAGCGCGGTACAATTGCTAATTTCAATCTGGAAAACTTTATCACCACAGCAGAAGGTCGAGAGATCTATGCTGCTAAACACACAAGACCATCACAGCCTACAACGCCTTTGATGGGCACCATTTTGGAGCAAAAAGCAGCAGAGGCAGAAATAAAGAATAACAACAGTAACAAGAAACGAAAAGTAGCCTGGGTCATTTATGATGAAGACATGACTGAAGGAGATCAAACCTCACAAGCTTGGACGATTCTGAATGTGCTGAAGCGCTTTGTAGGTGGTGATAAGACAAAAGAGGGCAGAGTGTATTATCTTGTCGGCGGATTTCATGCTTTTCAAGAACGCTATGAAAACTGGCTTGAGACAACCAGTGCGACGATCTCCTCTTTACCTTCATTACCTCAGAATGGCCCCCACAATTCAAGTTAAACAACAATATGCCGAGACGCTCGATCAGTTACACCATGGGTGAATCTAAAAACGATTTGCATAAGCGAACAAGCCTGTTCACATTGGATACACAAGCTGCTCGCGTAAATAATGCTAACGCGCTGGCGCGTAGAGCAAAAAGAAGAACAGAACAAAATGAAGATACCACGGCACGTTCTACGTCCAATACAACAACAACCAATACAATACATCTTTCTTCTCGCAACCCACTCAGTTCGCATAGACTACAGCCTCAGCAAAAATCATTGAATCGTGTAGCAGAAGACGAAGAAACCCCTATGACAGCTGATGTTTCCTCGCCTCGAACAGAAACTGATTTCTGCTTCATTATTTCCGAGATTATTCCTGGCTTTTTGTATGTGGGTCCTGAAATTGAGACAGAAGAGCAAGCAGTACAATTAGATCAACGCCATATTCGACGTGTATTGAATATGGCTGAAGAATGCCAAGATGAAGGACTGGCTTCACGTTCATTTGTCTATCATAAAATAGCTGCTCGTGATACTCTAGAAATGAAAAACATTGAGCTTGTTATGATGGAAGCTGTTCATTTTATCGGTAAGCCCTATTTTACATTTATTTATCTAATGTCTGTATTAGAACAAGCAAAAAAGAAGCATGAACCTATTTATGTACATTGCAAAGCAGGCAAATCTCGTTCAATTACAGCCATCTTGGCCTATTTAGTCACTTCAGAACGTTGGACATTGAAAAAAGCTTATCGTCATGTCATTAAAGCAAGACCCAACATGTCTCCTAACATTGGTTTTATCTCAGAACTGATGAAGATGGAAGGCAAAGTCCATGGTCGTGTTAGTAGTTTCATGGAATCTGATTGGCAATCCACTCCTTTACCTAGTCCTGAATATGCTAATGAATTGTTTCAATTAGAGAAGGCCTGGCAAACAAACGAAACCACTAATACTAATACTATTACTACTACTACTATTATTTAACTTTTTCTTTTTTCTACCTTTTATTTAATACACTTTGATTAAAAATAATCATGTTGATTAATTTTTGTCTAAAAGCATCTTTCCAGGTATCCATAAATAACAGCCTTCCATAAAGGTCAGGCTGAGAAGCATTTTTGCAAGAAGCAAGAACACTTTCTTGCTCAAATATCGAGTTGTTTTGAAGCGACTTAATGCCCTTGACCAAAAAAGGAACTAAAGAGGAAAACAAGACCAACTAGACTATAAAGATAAGTCAAATGTTGATACTGAACACAATACACTTGATAACTAAGCTTGTGACCAAAAAAAGACATGAGGAGAGTCAATAGTTGAGAATCTTGATTACATAACAAGCTGATGTACTCAACTTTTAAGAAACGGAATGATTCCACACTAATTTCTTGTTTTACTTCAATAATCTATTACGAATTAACCGCTTATCTCAAAGCAACTAAGCAGCACAAAATGTCAAATGCACAAAATGAATAGCTTATTGGTAAGCATTTTTAGACAATGAATTTTCATAAAGACAATGAAGTTTGTTTAGATTGCATATCAGTTACCATTGTTAAAAGGATGACCAACACTAATTTAGACTTGCGTTTTTGTACACTCTCTTGTGAAGAAAACAGAGTTTTGTAAGTAGTGTCTAATCCTTATCAAAGGCTTATTCAACGAACTTCTTGATTCCCATCTTTTATGACAAGCATGGAAAGAATAATGATTGCTAAGGCTTTATTGGACATTTGAGTAACACTGTAACTTTATTCCTAAAGTTAAGCCTGTCTAATTTTTATGTGCAAAAGCGAGGACAAGATTTTTCGGTCAAATCAGAAAATAGACCGATGTAAATTGTCCGAGTTTAACCCATGATGATGTGACTTTATTTGGTAAGCTACAAGTGGGGAAGCCCATATAAAATAAACCCATTGTAAAAAAATTACTTTAAAAGTAGAATACAACGATCACTGTTTTATCTAAATGATTAAGAAACCAACCAGGTTAAACTTTATGCATTCATGTGGTGATACATAACCCCAATCCTTTTTTTTGTATGTATATATATATGTCCATATAAATAATTTATAATAAGAAATTTGACGGAAACCTTGAAAAAAAAAACCTAGAGTAATTCCGATATAATAGAACATGATATATATAAATAACATCTCTTTCTTTCTCTTTCTTTCTTTTTTTCTTCTTCTCCTTCTCTTTCTTTAGAATGAAGCAACAAGATTTAGCTGCTATTCAACGTCCATATCAATGCAATTTCTGCTATAAATCATTTTATCGTTTAGAGCATAAAGTGCGACATGTGAGAACACACACTGGAGAAAAACCTCATATATGCACATATCAACAGTGTGACAAACGATTTGCTCGTTCTGATGAGCTAAGTCGACATGTACGTGTTCACACTGCACCTTCTTCTGTCCTGTTACAGCGAAAAAGAAAGATACGCAAATTCAATTCAAACAAATCAAGGTCAACAGACGATGAAGAGGCCTATCTAAAACAGCAACAACACTGCTCTATCTTAAGGTTTATTCATCCCACTGCTGTACATACTATCCAAAAGGATAAACCAACAAGATCGAGTCCTTATAAACAACCTGTAAATAACAACCTTAACCATTGTCCAGCTCATGGCTGCTATAAATCGTTTTGGCGAAAAGGGCAATTGACAAGACATATTGAAAAACAACACCCAACATTGTGTGATATGGAATCAAATGCGTCATTGTCATCTGATGAAGAAACCTTGCGTTCACCCAAACAAGAAGTAGAAACATCGTTTGGTTATTGTTTACCGCCATTGGATGAGGATCAGTGGCATCAGCAAACATTTCGTTTACCTTCCATTAAATCCTTATTATGCTAATAACAACAATAATAATAATAATATTTATTTATTTTTTAATGATGATAAGCTGCTTTATTCCTATTGTCTTCTTCCCTTGCGCTTGCTTTTAATTCTTTCCATAATGTCTCTTTCTGCATACTTGCTTTACACAGTTTATTACGTGCACATTGGAGACGAGCAATGTATTCGTTGCTATAGTTGATATTTTCCTAGCATGATTTAGCCAAAAGAATACATACGCAGACAAAAAGCTTACCAGCAATAATTCTTTGACTCTTTTGACTACTTCCCTTGCTTCCGTGTCAATGTTCATATCTACATCTTCTTGTAAGATTGGTTCTTGTTTTTCTTGTTCTTTTTCAGACATCTGTTGCTGTTCTGCTTCTTGTTGCTGTTGTTCTGGCTCTTCTTGTTCCTCTTCTTTATGTTCTTCATGTCTTTTCTTTTCAAACAATGTCTTTTCTTTTTAATGCTTGCTTCGACATCAGCATCTAATGCTTTAGGATCCAATGCATCAACAGCATCACTACTAACATGAGATAATGCGGTAGCTGCTACTGCTGCTGCTTCTTGGTCTTCTTTGTATTTCTGACGTTGTTCAGGCGTACGATCAAAGCTCAAGTCAAGATAGCGAGGGTCATCTTGATGCATAATGGATGATAGACGACATAAAATCTTGTTAAAGTTCTTTTCACCTTCAATAAACTCCATGGACGTCTTTGCTAGTGAATCTATTTGTGTAGAAAGCAGAATTCTTCGTAAAGCTGGTCTGCGCACAATGTCTGTTGGTAACTCAATTGGACTAAGGATATCTATATATCACCCTCATTAAGTAACGCAGTTTAATAAAGTTGAATAGATACCTTCAATATTAATGAGTGTATAAGGATCGTCCTCTTCATCTGAAATGCCGTCTTCTAGTCTCTTTCTCTTTCTTTTGACTACTGTTCTCGTTTTACCAAACTTGGAAAACTAGATAAATAATTAAGTTATGTTGTTGCGTTTAATATAGAGTACCTCTGACTCTTCAGCGAGTGTCTTTGGTGCGCGTAGTTTGTTTCCACCTAAATCGTTCGTAGCCCATTTCTTGAGTATGAAAAGGTTAAGGATAAATCAACATACTATTTCTACTAGAGTTAGTATTTATTTTTGAAAAAGAAAAAAAAAGGATATGTTTATAGCCTCTGTTATGAGGAACAAGTCCAACTTGGTCACTGTCACTCTCATCATTTTCGGGTTGAATCCATTTACTGGCTGGTGGAGCAGTAGTAGTGTTAGTAGGAGCAGGAGGAGCAGGAGGAGGCTGCAGAGGTGGAAGTGGTTGAGACATGGTGATATAGACAAAGAAAGAGGTGAGAAATCCAAATTGATTGCAGACTCGTTTCTAATTGCCGCTTATTCAGTCACAAAAAAAAAATATAAAAAAAACATGAAAAGTGTGTTCACTCCTCTTTTTCTTATCAAGTGTAGGTTTTGGGACACATACACACAAAAGAGAACCTAAAAAAAAGTTGTCTCAGTAGCCTATGTATCTTTTTTGAATAAATAACATTCTTTCGATTAAAACGACCAAGCAACACTGATTTGGATCATAACAATTCCTTCTATTTGAATCGAAAAAAACAAACATTCATAAGTAAAAGACTTGCTCTATATTTTTTATCGCACAATTCCATCCTTCTCTAAAGGAAAATAGATCCTATGACTCAACTTGCTTTGCTTTCTTTAAAAAGAAATGTATTTTTATCATCTATTGAAGTTCCGAGTTACCATCATTTTCTGTGATCAAAAACAAACAAACACACAAAAGTGTTTAAGACCAAGGGGTTATCAGTAAAACATTTGATAGTCTTGGTAAGACGAGTCAATCATTGTGAAAAGTAAGATATCTTAAGAAACACTTGAACTCCATTTTGGCTAAAAGATAAAGCTGTTCTAACTCTAAATATATGCGAAGCTTAAAGCAAGTCTTCTTTTTACATGACATCTATCGTAGGTTATGCTTAAAGGGGACAGCTTTAAGCTCGAAAGTGTTATGTATAAATAAGTATCTACTTACTAGTCAATATCTGCTGAAAAAGGTGCCTTTTCTATCATTTACAATGCGTAATGAACTTTGAATGCAGATTCGATGGCAAAGTTCAAATTGAGTCAACGTTTTCGTTTTAGTAAACTCGCTTTTTTTTCTCTCGAAAGTGTCTAAAAATAGTCTCACCTCATTTCAGTTGGATCAGACCTACATTGGGTCATTCCGAAATTTTCTGAATGAGTTTTGTTTTTTTTTTCATCTTCACGAACTCTTGGGATCCTCCATGGTCAAAAAAATAAAATAAAATTCACAAAACAGCCAAGCCAATAATACCATTCAATTCCTTGGCTCAAAAGAACATGGTTCAAATGAAAAAAAAACAGGTTGTTTTAATAGTCATATTGTCGAGTAATGGTCCATCAAAGATTGGCATGTTTAAGCTGTGTTTTGAGCATTTTTACTCTAGATATCTTACAAAACCTGTTATCGATAGCGCTATAAAGATATTGTATGCTATTCAGAGTGTTGAAGAACATACAAAAGTAGAAATATAGACACTTATGATGTAAATAAGGTATGCAGAAATTTTTCATCAAAAATGGAAGAGTTCTTCAATTGTTGAAATCTCCACCCAAATATGAAAGTAAAACGTAATCACTTACGCTGTGGTGATCTTGATAAAAAAAAAGGGGGGGAATGTTTGCTCATAAGAGTGTCAAGGTATTGGAGAATTTTATGATGCATAAACGACTATATATTATCATATATTGACAGCCCTAATTTAATTACTCGTTCTATTTATATTAAAGACATATCCAGCTCAAAAGGCACAATGTCATTTGCAGAATTCAATACGGTAACTTTAATGGACAAATATCTGACAACAAATGATTTACATCTATTTATGGAATCATTGCCTTATCTGATAAAATGTCTTAAATCAAGTGGAGAACTTTATATAACAACCTGTCAATCACACTGAGCAAATTAGAGATTGAATGGTTCATTTAATGTAAATCCTTGTACAGCAGTGATTAGTGAATTATTTAGATTAATTGTTATTATTTGAGATTTAAGTATGGAATAAAGACCTCTACAGATCATGCTAAACCCTGATACAAGCAATTATCTATAAATGTGAACCTATTGTTGGCTCAATAAAAATGCATTCTTTGCTTGGCCTTGGCTCTTTTTTTTTTGCTCTTATTTTGACATTGATAAAATATTAAGGAATAGCATGGATGAGCATGGATGAGTAGAATGACAGAAAAAACGTATACGTTTTGGATTTTCGAAATTGATTTGCTCCTTAACGTAATGGACTTGTAAAACCCCCCCCCCAATTCTTTGCTAGTATTTCTGACAAGATTTTATCATTTTTATCTTTTAAAATTAAAGAAATTAAAGAAATTAAAGCGTAAACGATAAAAGAAAGACGCAATCAGTTACACTGTAGTAAGAGTGTGTTTTTTTTTAGTCTAAGAATAATTATTTTCCAGAGGTTTTTCTCTGTTGACATACAAATAGAGTACTTGCATATTGGTATTGATTTTATCAAGTTCATAAAGTTTGTTTATTTATTAATTTCATGCAAACGGTTCTTTTGAACACATGGTCCAATATGGCCTTTGGTTGCTCGGACTTGATCAATTTACAAGAATGGCTATACCAAGATAAAAATACCTTAAGAGCGCAAGGGCAAAAAGAGATAGAGAGAAGAGCATTGATCTAATGGTGTGTCTAGGCGTGGATTTGTAACCAAAGGAAAAAAAATGGAAACATTTGGTTGGATGTTGGAAGAAGTAGACTGTTTGTAGTAGCATGTTACATAGAGACAATTTGGGATGGAAGCAAATGTATAGAGGTCCATTTAGTACTCCAATAAAGTACAGAGTGGTCAGTCTTGAGTATTCCTGTGAGGAAGCAATTTACAATCCTCTGAAAGATAAAGAGCTTGGCCAAGGGCATTTCTGCATCCTCTAAAGCCACCTTGAGCAGTGCCTGAAGGCGATGCTTGGCCTTGAAGAAGTTCCTTGATGCATATTCCGAGCATCTTTCTGGAAGTAGTAGTCAGAATAATTAGGCAGTAATTGACTAGATCAGTCGGGCTGCCCTTCTTATGAATTGGGACTACTTGTGCGATTCATCAACAATGAGGTGTATATGGCCAACGCCGACATAGATAAAAAATATGGAAAGCCAGGAAGCCATTGATTTCTGTGATATACACGCAAAAATTAAAGCTAGAGTCATAAAACAATCACAGTAATAGCCATAGACGCTAGGAACTTCTCATAAATGTAATGGATCTACAAAGAAACATATAAATTTTCATACTCCGCAAAAATTATGCCGAAATTACGAGTATGCCGAAATTACGAGTATGCCGAAATTACGAGTATGCCGACTTACGAGTATGCCATTTGCGTACTCAAAAAATATTTTTTAGAAAAAAAATAAAATGAAAAGCACTACTTTAAAATAAATCAAAAACATTTTTTGTAATGGCAGAAAATAAAATAGAAGAGGATTTCTAATATTTTATTCGAAATAATTAAAAAAGCTCATTTTTCAATTTTTCTGTTTTAAATAAATAAACGAGTCTACCGGATGGTGCTTTTGTTGTTTTAGTTTAAAAAGAGTATTACTGCCTGGTAGATTCGTTTTTTAATTTAAAACAAAAAATTGAAAAATAAGCTTTTTTTTTTTTTTTATTTTAAGCAGAAAAATAGAGATTTTCTACTTTTTATGTTTTTTTGTCATTGCAGAAAATGTTTTTGATTTATTTTAGAATAATGTTTTTTTTTTATTATTCTTCAAAAATATTTTTTGAGTACGCAAATGGCATACTCGTAAGTCGGCATACCTGTCAATATTTTTATGATTTTTGAAAATGCTTTTGTTTTTTGTGTGCAAGCCTATCGCACTGATCATGAAGGCCTAAGGTGTACGAGTCTTTCCATAATTTTCTTCATCGCTCTAGCTACCTTTTCCGTAGAGCTATCACTACAGCGTAAGCAATGGAAGAAATCTTCTACCAGAAATAGATGATGGAGAGTTTTGGCCAAATCTTCACTCAAATGTGGAAGAGAAAGGCATTTGATCGAAAATTTGTTCCACCCGATGAAATAAAAGGATAATTGCTTACACTGTGGTGTACGGTTGCCGTGGTTACTATTATGGTTGCTATGGTTGCTATGGCTGTTGTAATCACTCTGCTACAACAGGAAACATGGTCAAAAAAGTGATGATCAGTAGCATTCAAGGAAGAGCACAAACCATTGCTGTTGTCATTTGGGAAGAGAAGACGTTGTTTTTTTCAAAGATTTTTATTATTGCTCCGCGTAAAGTTACCCTAATGGCACTCAAGAGGCGGGCGCAATTCATACTGAATTATATTATACAATTATGCTGAAAGCAAACTAAGCAGAATAAAATAAAAGATATGCCACTGTTATTAATGGAAAAAAAATACGAGAAGAATTACAGTCTTGTGTGTACTTGCTTTTCATCTGCAAGCAGTTGTAAAGCAGTACGTGTTTGTTGTAGAGTGGAGTAGGCATCAAAAGCTACGTTGTCCATGACAAATCTCCAGTGTGCTTTCCAAACTTGTGATACAGCTGTAATGATAATGTCAACAACGGTTAATTGTTTTTGTGAGTAATCCATTCTAGTGAAGTTTAGTGTAACCAGTGCTTGAATAACATCTTCGACAGTGGTTGTAGGCCAAAGAAATTCGAAGATGAGATTGTTCCAAAAAAACCTCTTTGGTGGGCAATAGAACAGGAGGTGTTGTTCACTTTCCAGATGAATTGAGCAAATGGTACAAAGAGGTGAGGGGAACTTCTCAGGAAGTATATAGTGAAGAAGTTGTCTTGTGGGTAGTTTGGAAACCAGGAATCGGTATATCATATTACGAGCAACTGGCAGCAGAGACCAGCTCCAGAAATCAGTCCAAAAGTTACTAGAGATAGCTCGTAGGCGCTCTGGAGCAGATGTAGCACTCTGGCAAGTTAACCGAAACTCCTTTGTCGATACCCGGGTGATTGGTCCAGTCAGGGTCACAAATTGGAAAGAGTTGACAAATGGAACAAAAGATAAAGGTGGTGAGGACGGTAAAGTAGGCAATACCTCTACAGTAGGAGGTTGGCAGTGTTTGACAAAGAAAGGAAAGAATTGGTACTTGTTACTTTCTAGCCCTCGGGTGATCTGAAAGTAGGATTTTTGGAGCTCTTGCGGAATATGATCCGGATGCTTCCAATGGATTAGCTTAAGATCGTGGTTGAAAAGCATAAATGCTT